GTATACGACTTCGCTTTCCGGTACTCTATATGTAGTTCGTTATGCTTTCGCTATCGTAATACGATTTCATACGAAATAGAACGAAGTTGGTGGAGTTAAATTTGGCAACAGTGTTGCGGATCCCATTTATTCAAAGGAAACATCCCATTGGATCAAAAAAGCGGCATTTACGAATTATTGTATTGTTAATTTTTGGTTTCAATCAGAAATAAAGCACTTGGAGAAGTTTCCGAGAGAAAAGAAATTCAATAAAACATCAAAAATACATATGAAGATGATTTATTTCTATGAATTGGAATGAATGTACTGACTACAAACCGTGCTACAAACAGATATTGACATCAAGGCCAACAAAAATAGTAATCAGCCAAACAAGAACTTATTCTGCACAGAGCAGCTCATTGGAAAATATGTACCTACTTTGTTCATATAAAAAATTGGTATTTATATTCTCACTAGGTATATCTCAGATATAGCTTTCTATTTATATGCAACTAGTAAAGGTAAATGATCTGAGAATAACAATAATATTGTAAGATATGTAACTGCTTATATTTATAATGGACATATCATTCTATAATCTAACACTCAGTATATTATTATTTACATACTATAATGTAATACCTATCAGAACTTGCTTCTCTATGTTGCAAATTAAACAAGATGATAAGCACATATACATATAATTCCTTGAATCGCCTTCTGCAAGGCAGCTATATGTTGACAGTGCATTTATACAGATGCACTTTTTCTTACAGTTCACTTTAGAATCTTGGATGGAATTATTAATGTAGTGAAAGTAGAATCCGTTCTTGTTCTTCTTCAACATAGTAAATAATGTTCAGTTAATCCTGTTTCATCCTACCAAAGAGAACTTCCATCTCTCTGGAATATCTTTAGGATTTTGTTCGTAAAACTGAGGAATCTGTCCCACTGACTGAGTTGTGTTTTTGCTCGCTTTGTTATCCACGTTTGGGTTCTTTCCTCATTTATTAATCTATTATTTTTCTCAAATCAACACAAAGTTCGAACTAGGAACAACAACATAAACCAATACCTATAACCTCAATCGTTGAGAATCGCAGAAAGCGGCAACCAAAATCCTTCGCTTCTGCTTCGCTAACGAACTCACGTTCGGCGTCTCCGACCCCATCCGAATATTGATACAGAGTACCGAAACGGCAAAAGCAGTCGATTACGCATGCTTTCGCTTTCGCTTTGAGTTACAGAGTCCCACTGCGGAAATCAGGATGGGTGCAATCGATAAGACAATACGATAGCATTGAAGTGAAGTAACGTGGATTCTTACAGATATCTCTGAAAGAATCTGGGTTACCTAATGTTGATGTTCTGTATTATGTTTCCTCTGCCGGTTGCACCATACTACACAAAATCCTCACTAGTTGCGATCTCTATAATCGTTACCACAAGTTGAGATTACTAATTGTGTACCTCGTTTGCGCACGAATACGACGCAGGATAACAGGGCCAACTTCTCGACAACATTCCCGAACCCAAGGTAGCAAGTACGGTAACCGTTACGTAACAAAGTACCTAAAAACACCAGAGCCGGCTTCCGAAAAATGTCTAGGAATTCTTTGAATCCCTAGCTTTTTTTGGCAGTAAAAGATCAGAAAGGAGTACTAGACAAATAGGGAAACAGGTAGGCCCTCATCAGAAACTGAATCATACATATTATACTTGAACCGATATTTCTCTTCTCCAAACCTATTTCAGAACAAAGTGTCACTGACAATCGAATGAATTTTTCTTTCAGGCTCTCTGATAGAAAAATTTTCAAACGCAGTGACATTTCGGGGAAAATCATTTGATTTGTCCTGACTACACGAATATTGAAATAATACTAATGTTTTTTTTATTTTATAGAAACAAAGAGAGAAAATACCCATAATCTGTATGTGTGGATTCACGCACTGCAGTGTCGGATTTGAATTTGAAATGATAGTGTTAATTCCTGGTTCTCTTGGTGGTGTAAGACATATGCAAATGACATATATGTCCGTGGTCTTCGGTGAAAGACTGTAATTCTTTCATTTATCCGTTTGATCAGCGCATATTGTATGAGTTGTTTCATTTCAACAGTGTCACAGAGATCGTTTTCAATATCGGAAGGTATATACCTATGTTATATCAGAATCTCATTGCGAAAATTGGCAATCAGAAATATTGTTATTTTGTCGACATTCCATACTCATTTAAAACATTCACATAGCAAAATTCATTTTGATGATCATCTGAAGTGTGGAGTGTTAAAATGATAAATGATTCAGTTTCCGTTAGAGGGAAGGATGAAGGTAAGTCAACGCGGTCAACAGAAAACAAGTATAGGAATCTTTGTTTATGCGTCCATGGAACTTCGGCTTGGTGACAGGTAGGGAAAGGAGTGCGGAAAGATCCCCCGAAAGAAGCACTGAAGGTGTAGGAATAGGAGTGGTGTGCTTGCCCTAGAGTACATTGCCAGAGAAGGAGATATGCCGACAGAACCGAAACAGACCGGAAATCCAGGATGGGTGGAATCGATGAGACAATTTCCATCATTGATGAGACCATACCTATCTACTATTTCTATATATGGCTCATGGCCTATATGATATCTCAACAAAAATGGTACCAAAATGAGAGGTACTCTTCGAATCTATAAGGACTGAACGATCCCGTTATCTATAGAGACAGAAGTTGGTCCCCTTTTGAGGACAGCTATGCTTCACTTTCACCTGACGGCAGCAACTTAAACACTACTGAGAGGTTTGTTTTGATTTTGATGATATGGCCACAGTGTGGTAGAGAGTTCTATATATGGCGCATCGCCTATATGATATCTCAATAAAAATGGGACCAAAATGAGAGGTACTTTTCGAATCTATAAGGACGGAAAGTGAAGGATGAAATATTTGAAATTAGTAGCCATATTGTCGTATTATTTTTTCCCTACGTCGGCATCAACGCCTATTGGTCACTATCGTCACTAGTTGTGATTTCTATTATCATCACAAGTCGAGATGACTCAGATGACTGGCATTATCACCCACCACTGTCAAAATTGTTGGTATATATACTACCACATACTACCTTGGTTGATTAACGGAACATATCCTATATTTATAAAAGGCTGTATTGCTGAACTTGCTAAATTTGATTTTTTTCATAGTTGTCCCCGTTCATGGCATGCAGAAAACAGAGAAAGTCATAGAAAGAAATCAAGTTCAGAAGATAGAGCAAGCACAAACGAATCCATTCGTAAACCTGGTGGTGCACTGGTTTTGCACCAGTTTTGCACTCGCACTACTTTAGTTCTCTCCAAAATGTGAACTGGTGCATTCCCCATGGAATTCGAAATAATTTTATAATAAAATTATTGTTGGAGGTTAAATAGAATAAGTTGGTTTGTCTTTGTTTATAACTTGTCCGCAACCTGAAATTATTTCTCAACTTCAAATAAAAACAAAGTAGATGTTTCATGGAAATAATTTTGAGCACAATATTTTTCAATAAGTACCTCTTCATCACTCTTCATCATTGAATTCGCAAAATACGTTCAACAAAATAATGAATTCTGGGAAGTAATATCCTTTATTTTCTTGAAACTTTTCGTCACTATTTGATGGTAATGATTGGATTGTCATTTTGTTGTTCTTTTCAAACTATTATAAATGTTTCCGCCATTTCAAAAACTGCACTGACCTCGCACGACCTATTAGAGCTCGTGCGAGAATTGTTGCACTGAGTTCTAAAATCCTGACTTCAGCTTTACCAATGGAATACAAAATAATATGCACTCAGTGCGATCCAGTTTAACCAATGGAATTCGCGATTATACAGTTCTGTGTTCTAACGATACATGGAACACAAATTACCGAATGGACATTAGACGCAACATTGGACACCTATTGTTGGGTATAAAATGCTTAAGGCATCTCAGTTGGGTAGCTCAACTAAATAAAAGTTGGAACTTGTAACTCTTGGGCAGAGATCTTGGGAGATCTTTCATCCTTTGCATAACACGTTTTCGGCACTCTGTTTTGTGCCTTTGTTTCATTCAGAATAAAAAAGGATAGCTATTGAATAATTTCCACTTCATGAAATCAACGCTTTCGTTCAGGGCAGAGATTAGTCAACCGTTCTGTGGTTGACTAATAATCTCTGGTTCAGGGTAAATAAAGACGTGCCTAAATCTTTCGAACCATTCCCATCACGTGATTTGTTGAGATTCTTGTTTTTTTGATGATTATTTTTCGCAATAAAATTGTGGAGGGTTGAGTTTGGTCAGGGAGTTGTATTTTGGTCCACTAATAGCATGGCGTCATCCCACTGTGATCATTTGTATAGTGATTTAGGCTTTCAAGGATGATTTTCCTTCCCTGAGCACAGACCACCCACGACTCCCACGAGACCCCGAGGGCAAAGAGGTGACTAGAGTTAAGCGGGGTTCACAACCAAACTTTTTACGTTTTGCTTTTTTCGTTTCGTATTCTGATTGGTGAAGCAGAATCTGGAATTAAACGTGAGCAAATGTCATTCACAACAAGAAAAAATCGTGACTTTTTATGGCTCAGTTGCCTTGGTTTTGTTATTTGTTTTTCATCCTGAAATGAAGTAAATAATCATAACAATAATATTGATCAGATAATTAATAATATTGAATTGATAAAACTGGCTGTGATGAAAATTGATCCTTATTCAATATTTGAAGAGAAAAATCAATCTTCAACAAGAAAATAATGAATTGAACAGTACCTATCTACTATTCTGATGTGGATTCACAAAAAAATCATGAAAACATTATCATAACTTCCATATTATTACAGAATATTTCATATTATTCGTCTATTTTTACTATTTTCACAGACGATGGCTTCTTGCAACGCAAAAAGCTGAATATTTTAAGCTTTTTGCGTCATTTCAATTACAGATTTTGCTTCACCAATCAGAATACGAAACGTGAAAAGCAAAACGTAAAAAGTTTGGTTGTGAACGCCGCTTTAGAGTGATGGACCAGACTACAGACTACTGACTAGCCAAGTAGTCAATTAATTCAGTTTTTCTACCAGCAAATGCGCATGCGTCGATTATGTATCACGTGATCCACTGTGACCAATCTGACAATGAGGTTTTGGAATGGTTCGAAAACTTTAGGCTCGTGAAAATAGTTGACATACAAATTTACATTCTGCAGGAATATATATACTTCTACTTCTACACGTCATAGCATGTTATTTATGCATACATTATTTTATTATCTTGCAGAATACAGCGATAAGGTCAAAGGAGTTGTATAATACTTTGTTTCCCCATATTACCGGATAATCTCCTACTCTGCGCTGGAACTTTTTTATTTCTAGACCACTTGTTATTTGAATACAGTATAATTTCACTATGGCACCTCTAGCAGCTGAAAAAATAGCCCCACTACCTGAAACTGATGTAGCTAAAGGTATAAAAGCAGTCCTTTTGGGACCACCTGGATCAGGAAAGGGTACCCAGGTGAGCCGTTTTGGAATTGCATATTAAAAGCCATTCTAACCTCAATTCCTTTTTTTCCTAGGCCCCTTTACTGAAAGAAAAGTACTGTGTTTGTCATTTATCAACTGGTGACATGCTTCGAGCTGAAATCAGTTCTGGTTCTACACTAGGAAGCAAGCTCAAAAAAGTCATGGATGAAGGTAAACTTGTCAGTGATGATCTTGTTGTTAGCATGATAGACAAGAATTTGGACACACCTGAATGTAAAAATGGCTTTCTTCTTGATGGATTTCCGAGATCTGTAGGTCAAGCAGAAAAGGTGAGTAATTAGTACAGATTAATGATGAACATCATCATATTACCTATCTTTCCATTATCAGTTGGATGATCTGCTGGATAAACGCAACACTAAGCTAGATGCTGTGATAGAGTTTGGGATAGATGATAATTTGCTCTTCAAGAGAATTACTGGTCGTTTGATCCACTCTCCCAGTGGCAGGTCTTATCATGAAGAATTCAACCCTCCCAAAAAACCAATGACAGATGATATAACTGGTGAGCCTCTGATCAGAAGATCAGATGATAATGTGGAGGCATTAAAAAAACGCTTGAACACATATCACACCCTTACTAAACCCTTAGTGGAATATTATCAGAAACAAGGTATCCATGAACATGTTGATGCTTCAAAATCATCAAGTGAAGTATTCAGAAATATTGATTCAATCTTCCTCAGGAGAAGTAGTATTTCAGCTAGACTTTGAATGAGTTCAAACATGTTACATCATTATTTTCATGGAATTTGTTGTCAAGATATTTTTCTACTGATTGGGTTCTCTAATTTTGTATGGTTTTCTGTGCATTTTGATCAATTCATCAATTCAAAGTTCTGAAAATTAATTGAGTTGTTATGAACAGTTGATTAAATATTTTAAATAAGTTGGAATTTTGTGTATAATTTCACATAATGCATGTATGGTGTACATTTTGAGGAGCAGCAGTATTACAAGTGTTCAAAGTATCAAGTACCTACTGAAACATTCTTCCTTTATTTGATGGAATAATGAGGTGTCAATTTATTGATATATCATCCTTATCTGGAATTTATATAAAAAATAATATAATTGAAATTACCTTGAACATGTGATCATTTGGAGATAAGGATTAATAATATCTAGGCATCCCTCTTGTTTCAATATAACACATTTTTAGAAAAAACTACTTTTCAAAATATACTAGTGATTGCAATTATTTTCCTCTAATAGGGTATTACTTCTTGGAAAAACATCAAATAAGTAGGTATTCTGAAACATAGCTCTATTTTGCATGAAACAATTTATAAATAGGTGAAAAAACAAGTGAACTACAACTATACATATTTCAAATGGACGGATGAATTCACAAATTTCATCAATGAAGGAATCAATTCTCAAATTACATAAGTATCTCTATTGTTTTTCGTTTTTCGCCTGACATAAAGGACAAGCATTTTGAAATGACATTTTCTTCTCAATAGCTGGATGACGACATGACTTGCAAAACCATATAGCTTGCTTGATAATTGATAAACCAGATGCAATGCAAGTTGGGAAATGGATTTTACACTGTGGACATACTGTATTCCTATTATACAAAAAAAATCAGTGAGTGAAATATTTTAATAAATGGAGAATATTACCAGTCTTGAAGTGAATTTTCACAATTCTCACATTGAACCATTTTCTTCTTGACATTAACTGGTTCATTCTGCCTGAATATTTCCCATGCTAATTTCTCATATTGGGATTTTTCTGTTGCCGTTAACTGAAAATGAGGATAACTCTAGATAAAAATATGAATAGTTTTCATACTTTCTTAGTGGTTAGCCGAAGAAAAATCAGTATGGACAATATTCTGTGGACGACTTAATATTTTTTTCATTACATCAAATATACTCACGCTTTCCAAAGTTTTTAATTTCATTAGAGCTTTGGAACACAGGGCAAAAGACCTATCTAGGCATGCAGTTAGTGCCAATAATGAATAGATATCAACTTCTGGAATAAACTCGCCATAATCCTGGAGTTTATAAGCAACACAAAGAGCATCATGCAATTTTCCACCGTAAAGTAGTCTTTGGGATAACATGTAGTAGTGATAAGCTTCAGCTCCTTTCCAGGCGTTTTCTAGGAACATTGAATCTGAAGTTTGCCAATCGCCTATACACAAATAAATTGGGTTCGTTACATTTCTATTTTTTCTCAATAAAAATCACAAATATATAACTGGAAAAAAATATATATATATATTTTATTTCACATAGATAATCATATGTAAGGAAATAAATGAACCAGAAACTAGAAGGTACCCTCAAGAGCACTACAATGTTCTGAATTTGGGAGCCATCATGGCTCAGATTTTATAAAAATCTTCACACATACATAGTTATATTTCCGTAAATTTACTATTGCTGTTTATATGTACTATTCTTTGAATCTTTCCTTGAAAATGAATGCATTGTCTCAATTGTTGTAAAAAATGTTTGTCACTGTACTTAGAGTACAGATTTTCAATTCCTGAAATAGTTATGTGTAAATTGGACCATAAAATCAAGTTTCAACTATTGAACATCCGGCAATATTGCAAAAGTCATTGATAATTCTGGCAAACAAGTTTCAGAAAACTTGAAAGTTCAACATCTTTCAAATTAATGTTTTGTCATTAAATATATTCTTTCATTTTGGTTTGTTTTTCCTATCACCTATTCTAGTAATCGCTCCAATACCAAAACAACCTGTATACTGATATGCCTCTGACATACCATGAAAAGTACTTACCAGATTCCGATGGTTTCTTATGCAGTTCAACTAGTTTGGCAGCATAGACATAGTGTTTCTTGATTCTTATAAGATTTTTATTTCCTTTCTTCTGAACCTCCTGTTTTGCAAGCTAAAATATTCATTCAAAATAAGTTTCATCCTCTCCAGTGGAATTCAATAGATTCGACTTGTCTTTTCATTTACCTTATAGGCTAATTCTGCAGCGTATAAATAATATTTAGCCTGTATGTTCATTTGAATAGCATTCATTATTTGTCCTTGTTCAACCAAATGACTCGTATACTTCATCAACAGGTCTGATATCTTGGATATATTATATTTCTTAGCCAAATCAATAGCAACGTCCCAACGATTATATGTAATACACAAACTGATAGCCGATTTGACTTTCCCCAACTTGACATAAGCTTTGACAGCTTCAGTATGCACCGCATTTGCGGCAAACATATCTCCAATCGTTTCCAACAGAGGGTCACCCTCAGGCAGTAAGTCAACCATAGATTCCAAATTTTTCCAGTCTTCTAAGTGATAGTAACATTCGATCATTTTTGGAGTGTTCTTGCCCAGTTCATAGTACTCCACTGCAGAAGACCAATTGTTGAAGTGCGCAAAGTAATCTGCTGTTGAATTATAAGCTGTTTTCAGTAGGTAATCAGGGGCTGACACACCGTTTTTCAGGATTTGTATCACTCTGAACCAGTCACCTAGAGTCTGTCTCAGATTTAACGCTAAATCACTGAAATAATTCTACATTTAGTGTTTTGATCAATTTTGAGCACTCATCACATTTATTCTGGATAAGTTTTGAGTTATGTTGTTTGCGTTCACAGTGTAGCAGTAAGCAAATAACCTCATTTTTCCACCACTTCCTCTAGAACCTACCATTATTTGATGGTTTCAAATACGTGAAGTGTGTTTTTACTACCAAGGTAGCTTTCGTCATTTTGTAAACCACTAGTCAATGAAGACATAGCCACCACGTTTTTATGCGAGATTCGCAGGAATGGAACTCGAATCAAGTAGGTATTAATCAAAAACGAGTTGTCATAATATGCTGTCATGGTCATGGCTACTAGATTTCAATCAGAATTGAAAGAAACAATGGGAAAGTCCCCAGAAAAAAACTATCGTCCCAAATAGAACCCATTGTGTGTAGACTAGCACTTCGACAATAGAGTATGGATATTATATACCTGATGAAACACAAATTACTTGAGAACAATTCATATTTATAAGTTAATTTGTCCTATGGTTTTGCCACATTTTCGCAAAAAGAAAGTTTTATATTAATCATCCATATTATCATTTCCCTTATTGTGATTGACATCCATTGATTCGCGAACCAATCAGAATCGCTCGTTTTCACTGTATATCATTTTTTGACATTTTTAATAGTTTTCTTATAAAGCATGAGATGGTCATCGGAAAACTTGTGATACTATTTTCCTAGAAATATTCGTCAATTGACACACTTAATTTCGTTGATACCATTGGTCCATAAGTAGTTAGGAGGGCGGATAAGTCTTTTGGTGGGAGGGGTAATAACATCACACATGCGTCGAAAAGTCGAAAAACGTTTTAACCCCCCCACCCAACACATCACCGTCAAACCAAACCAAAGGCAAACAGGTCTAAGTGTGCCATGCCACCCTCCTTTCTATTACTATAGAAGACACTTTCAATCAGTATGGACATTTCATCTTGTCAATGATCAATTATTTTGTGGAGGTGATATTCTGTGAGCAATTGGAATTGAATTTGATTTTACATTGTTTTACCTTCTGTCAGCTTCCATATAAATTTTTTCGGCTTCGTCGAAGTTTTTAAAGTATGTTGCAATTCTAGCACGTTTGATTGCTTCATTACTGATCTCTCCCAACTTTTTGACAAATACTACCTTTGAGTAGTCCCTTGATCTGACAAAACATGCGTCTGCCATTGGCAAATTCATATCTTTTAGTGCTGCCTCAGCCACCAATCTCCTACAAGAAAAACATGTTGGCGAAATGTGTGTCATGTCAAATAGAAATTCATTATTTCACCATAATCTTGGGTGGCGGTTGTCTTCAACAAACTGTGAAGCTTCGTTTATGCCAACTTTCTCAAGTAATTGTCTAGTATCTCTCAAACTTTTAACTTCCAGTTTGATAAGGTGATCTTTGCTAGGTTTTTCAGGTGATTCCATTACTTCATCAAGAAGAACTGCCTGGATTTCTAAATCCTACAAATTATTTCGGAAATTCTCATTCCTAGTGCAACACATCTTTCATTTCATATTCTGTCGTGAGACAGCTTCATCATGAATCATAATCAATTCAAAATATATTTTCCACTAGGATATAATGATCATAATCAGTAATCGATAATAATCTACTTCCAATCATCTAAATGGTAGGCAATTCAGATAAAGCAGAATGTGATGAATCTACTAAATAATAACATGAACATTACATGGGCAATTCCTATTATATTAATGTTTTGAGCAGTGGAAAATGTTGAATATAGGAATTCAGAAGTTCTGACAATAAAAATTCGACGATCAGTTACAAGGTGAAAATCTTTCACTAAATTAGTCAACCCTATGAGAGGTGAATTTGATGGATTTGAAATATCCGAAAGGAATGACTATTGTATTCAGTCCCTAAAAGCTCGTTCCAAATTTAAATACAAAGAATAAAACTGCAATTTCTTTTTCAATTTCAAAGGGCTGTAGTGAGAGTAGTTTGATGTCAAAATGACGTACAAGTTTTTGGCAACTCACATTGAAACTGCAAATATAACCAGAACAAGCAACCGGTTCCTCTGGGTATATCCCTTTGAAGATGTACATCCTCGTTTTCTCCATAATGGCTAGTAACTGGGGATTGTCAGAAGCCCAACACATGGCCCAAACGTCCTTTCGTTCCAATTTGTTGCCTTCAACGCCGGTGGTGGGTCTTCCTACTCCTTCTGAGATGTCAATCAGGGTCATCACTCCCGAAACATCGATGACAGATAGCCGGCTAAATATCAAATAATATTAGCTCTGAAGATATACACACTCTGTATGATCTTGTTAGCACCGCAACCAAAACACAAAAATATACCAAACATTCTATTCAGAAAAGCCTAAATACGCAACTGAGTTGCCATCCTCAGTAAAAATTCCCAGCATGATGGATTAATTTCAAGAGTTCATCCCCAAAGATACTATATAGAGTCGAACCAATCTTTATTTTCGTTTCAGTTCTATTGAAGATCGCAACTTAGTTGTCGAAATACGTATTGAGGTTTCTCCAAATATTATTATGGTATGTATGGTATGTTTTTGTATTTGAATATTTGAATATAGTCTCCAAAACTTCACTTTCTCCTATAAGTAAACTTATGACATTTCATAACAAACACTACCAAGTATGATATATGATAATTTACTGCCTAGGATGTAAAAATACATTTTTACTACCTGTGCAGTCAAATATACCTATTCCAACTGTTTTGGTAACTGGGCCCCGGTCGGGGTTTTAATCCCGCTAGGACATTAGTGAAACCGTGAATCATGGGGTGCACACCGGTGTTATCTTATGCAAAGAGATCATAAATCATAGTGACATTAGTCAGTGAAATACTTCATCTCTTTGAAACTTGTTTGTAAATTTCATGATAATTCATCTGCCTGTCTATCACATACCTTTTTCCCTAAAATGACGACGTAGGAATTCTAAATTGATATGTTGTCAGATCTTAGTGATATGCAAATATTTTGACGGTCGAAGCTTGGAAAATGTTTTTTTTTTATTTCCCAATATATCAAATTTGATTTTTGTATCGTTTGATAGGATCCCCAGATTATTTTTGCCAACATTTTTGGTGAATTAGTTATAAAGATATGCCAAAATGTGAGAAAAAACACACTTCCTTCTCCATATCCAATAGATTTATGAAGCTGAAATTGATATTAAATCATTGTTGACCGGCATTGAGTCAAAGGTAACAAGAAAATGGCTGATTTTTTTCCAGTTTCTGAAGAAAAAGGGTTGTCTTGCAGAAATGGGAGCAGGGTTGTATGATTTTTTGAGAAAAATCATTGATTAAAATCACACTACAAACTGATTACTTTGTTTTTCAGAGCTAACTCGATAATTGCATGCTCTAATTTGAATTGATTTAGATGGATTTCATTTATTTTATTATTTTATTACCAGGAAGCAAAAAATAGTGCCTCAAATGCTTTGCACCAGTTCCTTAATTGTTTGGAACCATTGATTTAATATTCTCATTTTTTGAAACCCGGTGGACAAAGACGAAGTTAGCTTGCATTTTTATAAGCTAGCCTTAATAAGACCACATTCCAGTCCCTGACGAAACATTTCATAGGCATAGGCATTGAAAATGGTAAGTTTACTGCCTAGGAAGGCGGAAAAAAATATACTCCAACTGTTGTGGTAACAGAACCCTGGCCAATTTCACAATGGCTCTAACCAAAAGAATCATTCATGACATCTTCGTTCGCTTACGTAGAATTGCAGTTGATTGCCATCTTATGCGGTCTCAGACTGATCTTGTACCGATTGGAAAGAACGATGTGCGGTAACGCATAATACTGGATGAGTCCAGAATCTCGACCTATTACCAAGCACTTGTCGGTCGCCGCCAAACAGCATATTGGATCGACGGTTTCATGCAAGCTGACAGGCACACTGCTGGCGGTATCTAGTTCTTGAATGATTTCGATTGCTCCTGATGGATTGTCGTCAATATGGAACATTCTGCATCTAGCACTGCCTCCTAGATCGAAATAGAATAATATGAAGCACGTTTTTCAAGTAGGAGTCCATATTATCTTGAAGTAAAGTGAATAAGATTCAGGAACAAAGACATGTTACACAAAGTTTTCTGAAAGTAGTGGAGATGACTTATTAGCATGTCACCGTTCAAGAATACTATCAATTTTTTCACAAGAACATAATGGAGGAAGTTTATTTCTCAATAACCATCAAATTAGTTTTACTCTGATTATCTTCATGTTTTTACAATCTAGAATGCCGAGTAAAATTATCCTGATCATCTTTATGTTCGAACTGAAGCAAATAAGAAATTTGCAGGCGGCAAACGATGATGTACTCGATGAATCTAGTTCGGATGTAGGTATGATAAGTTTGGCTGTTCATAATTAAATATCTGAACCAGCCCGGACGTAAAACGAAAGAAAATCACAAGAAGAATGCATTTTCTGGGTGAGAAACAAAGAATCAAATAATCTCAATTATTTATATCAATCACAATCAACAAATAAATTAACGAATACAACGAGAAGGGCACATATATGTACTAGACCATGAATAAATAAACACCCCCGTATCTTCCGTTGAGAGGCGGTGCTTTCATTACATTCAAAATAAAAAACATATTATTGTTGGGATTCAAATATATAAAAGGACCCCGCACCGCAATAGGGGGGAAATTGGCTTTCGGTGAATTTTCTCGAATTTTGGATATATCGTAGAACTCGTGATGCTGATCAGATTTCCCAATTATCAACGCTCTTAATTCAATAGTTTGGATTATACAGGGTGCTGAAGTTGACTTTTTCAAAATTTCGATTGGCCATTGTGAAGTTTCCTTTTTGAATATCAAAATCAAATCGACTAAGTTTTGTTTGTCCATGTGGCCGGTGAAAATCTACTATAGAGTTCAATGATATCTGCACGTACTCACGATATACAGAGTTGGTCCAAAAATTGCAAATGTTCCAATTATTTCCGAAAAAGTGTAGTATACGAATATCAACATCGATTCATGATAAATTGCATTTCTTGTATCAGACTACATATTATACACAAGATGTTCAAGTTTCCATGAAACCGCACCCGTCCTGGTATGCATATCCCAATGAACTATATTGAGTTCATTGGCATATCCATCGAATGAATGGAATCCCGTAAAACTTGGTGAGGTCCTTTTGAATTGTAACTTCTTATAGAGGTAGTGACAAATTTTCAAGTTGCTATTATGTCTCTAGCACACACTATTTTTCCTTTTCAGCAGAGTTATAACCCCAATGAAATTTAATTAATTTTGCGGCACAGCTTCAAATATTCATTTGTGTTGACTTTCTCAGTCAATTTTACCTGTTATTGACTTCGGCGTTTTGTAATGCCATACTATGAAATTATTTTTAGATGCTGCAAAAACTTGGTAGGAATTCATAGTCACTACAGTTGGTTCAATATTGATGTATTTTCCTAAAAATGTACTAATGTCATGAAAAGTTAACATACAAAATATTATTACCATCAATAGGTGTTCCTAGGGTGTTATAAAGCAATAGACCATATTTTCCCAAACTTTCATTTGCTTCTGCTCTAGTAGCAACTATGCAGAAGTCCCCATAACCTGCTATTGCTAGTAAAACAGACACCCAACGAGTATGGCACTGAAATATGAATTCAATATTTCAATGATAGAAGAATGAAAATAATATACCTTTGTATCAATTTTATCCCAGTATTTAACATACATTCACACAAGAATGCCTAAATCATTCCAAAAATTTATGACATATTAATTGAAAGGTATTTTTTAAAATAATATAAATTGAGAGGGGATAGCCTACGGCCCGGTGAGATAGAGTAGGCCCTGGCTCACCCCTATTTTTTTATTATTGAATATAGAAAAACAAAATTTGGGAGTTGTGTATTATAGTTCAATTTTAATGTTTTGACATATCTACTTGCTTTGCCATAAGAAAATGATCTTTCGCTAATAGCCGACAGGCCAGCCCCTCATTTCCATTTGAAAAAATCAAGCTATAACTGGAAAAATTCATATTTTTTGCAACTTTTAATCAATCTTTAAATCATTTCGTTTTTCTATATTCAATAATAAAGAAGTTGTAGGAGTGAACCACCTTGGAGAATCATCCAGTATTGCTGGTTCTTGATTTTTGTATTCTAATAATATCTTCTATGAAGTAATAAGGCAATAAGTATCAAGAAATGAAGCACAATAACTTCTGTTCCATCTCTTAGAAGAACTTTTAGAACAATAATAGAAATTCACAAAAAAATCAAATTTGAGGTGTTACAATTTTATTTTCATACTTACCTGATTATTACTTGTATCCCAAAAGGATAGACATATGCCTGGTTTATGAGATCTGTTAGATGCAAAAACAACAGTTTTCTTGAAATAGCACCACTTATAATCAGGTCGAATGTTTGCAAAATAAACAAAAGAATCAACAGCTAGGGCAACTCTCAAAGAACCTCCTTCCCATACACAAGAGGTAATAGAGTTACCAGGAACTTTCAAAGTACGTAAATGCTAAAAAACATATTTATTGACTATGAACCTTTAATTGATATACTTTAAGCTTACTTCTCCAAATGGATTATAGAATTGTACAATATTTACTTCTCTGTCCTCTGCAAATTGTTTCCCACTCACTGCTAATAAAGAACCATTATGGTTCCAAGAACAGTGTACTGCAAACATTTTTGTATCACATATTATGGGATCTAAAATACAAGAGCTAAGTTCAGATCAAATCTCTAATGGAAATATTCTCACTTGAATCACTTTCATTTATCATGAGCTGTGTTTTGCCATTTTCAAAAGTTATAGCTAAATTTGGGTAAAGAGAATGTAGGTTTCCAGTAATTCCATTAAACCAATCAAGACCTACAATTGGTATTGTGTCAAAATTTGTGTCATGACAATGAATGTTAACTCTCATCTGGAACAATATAAATAGAGAATATTCATGACAATGCATGGATAAATCAATTAAGTACCACAAAATTTCCTTGATTGTCATATAAATGGAGCTGTCCATTTTTAAGACTAAATAACAATAATTTTCCATCAGGGGACCATTGTACTCCTGACAATTGGACATGTTTCAATTCTTTTCCCCAAATTCTGTTTCCAGCAACACAACCAACAATGACTGCACCATCCTCATAAATGATACATATTTTTTGACCATCTGCACTCCATGCCATCCCTACTACAGTTGATTTTTTACGGTTATTTATCATCTCTTCATACCAGGCTCCCTTTGAAATTATTTCAAATATTCAGCAATCACACATTACTATTGAGAAAATAACGTACTTTATATAACATCCAAACAATTATCACCCCATTCTCATCACTTGTGGTCAACTTTTTGTGCAATTCATTCCAGACTAAAACTTGGATATTCTCTGTGTGTCCCTCCAAGGTTTGATTCATTGATAAGTTACTGGTTGCTGCCAACCCTCTATTTTTGTTACCTTCATTTTCATTAGCTGAAAATTTATATTTTATAATTTTCCTGATCCACAATCTATGAGCTTAAATTTACAAGAATCCAATTTCAGAACTTTCAATAACCCATTTTCTCCTCCAACAGCAATGTACCCATCTTGTTTGTTCCAAGCAATTGCATTTATTTTGGTATTGTTTGGAATTGCAATCTAAAAGTAGGTAACAGTTATATCAGGAATAAAAAACAGCTAATAGAAGACATGCCTTCTTACTCAAGTATATGAACATGTTGAATGTTCTTACTGAAGATGTATTTCAATGATGGCAAATGGCAGTCAACATTATTCTTGAGGAATCTTTTGTGCTTTTTTCGTTGCTATGGTTATTTCATCATACATCAAAATATATTCCGGACTAGATAATCTAAAAGTTTAAATGGAAGTTCATGCTTCTGCATTTACTTTGAAATATTTTCCACTTCATGACTCAACTCCAAGTTACAAACTTCTCATCAGCTTTGATATTTTTCAGTTTTGATTGTGTATTTGAAATTTCAGAAAGTTAGGTTAACTTCAGTTTGTTTTTGTTTAATGTTTTGGTTTACTTCAAAGAACATCAAATTTAGGTCTGTGTTTAGGTGCCACAGAACACTCTACAATGTTGCCAGATGCAACGAAAATAATGCAAAGCTATGATAATGGCAGTGGTAGCGTGTAATCGTTTCTTACTTTCAAACTTGTAATTCCTGATATTTGCTTTGCTGATATTCATCAAACAGCTAGAGGTTAAATTCAAAATTTCAAAGAACAATTATCAATAATATTATGGTAGGAAGTGCAACAGTTATTTTAGCCAATTTTCATACGAGTATTCATTTCCACCACTTTCAAAAGCCGATGGCACTTTAGCAGCAACGTCGCAGGGTAAAGCATCAAATATTTTTGCAGAGATGTTTGAAGCAAAATCCACTTTAGATTTCCAAGGAAAAGTGCCGCCAGATATTTCATCCGTATCCTGTATTTTTTCTAGAAAAGCAGTATGCCTGATATAACAATGTCTGGTACCACCATTCCCACCTCATTCCCACCATGTCAACTATATCTATGATCGGTGTCTCCATCAGCAAATACTCTTCAATAGGATAATCATGTCAGATCCATCGCGAATGCAGCTTCAGAAAAACTCGGATTTTTATTCGGTGCGAAAAGCTACTCACTTTACACCGCAACAGGCAACACTGGTTTTGATAGCCAGCCAATAGGGTCTGTTTGAGTTGAAATGATGACAGATTCATAGTCCACAGTCCACACCACAGGGGCACAAGCACAGAATTACGCCACAGAACGTTGGCAGTGGCAGTGGTGACTTGCTTCAAGGTTGTTGTTAAAATTTAATGTATTGTTGGATCCGAGAATCAACTAGGCCAGAGGCACAGGCCAGATAATTGTTGGATTTCGATCCATCCATTGTGTTTTGAGGGTGATTAATTGTTTAATAATATCATTTTTGTTAATTTTTACCAAATTCATGGTGATAGTTTTATGACATTCTAAACAATGTCGTCTCCAAGTGCTGGGAAAAGACGTATGGACACTGATGTTATTAAGCTGTATCCTTTGTGTTCTTGAAATGATAATGTAAATAAAACAATATTTTTCTTTTGCAACAGTTAAATTGGCTGTCCTTTTTTTATTAATCAGTTTGCTTCACTTGGCTTGGTTATGACCTCTATCTAGAGAATTATTGTTCTATTTTTGTTCATTATGTAGGAACAGCTGATTGTCAAATAAATAGAATACATTGAAGATTCCTTAATAATTAATTCAGTATTGAAAGTAAGCATGAGGTAACAATTCTTGGCGGACTCAATGAGTTTTGTGTAAAATTTTATGGACCTAGAGGGAGTAAGTATGATAACTGGAAAATATATTAATTCTCATATGATTTTTTTTGGATAGCACCTTATGAAGGAGGTGTATGGAAAGTACGTGTTCATTTGCCTGAACACTACCCTTTCAAATCACCAAGTATTGGATTCATGAATCGTGTTTACCATCCTAATATAGATGAAGTGTCAGGTACTGTCTGTTTAGATGTTATAAATCAGGCATGGACAGCATTATATGGTGAGTTGCATTGATAGGTACTACTTAACATTCTGAAAGAATTACTTGAAGTTCATGATGGAAGAATTAGTATTTTAATTCAACTGGATAAGTCATTTGATATCTCAAATGGATAAACAACATATCAGTTTTGCTGAATATATCTTAGGTAAATTCCACCTGACCTGTAAGAGCCAACATGTCACTCAATTTGTCTAAAGTTCAGTTAATCTTGTTGGTTTGACCTTCCATTTGATTCAAAAGAGAGATTGATAATTGGAAACATACTCATAAATTTGATATACCCTAATTATTTGTTCCCAAAAATTCAGTTCTTTATATTCCAAACTACCTACATTTCATCACATTCAGATATATATTTTATTGTGGATTACTTGTACCTACTTAATATTAGGTATATCCACAGTTCTTATTGAATGTGTTAATCTAACTTAAGGTTACTACTCCTAACTACTATACTACTACTACTATTAATATCAATATTTTTAGTCCTTTTGCCTGTATGAAATATTCTTCTGCAACATTGATTCACAATTCAAATTACTGAATGGAAAAATAATAAACAGCATTTTAGAAATTATGTTCAAAAATTATTATGACCAGGGGCGTCCGGAGGGGGAGGCAAGGGGGGCGCTCGCCCCCCCCCCCCTAGCGCCTGGTCTATACTCATCAGATACTTTCTAAACAAGATACATTTGCATTATTCAGTTCCTATTCTGATTAGCGCTTATTATAGTGACTTTCTGAGACTTTGTTTAATTATAGTATTCATGGACATCTTATAGATATATAAAGAGTAAATTTTATCAAAGTTATTGATAAATTTTCTCAAGACTATAAGAATGCCATTTTTGTTTGAACAAGATTATGATTACCATCACGTGCAATTTTTTATTGTAATTTTGGCTGTAAACAGAATACCTGATGTCAATCATTTTTTTTTTATTCCATGTTTTATGTAGAATACTAGTAGATTATATATCGAGAGAAAAAAGTGCATGATTTTTCCAGAGGTGGTTTTGTAGCCAGAGGGTGCTACAATGCACTGAGGGAAGAAAGAACTCACTTCTGAGGTTTATATACCATTTTTGCATTGCTCGACGATTTTAATTGAAAGAATCTTATGATAAAATCAATTATTGTCAATATGAAGTTTGATTATCATGACTACCGATAAAGAAGAGTAGCCATATTGCTTTTTGTTAACATCCAGAAAGTGTGGTAGCATATTTTCTTAATTGCTTTCCAAAGTTTTTTCAATAAATATTGCAGGAATTTGTGGAAAACTATTGAAGAAGCTGCTGCAAACATAGTGGTAGATTTATTGCCAGAAAAATCCCGGAAATTTTTTTAGCCTAGAGAGTGCCTACTCTGTATACCCTGTATTCCCGCTTTTGTCGGTGTAAAATCACTCATAGGTCGTGCAAAAACAGTTTTTTTTATATATTCTGAATAATGTAAATTATTTATTGTGACTTGCCCCTCACTGAGATTATTTCTGCGGACGCCCCTGATTATGACATCGTGTCCATGCAATAAAAGAAAAACTAAAACTACTCAGCAATCTGTTATCCTTATATGAATTGGTCATTGGTGATTGATTCATAGTAATCAATCTTTTTTCATTGTAATATTAGGTCATTTGTATCAGCTAGTCATTACTATAGAATTTTATCTTGTTCATTCATTGAATGAGCAATCAATAGTATTCAGACAAGAGTTTATGAATGAATATGACATTTAGTCTGGGCTATAATCGAGTCTAGTGTGCATTTGATTAAATATTTATCAGCATTCCTTTAGTGATTCAGTTTTACTTTTCTTATTATATCTATTTGCCCTATTCAGGATGTTCTCTACTGAAATAAATTGAAGATCATAATTTTCAGACCTATCAAATATTTTTGAATCCTTTCTGCCACAATTACTAACGTACCCAAACCCAATTGATCCACTAAATGGAGATGCTGCAGCAATGTATTTACATAAACCAGAAGAATACAAAAAAAAAGTATCAGGTGAGTTATTATTCATTTCATAACTTGTCATATTTACTTAATATTAGGTTCTGTTTATACATTCAACTTGTGAATAGGAAACACAAAACGTCTCAAAATTCATCATTATACCGGCATATTTATTTTGATGTAAAGAAAACTTCATGAAAATTTTCTAGTGATTTTGAATATTTGTCTAATTACATGTGATCGGTTATGGAAAATCTAAAATTTCAATTAGTAGAAATAAAATGAATGAATGACTGTTATCTACAATCCACTACCAGACAAGTCATTATTCAATAATTTTTAGAATATGTGAGGAAGTATGCTACTGAAGAAGCGTTACGGGGCCACGAAAATGTTAGTTCAGATAGCGAATCTAGTATGTCTGATTTCTCTGAAAATGAAGCCGATCATATGGAGTTATAACGCAGGCTGTGTACCAATAAGAGAAGCTCGCTCAATTCAACTTCCTCGTTTACAAGCGAAAATATCCGTTTAGGGTTATATGTGATGTGCTTAAGATGTTATTTATAGAGTCTTGATTTATCCTGGATGAACTATTCACTATACAGATTATTTGCGAAATGCTTCAGGAAACTTGAGGTGATTCTACATGGTGAATTGATGTTGGTAGTTGTTGAAAGAAATCGGCGAACTCAGTAGTACTAGGAAAAGTGCACCCCTAAGGTCACAATTTAGAAGCTGTCTGAGGATGATACAAGTGACACTGACATGGTTGTTTTGCATTGAGACAGCTTGAAAGTATTGTTCTTTGGCTGCATCAAATTCTACCATGTCACCATTCAAAGATGAATTATTCAACTTTCCCCGATCTGAATATCAAGTACTGAGTACTAGTACTATTAAGTATTGACAGTGATGACATTTCTAAATTTTCTCAGACAAACTACCGACATCATTGTAGCACATTATAGAATCACTTTTCCAAGTGTCCAAATACATTTTGTGAACACCCTGTATATTATCATACCCATTTATATCATATTTCAAATTCTAATTTTTTTTTCATGCAATGAAAACAGTTACCTGTATCGAGCAAGCAAATGATCATTAACAGTTTTAGTTTTCAAAGCATACCTAAGCATATACCAAGTGATTCAGTTTGGCATTGGTGCCCTATTTATATTATTTATGTTGATGAAATAGTGTTGCAAAACATGCCCATTTTTACAGATCATCAATGATTGGTATTACAAGAATATGTGAGAAGTACATTATTGTGCATTATATTGGTTCACCAATGCCAAATTGATCCACACTGTATTATATATATATATATATATATTAATTATTGAAGATACATTTTTATTTACCAATTTATTATACATATATGTTTTATAAATTTCACGATTTCTTTTCGTCGCAGCATCTTGTAAATAATTGATATCGAAATATTGCAAAATTGGCTCATGAATATTCTCGACTGCCTCATCAAAATTCCTATTCACGATAGAAAATAACACGTCGCTCCACCTGACGGCAGCAACTTGAACACTTCTCAGCGGTTTGTTTTGATGATATGACCAATAAAAACAAACAAAAAACAAAGGTGAACCAATGAAGACAAAGTAAACATGCCGCTTTGACAGCTTTCAAGAACTCCGATAGGTGGCGTACGCTTATTTTCTATCGCGAATTATATTTCCATTTTGTTTCTACATAGGATGTTCAATTTCACTCAGTTATTTGCTCCCATCCAATGTCACAAGGCCATATGAGCTCAATTTGCTGAAAACTACGTTTCTTTTTCCAGTCTAATCTCTAAAAGATCATCATCACCTTCTCGCAATATTTTCGTGACAATCAACTAATGTGATGGTATTATTTGGCCTTCCCCTTTTATCCAAATTTTTCCAAAATTGAAATATTTTCTTTCAGTCAGTCTTAAAATGAGCTTCTACAGTTTTCTGTATTTTCGTTTGAGTAAAATAATCGGGATAGAAATAATTTCTTGAATACTTCTTATTAGGCCTGTTTCCCTTTCATTTCAACTTCGACGATTTTTTATTGACTGTTCATAAGAGCAAGTCTGAGGTCAAGAAAAAATGTATGACAATTCGGATGACAACTGAAATTTGAAAGAAAAACACAATGTCTCTTATGATACATGTGGAGTATTTATATTTTGATATATTTTGATTCCAGATGAAGTAACAGGGTTCTTCAAAGTTAACTGTACATAATAATGTAACATTTGCAAGTGTACATTGAACTCTGAAACAGCCTGTATATCAGAATCACTGAATCAATGAACAAAATATGCTATTATGAGTAACATACTATTCTCAAATATCCATTGTTTTCTGAGGACTGGAGTTTTCAAAAACGTATAATTGGCTTATATCATCATTATTGATGCCTATAAAATGTTTACCAATTTCGATGTTGTTAATTTCGCCACTAAAGTGAGGTTATTGTCTTTCAATTTTACAAAGTAATTCCAAGGTGAATCATTTACATACATTATATTTTCAATAAATTAATTTGTCTGTGATTCAGCGAAATAATTCAAAATATTGCATTTGCTGCGCATGTGGGTCGAAGGGAATCAATCTCACTTCATATGTTTCCTATTACCTTAGCAGTAGTAGGGGCACTGACACACCTGGATTTCGCTTCAGGTGTATCATAAAAGCCCAATATGCCATTGAACATACAGGGTGTGTGAGAACAATGATTAAAAATAAGATGGTGGCCGATCTTGACTAACACCCTGTACATATTATCTTGAAATGGCCATATTATTCCCACTCTGGATGCGTCATAACACGGGGCACCGAACATAAACAGGTGGGCTTTAATTTCCTGCTTTTTCATAATATGATATAGGTAAGCAACGGAAGGAACCCTCATTATTGGTATTTGTTGAAACATATCATTATGTTGCATATTCATATGCAGCATAGAAATGATGTCATGATATCTGTATATATTGGAAAACCTTGTTTTCTGCAATATTCGAAATGGTATGGTTGTTATTCATTTAACAAATGAAAACTTCCATGTCTAGTCTTCACATGATATTGTAGAAAATGAGTAAGATCCTCGTCTTTTTTATTCATTGAAATGCGAGGTGAAATTATACATTATACTGTTGATTTCTGGATGACTTTGAATCAGCGTATATTATTTTATGGCCATCAATTAAATATTAGTAATTTATATTCAGGGTTTCATTACTAATTTGAAATATTTCAGTTATAAAAAATCCTGAGCTCAAAATAAAAGATTCAACCCAAATCACCTAGATAAAATGTGTCTCCTGTCTGTTTCATTAATTATAATATTCAAAAATTTTAAAATTATTGTTATTCCGTTTTTTGATGATATGGATTGAAGTTTTATTTGCATAATGAATGCAATACAATCACCCAAAACATTCATGTTTAACTTGAAATATCTCGAAAAATAATGACAATCGACAATGATTAAATAGTACGATATTTACGTAGAATGTATCGTAGAATCGAAAAATTGTGATAAAATGGCTAGTCTGCCAGTGGCGTAGAATTCACGAAGGATCAACCAGTCACATTGCCCCTCGCAAGCCTCGAACGCCTCTGGTAGTAGTAATTCATTTTACATAACTTATTAGGGTGTATACTATCTACACTTCCCGCCAAATATGACAATGAAACATCAAAGTACTAAGCACAAATAATTTTTAAATTTTCAAATAAAACACCATGTAACTCAGACATGAGACACATTTTATCTAGGCTCTATGCATATTTTGAGCTGAGGACTATCATACTATTCTATTATAATATTCTGAAATATTTCCAATTAGTAATGTCGCGGAAAAAGTATCGAATAATATTCCAGATAACACGAAGTTTAGCCTACTAACGCTTACCGCCAATTTTATTTTTTGGAGGCGCATTCTTCAAAATACCATCATTATATCATATTTTTTATTAATTACTCAAAAGTCTTTTTCTCAATTTCAATGAAACTTGGAGATTTATTAACCAGTGGCGTTGCTGTGGGTTATCTTATCGATATCTATGGTGAATATCATTTATGCCACTGTTTTTTTTTCAAGTTTCATGTTCTTATTATATGGAACAATTTATAATACAAATTTCTTGTCCCATGTGCTACTTTTGTATCTCGCTTATTAGTTTTTGAGGAAACAATATAAATTCGATTTGACTTCAAATTTCAATGACAGTGCTTTCAAAAGACACCCATGGAGATAACCTAAATAGGTATTATTCTAAAATTTCGAGACTGTCATCAGTCACGCAACCAGCCTGAATCATGAAAGCTCTTATACAGTGAAATCATAAACAATCAATACTTCCAACTTTAACATACTGTATCTCAAAAACGAAGTCAGGACACATGCTTATGTGAAACTTTTTTCCTCAAACGTGACAAGGAATCGGTGTATACAGTGTGGAGACTTTAACTGGAATAAATTCGTTAGCGGGAAGGTGATTATTTTTTCTGGAAATTCTCGACATACGTCAACGATTAAATGTATTCACCTACTCTTTGCAAGCAATATTGAGATTATATCCCTCCAGGGGTAGCTGAAACCACCCTCGACATGATTTTTTCAAATATAACCCTATAGCTTGTGACCCTTTATTGAAAAGCTGGTGCATGGAAAGAGGAATCCAGCATACTAGTCAATTTTAAAGGATGCATAAAATTGAAATGTAATTTTAATATTTTTTTTTCAACGTATCAATCGCTCAAAATGTGTGTTGAACAATTGGTGGCAATTTTTTGCTACAACTGCTATCTGCTTCTGTATTCCAGTGTTTTTATAGAGCCGCGAAAATAAATTTAGTTTTTTTGCTGTTCGAAGTTTGTTCACAGTTCGAGAGGAAGTGTTATTGCAAACTGGTAGAAATGCCGTATATCACTGTCGAATAGTCGAAATTATGATGAAAATATATTGAATTTCGAAATTATATTTTGATTTTATGCGACCCCCAAACGTACTGCAAACTGGAATGTAATCAACACGCTAGATTCCTCTTTTAACCAGCTTTCCAATGAGGGGTCGCAAGTCATAGGGTTTCATTTGAAAAAAAAAACATGTTGGGGTAGATTCCTGCAACCCCTGAAGGGTTATATTCTCCATATTGCTCGCCAAATGTAGATAAATATATTTAAACGTTGACGTGTCTCGTCAATTTTCAGAAAAATCATTCACTTCCCCAGTAGCGAATTTATTCCAGTTGAAGTCTCCACCCTGTATATAATATATAATGTGTCGTTGAATGATGATAATACTTAGGTGTCCCATTGAAAAACTTTCACTGGAATTCGAATCACCTTGTTCATAAGGTTCGAATACAGCTCCTGAAATATCGAATTTATATTAGACACTTTTTCCCCGCACTGTATATACCACGTCCTGTTGAGAATATATTTTGAGATAGATTCCGAGATCACACTTGAGCTCTGAACATTTCAATGATGGTTGTATGTTTTGATTTAATATGGACATGCAATAATGTGTGCCTCTATTGCTCCAGTGCAAGAATTTTAACTGAAAATTTCAGATATATGCCCGTGTTCTTTTTCATTATTGCTGCTTCTTGAAAATAATTTTACTACGCTATACCTGTGAAGAAGACCTACGGCATTTTCTAGTCAAGACTAAATGATGAGATGCAATCATACCTTACATGTTTATATATATAGTTTATTTATATTCAAATGATTAGCTATGTACACTGTAAACACCATGAACGGATGTATATTTTGAGAAAAAACATCACCAAAGCGGCTAAATATCTACTGGCCAATACTTGAACCTATACACAAGTGATTCATTTATTCCATAAAACTGATTTCCGACTAAAGTTGTCAAAACCAAGAACAGACACCTGAAAGTTTTTTTTCTTATTTGAGCAGTTACTTCCGTATTTGTGATTGTGAACAGATTTGAACATCCTTTACTAGGAATTAGAGCTTATTCTACTATCTTTTGATCTATCATATTGATTTTGAGTATCCGACATGATGAATGGTATTTCTCTACACTGCTCATCAGATGAAGATTCATGGTGTCTTACTAAAATTATATATCAGTGACCAAGTGTGGTCATCTTAAGTGCTCGCCAGCAGCCATGAAATCACTTACATTTTAGAAAAAGAATATTTGGAGACGGGACATCGCAAATCACCTACTGATTATTTTTTTTCTGGAGAATGTTCAGTTCTCATAAATCCAATTATGGAAGCACTCCCTTATCCTTATTTGATGAGGTTAGATTCTCTAACTTTTTTTGATGAGCAAATGGAAGAAAAACTCGACCATGTCGAATAATGATGAAATGTGCTTTTACAATTCTTGAAGAAGTTTCAAATGATTGCAATAGCGAAAATGGGCTGAAAATCCGAGTTTTTCACGGGAATTTAGATATACAAAATTGCCGTCAACAGGGGTCAAATGAAATATGGTCAATTCGATGCAGCGAACAATTCATCATTCTGTAACTTTTTTGGTCTGAGTAATTAGACAAAATCAATACAACACATCGAAAGCTAGTAGAATAAGGTCTCATTACTAGTGGAGAACGTTACAATCGGTTCACGCATATATGCCTAAGTTGCAACTGTTCGAAATCAAACAAAATTTTGCAGGTGTCTCATTTCTGGCTTTTGCAGACGTATCTTAATCGTTTAGGAACAGCGCGAAAGGTCGTTCTTTTTAGAGATATATTATTATATTATTTTGCAATAACCTTGAGATTTTATATATTCGTATATATTGTAAGGTTATTTCTAATGCAAATATTATATTCCATTTATTTTTTTATATTTTATTCATTTATGATTGAGTTGATATATGTTTTGTTTTTATTATCAATTATTGTATATAATCATTTTAAGCTGACATTATTCTCGATTTAGAATAATTCAGTCGAATAAATTTTTGTTTTTCTTTGTTAAGATTATTATTGCGAAAAATTGCCTTCAAATTTCAATTTCAGCATATAGCAAGAATAAGAACTCATGTTTAGTTTCCGAATTTTTTGCAGAGCCGTGAATTTAAAAGGTAGGCTGAGTTTATGTAGGTAAAATTCACCGATAAAATATGCTTAAAGAGTCTCAAGCAAAATAGAAATCAGTTGCAGCATCAACAATTTAGTCGTGTTTTGCTTTGTTCTGGTTCAACTATTGACCATATTAGTTGGTATATTGTACGGATATCTGATATGTGGAAAAACAGAAACTATGGCCATATGCCCCGAAGAAACTCCGTTGATGGCATTTAAATTCCTTAGATGTAAATGATCCTCTACTCAGTTTTTTCTGTGTATGTTGGCAAGCATTGTATACTTGGCACTGCCATGTTAATGATGACCTGAACAGATAGCTTATAGGATAAGGTTTTAGTTTCATAGCGATGCCTTACAGAGCGAGTATATATAAATATATATATTTATTTTTAGTCTAGTTATAGTAGTGCAATAGAGATAATTAATTATATTAGAGTTATTTAATTTTCATTATTTTATTTCACTTCTTGATAACACTCATGGTCTCATTTTTTTTATAATAATTGATGTACATATTCGTATTTTTATAATTTTTACCAACATTATTAAAACTTTCCTTATTCAAATCCAGATTAATGTGTTTATTTTTTCTGAATATAATACATGTGTAGGTATATACTAACGGTTTCATGTTAGTGTTGTAAATGTTAATAATTTTAAGAGCATTTTTTCATTCATCGGAAAGTTTGTAACATGTCCTGTACAATTCTCTGATCTGCCGCACAAAGCAGTTGAGTAATACGTAAAAATGTATGTATCCAAGAATTGTTGATTTTATAAAAATACAATTTCTTAAGAAAAAACTTGATCATTCTGAGTGTATTATTGCAAATGAAATATATCTGGCTAGTAAATGAGACTTGAGACAGATTCAAAACAATTGGATTGAATACTTGCAATACATATTTTGAAAACTACCCACCCTCAATATCTTCCTTCCAGTAAATAATATGAAAAATCCCAAAAACAGGTCGATTTTATTTTTAAGAGGGGGACACTTGTGATAACTATTTTCAGCCCTCTTGGTTCAAGCCCCTAGGAGGGGTAGATGTTACCCATAGAATTTGAAATGGGAATAATAAGGGGGGGTGGGGTTCAAATGGCACATCATCTTGAAAGGCGTTCAATTATTATTTTCCCAATGGTACCCTTGTTTATCACTTTATGTTAAGCAGTTTCCAAAAAACGCCGCGTCAATTAGAAAACTTCCTACCTTTAATATTATATCTTCCATCCACTAATAAATATATAATATGAAAAATCGAAAAGAGGTCAATTTCATTTTCAAAGAGGGGTAGATGTTAACAGTTAGAAGCTTACATGATAACGCGGTCAAGATGCACATATGCATGTTCATAGATTTACAGACTACCTAGAATAGGTATATAAGCTAGGTATACTTATATATATACACCTATATATAGTATAGTCACATGGTTTATATAAACATTTATTACTGAAATACTACCTAATTTGTCCTGAATTGTAGGTTCACGATCTGGGCATGTTACATGTCATACCTACTTTTTGTTTTTAATCAATTTTTTTTTTAATTCAGGACACCTTGTGTATACTTCAAATAATATAACAACAGCAAAAGTTCAATGAAACCTTTCCGCTTGTAGCCTCATATTAATTTTGTTTAATTCCTTAAGGTAAATGTAGGACTTACCTCGCGAAGCCTTTCAAGCGATTTTATCACACATAAAAAACGAAGAAAACCTTCATTTTCAAGGAACCGTTCAAATTTTCAAATTGAACCTAGCAATGGCGGATATACATCGACCTTGAAACAATCTAAGAAAACGACCAATAGAAAGGAGTGAAAGGACAGGGTACATACATTTGAAGCCATTGGCGTTACTAGTTTTAATCTTCTTGGTCCATATTATATGTGCCCCCAACTCCCTACATTTCCTGAATACATGGCAAATGATAGTTCGTCCAGAGATTAGAGTGTATAATCTCTGGTTCGTACTGTGGTTCGTACCTATAGTCCGTTCGTCTAATATAGCTATCGATTAGTCAACGATGAAACTAAAATCTCATAGCGTAGTTTTGACGTTTTTACCGTGAATATGTATATACATTATGCAACCAGTAACACATTGACTTATTGTTTCTTTAAGTGGTAATTAAATTCTTGAAAATGGAATCAGAAACAAAAGTAGCCATACTCCACGACTACGGTGTATGGTATGGTCATAGTCAAAGAGAAATAAGAAGAAAACTATTCAACTATATACAGGAACTGGACCGGTGGAAAGATCGGGAAATAATACGCTAAAACTGAAAATGTAATGCTAGCAACAACGGTAGCAAGCTGTAAGCTATATATCTTCTGTCTCATTATGAGGTACCTACATAGGTACCTATTTTTATATCAAACTGATATTTCCAATCAATAGCTGAATGATAACTTTTTGTAACGAGTTGATAGGTCTTTCACTTACAACTCACCTACTAGGTACTTAACCTTACCTATTCTTCGATTTCAGAATGTGTACTTATTGAAAACGTTTGTCAACCAACCTACTTAATTGATTATTTCAGATGTGCAGTATTTGTACTAATAACATCTGATAAGGAACTAAATAATAATTATACAGATATGGAATGCTTGGTAAGTCGTGAGTTAGTTTTATAATGTGTAGATGGTGTTTTTTTGTGTTTGGTACAGAGTACAGACTAGTTTGGTCCTCTTTCATCTTATCTTTGGTGGTGAAAAAACCACAAAAAACCCTTTTCTTTGAAATATACACTGCACTGTCCTGTCTTTGAAGGTGTCGTCTTCTTCATCGTTTTACGAATGAATGGGAAAAAATTTCGCTATATCGCGATAAATATATACATAATTTTTGATATATCGAAAATTACATCGATATCACGAAAGCTATCGACATTTTTCTCAATTTAATGGAACAAATGAAAACATCATTGAAATAACGAATCACTATCGGCCCCGACAGTAAATGACTCCACAGTACATTTTTCAGTGAGGAAAGACAATAAAACAATAAAATAAAAAAAGGTGAGGTTGGGTAGGAATTCGAACCCGGGATCTTTCCACTTGGCTCTTATGTTGCGAAAATATGTACAAAACATCTGTCACCACCGAACAGAAACAGAGAAAACAGTTTCTATTCGGTGCTGTCACTGAGCGGTCACCGGTCACCGTTATGCGAATGATGTAATGCGCATGCGGAAGTCTCAAAGCAAAGTGAAAGAAACCGTGTCGCTAGCCCCTTTGGTTAGTTTTCATGCAGATTTTAATCACTGGCATATATTAACGATCACTGGTTGAAGATTTTATAACTTGTTATAACCTTTGAGAAAGATATTTTTGTTCATAGATGATATAATTTTTGTTCCTCATAATACCTTATAACCTTCAGTTTTTCCGTAGCACGGTAGCAAGCTACTAATTGAATAACTGGCAAGAGACGTTTGTCACTGTAGTCTATACTGTCAAAGTGTCAACGTCAACACTGCCATGGTGATCGTGACATCGAAACATATGTTCATCTGTCAACTACTAAAACTAACTAAAAATAATATTGATATAATAATGATAATTATGATTCCAATCACCAATAGGAATACCAGCCAGAAAGGGCAATAGAAAGGGAAAGGCAATGACATAAAAAGTTATGTTTGAGATAATGGGATGAATATAATGTAAATAATACAAGAAAGATTGATTATATGTTCAGCCAATGCAGGTACACATGCCCTATTTCTTTCTCTTTGAATAATTTCTAGTACACTGGTCACCAAAATACGAAACTTTTATCTGCTACTTATTACTAGTTATTTATTATTGTTATGAGAGTTATGAACCTAATTGTACTGCCAAGTTTCTATTTTTATTTTAATCTAATGTAAACAACACGAGCAAACTAATAGATCATTTTGACATTTGACAGATGTTATTTGGATTGAAAATATTTTGTTTTAATTTTATTTTTAGTGAACCATACACCTACCTATTCGCCAATATTCGCCCCATGGCATTTCATCTACTTTCTTGAAATGCAGTGTTAAAAGTACTGACCTATGCAGAAAGAATAAATATAAAAATGGAACTAGGAAATTCCAGTCTTCTGCATTTGGGAGACATTGTCTCCTTATATGCAGAAGGCAATGTTAGTGGATTCTTGAGTACATTGGGGTAAGAAATATATCTGTAACTATAATAGATTTGTAAAAGAATCATGTTTTCAGCCTTGTTGATGACCGTTGTGTAGTATGTCCTGATGCTGGAACACTCACTATCCCTCCAAAGAAATTCAGAGATTGCTTGTTCAAAATATGTCCTATGAACAGATATTCAGCTCAGAAACAATTTTGGAAAGCTGCAAAACAGAGCATTAACTCTAACACAGATACTGGCTTGCTTAAAAGGCTACATGTGAGTCTTGCTGATGAAGACATATTTTGTCTTGTTAATTGTGGTATGAATGCTGGGCTTGTGGAATTTCTTCAGCAAACATCAACATAATTATTAAATGATCTCTCACAGGTTCATAGATTAATAGACCAGATTTTATAATGGAAAAAATCAGATGGATGTCAACATTGTAAACTAAACTGTGTTATTCATACATTTCATTATCCAGATCTTGTAACTATAAAATATTGTAAAAACACTGGAACTCATATTTTAATGATATGTAGGACCTTATTATAATTTTACCATGCAACTGAGAAGTGAAAATTTGATTTTGGTAATTTTTTCTAGCATGCAGCAGAAATTGAGAAGAAACAGAATGACTCTGAAAACAAGAAATTGTTAGGTTCCAATGTACAGTATGGAAATGTTGTCCAGGTATGTTATTATGTATTATTATGCAGAGTGTATATACCATAAACCTACACATCAGTGCTAGCCAGTTGGACACACATTTTTTATAGATTTATTTTGTTTTCAGTTATTACATTTGAAGTCTAACAAGTACTTAACAGTTAACAAACGCTTACCAGCATTGCTAGAAAAGAATGCTATGAGAGTGTACTTAGATAGCAATGGGAATGAAGGATCTTGGTTTTATATCTTGCCATTTTACAAACTTAGATCTACAGGTGATAATATTGTACTTGGTGATAAAGTCATATTGAACCCAGTTAGCCCTGGACAGCAGGTTCTCCATGTTTCTAACCATAAATTACCAGACAATCCAAGCTGCAAAGAAGTTAACATTGTTAATGGCAATACATCATGGAAAGTAACATTATTTCTAGAACACAAAGAGAATCTAGAAGAGATTTTAAAGGGTGGTGATGTTGTGAGACTATTTCATGCTGAGCAAGAGAAGTTCTTGACTATGGATGAATACAGAAAAAGACATCATGTTTTCTTGAGGACTACAGGACGTACTAGTGCCACAGCTGCTACTAGTAGTAAAGGTTTGTGTCTGTGCAGAATGAACTTCAATATACACCTATTGTGAACTTCATGCCATTTATTTATAATATGTCAATTTATGTTGCTCAATCCATATTACTGCTTTTTAATGGTATAGGACTCCATGATCACTGATAATGGATAATATCAATAGCTCAATAGCTCTATTCAGGTTCAGATAATCTGTGTATGGAATTCTGTAATGAAAAAGAGGATTGTTGTTCCTTGAGCAATAATCAACAGTGGAGTTGTGAACACAGTGAAAACAGATTTTATGATACATGACTGAGAAAAAAATATAGGTTGAGATTATTTACAAATTCAATAAAAAATTGGGTGCACATCATTTGATACTAGCTAATTTGTACAGGGTGAACCCTTCAAATTACTGATATGCAATGATCTTGGCTGAATGATCAAGACCCCTTCATCACAAAGAACTTAGCATGCTTACTTTGTTGAGAAACATATATCCATGTATTTTTTCCATTCAACAGAACATTCAGTACCACATTTTGGACAAATCTCCTGAATTATGAAAATTAGGTACCAAATTAGTTCATCACACTGACGTGATCTTTGGATGTTACCTTGTGAAGTTACATTGAAAACTTACTAACAAAAACAACTTCACAACTAAGAACTGTTCTACTGGGTGGGTAGATGGGGTAATTATCCTCCCAGAGCGTAACAACGGTTGAATATTTTGAATTGTGATCAGAGAAGGAATGATGAAAATAAAATACACAAGATAATTTACAAAAAATTGAAAACATGAAAGCCCCTGCAGTGTTGGAAATTTGAAAAAACTAATTGCAGCAATCTTCATTGCACAGCACCTATGCATGAGTGTCATTTTGGACAGCTGTTGCAATTTTTCGTTATATTGCAGGAAATGGGTCCGGACCTATTTTTATTACAGCAATTCCTATTAGTGGTGCAATTCTAGTGATAAAATAGTGGATTTTCGGTATCTCATGCATCATTTATGCATTTCATTAGATGCTAATTGAATGTTACTGTTCTAAAGGTTCCTTCTACCCAACTCGAAACTTGACAAGAAGCAAAACATAAATTTTTTGACAAAAAGACATTGCAAGCCGGTCATTCCGATTCAGTATAAATCAGCCTGCATACCTATTATTATTGCCGGAAATTGCAGCAATCCATGAAATGAAATATTGGAAACTGTAGAGCGGCGCTGTAAACTCCATAAAAATGAAACAAAGATCAAAATGAATAATAAACATTCTTGAGGGGTAGGTACCCAGTTTGAAAAACTTCACCAAAAATGACTACCGTAGAATGATGGGGATACTTGGAACTGCAGGGTAAATTGGAACAAAACTTCATATTTTCAAATTACCCCCTGAAATCTACAGCTGATTTCATTTTGAAACATCGTGCATAGTTGTTCAGTATGCTTTTATACTAGTCGATTAGAAATAAGTGGCGTTTAAATAGTGTTTTAAAGAATGTTGTTTATCATATTGAAACTACAACCAGCGATACAGAAAAAATAGCATTAAAATCTTCATGTCAAAAGACATGATCGATTCAATATACGGCGTCCATTCCATTTAACTTATGTTTAGTAACCATTTCACTAGCGAAATGGCGCGATATCACTGGCACTCACTAGTCAACTTTGAACAGTGTTGCCAATAATTTTCTTTCATTACGAAAGTCGAGTCGGAAAATTTCGCCGAAAACTTGGAACAGGCGCAAATGATTGTACTTTTCTGTTTTTAATCATAATAGGTACCTGTTAAGACCTTCCCTCATCCACCACCACACAACTACCCCCTCAACCCCCCACCAACACCACCAAAGAGTTCATTTCTCATTTTTTTTGTTAAGTAAGATTTTTTTCATGGACGTATATTATACATGTACATCTTCTACGGTATTACCCCTCCCCCCTAGCGATCCAACTTTGGACCGCCATTGGACACAGCGGCGTTACAAATTGGTGGTGTGATGTTTTAAGGTATACTCATGCTTGTACGAATTCCGCAAAATTTATGCCAATCGCAAAATATGAAATTCCCAACAGAATTCGACATTCATACTCATGCGACAAAATATGTAGGAGATAAATGTTCTGTTGTTATAAATAATTTCTTTATTTCTGGTCCCACCATTGATAGAAGTTCATCAAATTGAAGGCACGTTACACGAAAGTAATTGAAATATTTATTAGGGTCATTCAGTCGCATTTATCGAACGAGGGTGTACTAATCTCCGATCATTTTTCGGCATTTAAAAATGCATCAAACAGTGTAGTTCTATAGAGACGATACAGATGATACTTTGAAATTAATTCGTCCAGAGAATCCATCCAGCGAAGAAAATTCAACAACTCTACTTACCTGTAGCCTAGTCTCGTCTTTTTTCGGCCTCTGCTGTCCGATCTTTATTTCCCTATTTCGATGTCATCAAAATAACACACAATATTTCAACTTCATTGCGATATTCGCAGTGGCCATTTTATTCACATAAATTTTGCGGAATTCGTACAAGCATGAACATACCTTTACTGACTTCCAAATTGGTACGTCACACCGACGTGATCCCACCATTCAGTTGAAATTCCTAACTTTCCCTACAGCCTTGTGGGAAGTGGAAGTCGTCCAGCTGGACGCCTGCCGCGGGGGCGCCGGCCACTGGGACTCCGTCTTCAGATTCAAGCACCTGGCGACCGGCCAATACCTGGCGGCGGACGTGGATCACGACCACGTCGACGCAGACGAAGAAAAGAAACTCAATGAGTACGGTAGCGAGATCGGCGTTTATCACCTGGTGGCAGTGGACTTCCTCAACGACATTGCGACGCTGTTCGAGCTGGACCCGACCAGCCTGACCCGGGGGGACTCTCTGGTGCCCCAGTCCAGCTACGTGAGGCTGCACCACATGATAACAAAGAGCTGGGTGCATTCGACGTCGGAGTCGATTGACAAGGACGAGGAGAAGCCTGTCATGTCGAAGGTGGGGTGTGCTGTGACTAAGGAGGATAAGGAGGCGTTTGCGCTGATAGCGGTGTCGCCGGTCGAGGTTAGGGATCTGGATTTCGCTAATGATGCTTGCAAATTGTTGTCGTCTTTGTCTGTCGAGCTGGAGCAAGGGACTATCTCTCATAATGAGAGAAGGTAAGATCGTATTGTCTGTTGTTTAATAGTGAGTACTTGCTTGCAGCTAGCAATATGGATATCGGGGGCTTTTTTGTTCTATCAAGGGCTAATGAAATTTAGTAGTAGTAGTAGCTCGCTCTATTATGAACACCTTCTTATAGGTGTTAATAATAGATCTAGACCCTGAAGTCCAAGGAAAAACATGTTTCTCATGATATAAATAATTGGTTATTCAATGTGCTTTGACAAAAGTTCCTGTAGCTACTCGACCAGTACAAAATATATCATCTCGTGCTGATTGACTGGTTTGTGAAACCTATTTTCCGGTTACAGGGTTATGACATAGAAATGGAATTGTGAGTCAGAATATTTGACTGGACTGCTCTGTGTTGCTACGAATTCCAAAAGTTCCTTCATCTTTTTTTGTTGCAAGTTATGTGTTAATGCTTCTTTAAAAGAATGTTTCGATCCATTTTAAACATAACATTTATGTCGCCTCCAACATGGATTGTGATGATGGTGGTTGTTGGTTTCACTACGCCAACAACGTTATAATTTATAGTGTTTTCGTCCAAAATATTTTTGTAACGTAATTTTAAGATCATGAAACAATTAAAAAATATTTCAAAATTTATTGAGGTCGAACGATTCTGCATGAGGAATGAAAAAATCAGTCCATTTGTCCATGATGAGCTTCATGCAGAATCCTAGCTCATATTTTGATATTTATCAGAATTTTGACTTGTATGACAGAAATATATGTCTTCATCAATAATGATGAATAGACTTTCATCACCAGAATAAATATTTTAATAAACCTTATGTACCACGTGAACAATAAGTTTCACCTGTTTATTACTCACGCCTTTCAAATCAATTTTAATCTGCATCATCTGCTTCAGTTTGTTGTACGAGTATTTCATTTTAAGAAGCTACTGTGTTAGCAAAACATGTCGTGTTATTAGAAATTGTGTGGAAATCTTATCGTTTTTAAGTACGTTTATTACATTTGGATAAATTGAACCGCCTCGACTCACATCAAGAAGAACTTCAATCCCGCCGACGCCGCACAGTGCGGGAGATCTGAATTATTATTGGAATTGACTTTCAACTTTATAGGTGTACTTAATTACATAAGACATCCTGTAGAGAGAACGAAAAATAGGGTAATTTTACTATAGATACAGCTGTCAACTCCATACTGCAAAAAGTTGCATGTATAATATAAAATCACTTTTCTATGGGTTTCATCTTTTATAGGTCATTAACCACACTATTGCATGATATCGTGTATTTCGTCGCTGAACTGGAAAATGAACAGAATAAGGCTGAAGCCCTTGAGCTTATCGTGACCAACCCAAACAGAGATAGACAAAAATTATTGAGAGAACAGGCTATCCTGAAGCAACTATTCAAAATTCTACAAGTACTGTATTTGAAGTAGTTTTTCGGACAGTTGAATCATACCAGTCATTTTCAGGGACCGTTTTTGGATACCGGTGGTGACGGCCCATTCTTGAAAATAGAAGAACTCGGCGACCCTCGTCATGCGCCTTACAAACATATATTTAGACTTTGCTATAGAATACTGAGGCTAAGTCAACAGGACTATAGGAAGAACCAAGAATACATAGCCAAACATTTTGGGTTCATGCAGAAACAGATAGGTTATGACATCCTAGCAGAAGACACCATAACGGCTTTACTACACAACAACAGGAAGCTCTTAGAGAAACACATAACTGCAGCAGAAATCGAAACGTTCGTCGGCTTAGTGAGAAAAAACATGCATAACTGGGAATCTCGTTTCCTCGATTACCTCTCAGACCTCTGCATCTCGAATAAAAAAGCCATTCCTGTCACCCAAGAGTTGATCTGCAAAAGCGTTCTCAGTCAGAAAAATTCCGACATACTCATGGAAACGAGAATGATGAAAACACAGGTGGAATTGCAAGAGGTCAATGAAGACTGCCCTCTGGAAAGTGAAGAAGAAATGGAACCAATGATAACCATTGTGGAGGAGTGCCAGATCGTCCTGTTGTACAACAACCGGCAGAAATCCATGTTGCTGACTGATCTTTGCAGGAACGCCACGTTGGGAAGCAAAGAAGACCAAGCCACTCTGGACTATTACAGACATCAGCTTGATTTGTTCTCGAATATGTGCTTGAACAGGCAATACCTGGCACTCAACAACCTGTCGCCTCATCTTGATATTGAGTTGATACTCAAGTGCATGGCTGACGAGAACGTCAGTTTCGACCTCCGGGCTTCGTTTTGTCGACTCATGCTGCATTTGCATGTGGATAGGGATCCACAGGAGCCAGTCACGCCTGTCAAATATGCTAGGCTCTGGTCGGAAATTCCATCGCAGATGTCTATATCTGAGTGAGTACAGTTTCCACTAATAGTACAGGATACAGTGTGTCCAGTCGATGCTCTTGCGCGGTATCTTTGGAGATGAAGTGTTGCGGCTTTCACGTTACTGCCTCACCTTTTTGTGAAACGAATAATGCCTCAAACAGAATTTTGTTCATGCTTGTACGAAATCCGCGACATTTATGCGAATAAAATGGCGGCTGAAAATATGGTAATAAAGTTGAAATATTTGAACTTTTTTTACTAATTCGGATGGAATCATAACCACACTGTATGCGTAAAATGTGTTGTTGGGGAGCAAACAGCAGACGCCCAAAAATGACTAGACTAGACACCTAATAGACTACAAGGTACACAATTAAAAAATTCATCATTTCTTCATTTGATTAAATTTTTTTTGCAGGATGGAATCACTGGATTATTTGTATATTCTCTATAGAGCTAATGATGTGTCCAGGCGCAAAAAATGAGCTGTATTGTTCGAAGCATTTTTAAATGCCACAAGATTTATGGAGATTATCACAGTCTTTTTCAAAAAATGCGACTGAATGACCCTAATAAATATTTCAATTACTTTCGTGCAATGTACCGTCAATTTTATGAACTTCTATGACAACAGAAACCTCACTTCCTCCAAATTTTGTCACATGTCTATGAACGTCAAATTCTGTTGAAAATTTCATATTTTGCGATTCACATAAATTCATAGAAGCATGAGCATACCTTTCTCAAAATTCTCACTTTTTGCGTATCTTGGTTACTTTTCAACTTATCGGCAGGATCAGAACTGAACCATATATTACTTTGTACGTATAATGCAGTGGCGTACTCAATTTATTTCTGTATTCGCTCATTATGAAACCAAAATATTTTTTCAAATAGGACACCCTGTATATTTGTATTCAGTTCGATTCAAATTTCCTAATCTCTGCTATAGCTAATCAAAAATATATAATAGTTGATTTTTTTTCTAAATAAAATGTTTTTGGTTCCATCATCTAGAAATGAGCGATTACAGGAATAAAATGACTTCGCCACTGTATTACACGTTATATAGTTATTATATTATAGTTTTATATGTATATATATGAGATATTGCGCTAAAGCATCGAAAACTGGACACACTGTACAGTACATATCAGTTGTCCGAAATAGTGTTACATATGTTTCAACCACATCATGAGGTACACAATTCTTGCTGAAAACCTGTAGTCGAAGAAAACAATTAAATTGGCAACAATGGGAGATAACTAATTCTGCTCAAGCTATATAAGTCAAAGTAATTGTCTCAGTAACTAGAACTAGATATTGATTCCAAACCATAAATAGGTGTGTGCAATTTGAATAGGTAATTGCCTATAAATGTCAATACTTATCTCAAAAACTGTTTCGAATAGTGATCTTCAAACAGTATAATCCCCCTTCGATTTACGGGTAGTGTGAAAATCTTACTATATCTCATTGCATTATGTATTGCATATCTGGAAAGAGGGAATGTAGAATAATTTTATATTTTTGAAATCAGAAAAAAAGGAAAAATACCTTTTCAGGATATGCAATTAAATAAATTTGACGATATATGGAATGAAAATATTATGTTTGGGGGGCACAATTCGAAGTGAACAACATTTGATTCAAGATCTTGTTTTGAAGCTTTTGACCTGATTAGTTATCGAGATATCGAGTTTTTAACATGTAAAATCTATAAAAATCCAAAACATTCATGAACACTGATTTAAGGCACTCAGCAGAAGAAACTGAGAGTTAGATTCGGTTTAGATCTGGAAATTATCATATAGATTGTCAAAATAATTTTTTCACCACTATAAGTAATATTATTCTTTCGAATAAGATTGTTTTATAATGTACATTTTTCAGTTATGATTGTAACAAAACTCCGAATCCTAACAAAGAAGCTGTTAGAGCCAAGTTTTCCTCAACAATAGCCTTTGTTGGAGGTTATCTTTGCAATGTTGTAGCAAAAATGTGGTCGTTTGCTGATCAAGAACAAAACAAACTAACATTCGAGGTAACATGACCATTTTGTTTTGTGATTAGTGTGAAATATTGATGATTTGATTTTTTAGGTGGTGAAATTAGCTAGAGAATTAATATATTTTGGCTTTTACAGTTTCTCAGACTTGCTTAAATTAACAAAAACGCTTCTTAGTATTTTGGATTGTGTTTCTGAAAGTGATTTCTTGGAAGGTCGGGTACCAACCGTAGATATAGATTGTAAGTATAACAATTATCAATGTAATCATTTACCAATATTCCACATTTGAATTCATAGTGTCAAATCTACACTACATCGGCACACTTGTGAACTGCACAATCTATGATAAAATATGTAGTTATGTATTTGATAGCTGCACAGATATTTGATGCATACATACTTTCAGATAACTTCTATTCCACATTCAATCTCATTCACGTATTGAATAAAACTAAGTACTAAATCATTTCTGATTCATTCCAACGGATACATTTTCTTATATAACAACTCTGACTAACATCCTTCAATATGATATGCTGGAATGAAATATGCAGGATACTTCAAGAATACTGAAATCATAATAATAATAATGAAGAAATAAATCTGTTGTGTGACTTCCGTCAACTTTTTGTAATGCCTAGTGATTCTGTAGAGATTTGCATTCATTCATTTGAATTATCAAATGTGGAAAATCAATTTGTCTAGACGCACATAACAGTCATCATTTGTTTTGATTCAGCTGGAGAGCCACCACCAGATACAAGAGGTATTTCGTGTGGATTTTGATTTGTGCATTTTTTTTTTGAGAATGGTGGTCAGTGAATTTAGTGTATACAGGGTGATTACACTAAGGTTGCAAAGAAGTATTCGGTGGGATGTTCCCACCAAAATAAGTGGAAATTATGCGAAAAGTGTGGAAATTATTTTGGCATGCAACATACTGTTCTAATTTCGTCGATCATCAATCACAATTATATCATTATACATTTTATATAGGACATTTATGAAAATTGGTGAAATGTATTCATACACATCCTGTATATTCAAGTGAATCATTATCCTCCTATTATAGCTGGAATGGAATGGTTATGATTTCGTTTTGATATATAGGAAGATTTTCGATCCAAAAATTACAAAATATTAGATTTTGTCTGTGATTCGTAATTCACTTGGTAATTATGAAACCACCTAGAAAAGTTGATATTTTGTAATTTTTGTCATCGAAAAATTCCCTCACCACTCTATATGTATCGCAACAAAATCATGTCTATTGGGTCCCACCTATTGTTGCAGGGTAACGATTCAATTGAATCAACAGGATGTATATACATGAAATGGCTATGTTTCATAAATTCTCAAAATGACTGTAGGAATTGTGATTCATGATGGAAATGAAATAGTATGTTGCATGACAAACTAATTTCCTCGATATTTCATTAACACATCCAATTCTCAGACATCACAAAAATATTTATATATTTTATTCTGTAAATGATGAGAAAATCTTGAACATCATATTGCAAATGAATGCCCTTGGCACCGTCAAATCCACAGAGAATTTATTATGGAACTTAAACGTCCTGTATTTCAATAGCTGACCTTGAACGAACTCTTCGATACAACAAACTAAAAATTCAGATAATTTGACCGAGAACCATTTTACCTACAAAAAGTATGGCTCCCGAACCACACTAGACATTTCCAAGCATTATATAGGTACTCCATAAATATGTCAACATATTCCTGCAAATTGAAACCTATTTTTAAAGAAGATTTGCACGATCTGTACGCGTCAGAGTAGGGTGAACTGTTCCACAGTGAACCACTTTTGTTTATAATGAACGCTAGTGATATAGTTTCGATTTCAAAAAAAATCCATTAATTTTTGTGAGTACTTCAGAGTGTCGGCATCAAAAGCCCAATCAATCAACAAAGCGAATCATAATATTAAAAAAAAACATCAATTGGTTCACTGTGTACTGGGTATGGTGCACTGTGCACTGTTAAATTTTGGCAAAGCTGAAGAATGAATTAGTAAAAGAATAATCGTGAGACAAATTGGAACTGTTTTTGAATTTCCCAATGAACTAAAAGACGGAAACGGTTAATGATATAGTGACGTAATAGATCCTACCACGTACATCAGCGCTTCTCTCTAAATAGTGATAGGTGTAGAATTGAAAATGATTCACTGTGTACGGCGTTTCACTGTGGACAGTTTACCCTATGTAGTTAAATTGTTTTATTGGAGTCTCTGGAGGATGAATAATTATCACAAACTACTCTGTTTACGAATTTCAAAGCAACTTTCCTAAATGGAAAACTAATACACCATTTCGCAATCTTGGGTGAATCAGTCTGTGTACGCATATATGTACATTCTGTGTGTGGAGATAGATTTTGTTAATAAAAAGTTCATCTCGCTTTTTGAAAGCAGCCGAAGGCGGTGTACTGAGGACTATCGGTGATATGGGCGCTGTCATGACGTCATTGACCTTGGGGTCTGGTGGTAGGGCCGGAATACCGAAGAACTCTGGGCAGCACGGGAAAGCTGTACAGTACATGAAGGAATACCCACTGGTTATGGATACAAAATTGAAGATTATCGAAATACTACAGGTTCGTAAACCTATGAAATCCAAAGAAAATTTTGAAGTCGATCCATTTTATTAGAAATAAGCTCCAGAATCTCCTAATTTGAACTGGAACACCATATATTTTGAATTGATTCCCAGTATATTAATACATATTCTCAACCATTTTTCAGATATTTATCACTACTTCTGTGTAAATTCATTGAGCACTGGTATTGGAAAATAAAGGAAGTGTCAAAAAATTTCGAAATTGTCATCTAACCTATGATTTTCATCTCGTTTAGCATGTACTGAATTAATTTTCTTTTTCAATAAACTCATTTGATGTAAGTGAATGCGGTGGTTAAACCTTCTTACAGCTTTTATGGATGTTCATCAATTAGCGGCCTAGTCAATTCAATAAATGTTCTGAGCGATCTCCTCCTCCTCATGAACTTTGACACCCTCGTACCATTCTCCATAGCAACATTTCAATCCAATCCCTTCCTTTCATTCAATTCCCCACTTAGTTACTCTCTACCGTCAGTACTACAAGCTATAAAATCGTTGAAATTTGCGCAGTTCATTCTGGATGTACGATTGGATTATCGTATCAGCTGCCTCCTGAGCATATTCAAGCAAGAGTTCGACGAATCAGAAAAAAACGCGTCAGGCGACGTGAACCTCGGCCAAAAAAACATCGACCTCGAACTCGTAGGCAGCCAAGCAGAAGGCATTTTCGGCAGCAGCGAAGAATGCGCCGTTCTGGACCTAGACGGCCACGGTGGCAGAACATTCCTCAGGGTCCTCCTGCATCTAACCATGCACGACTACCCACCTCTAGTATCCGGGGCTCTGCACCTGCTCTTCAGGCACTTTAGTCAGCGCCAAGAGGTCTTGCAAGCTTTCAGACAGGTCCAGCTGCTGGTATCCGACAGCGACGTGGAGTCCTACAAGCAGATCAAAGCTGACTTGGATGTTCTGAGGCAGTCAGTCGAGAAGTCTGAGCTGTGGGTTTACAAATCCAAGTGCCTGGAGGACCATACGCCCACTAAAAAGAGTAAAGACGATGAGGAAGATGGCGCAGCGAGCACTGTGAAGACTCCTCTGGTTAGTGTACTGGAGAAAAAAGGATCAGCCATAAATCTTGACGTGGGTCCGCCTCTGCATCCTGAGCAGGCAGACGAATACAAGAAGATTCAGCAAATCCTGATAAGGATGAACAAGCTTTGCACTCAGGGATCTCCTAGTGGGGTGGTGAAGCCTCAGAAGCATGAGCAACGTTTGCTGAGGAACGTTGGGGTTCATACGGTTGTGTTGGATTTGCTGCAAGTTCCGTATGACGAGAAGGAAGATATCAGGATGAATGAGCTCATGCGACTTGCTCATGAGTTTTTGCAGAATTTCTGTTTGGGGAATAAGCAGAATCAAGTGCTGCTTTATAAGCAGTTGGATCTCTTCCTTAACCCAGGGGTAAGTGCCGTAGAAATGGAACACAATAAAAATGACTCACAAAATCAACTTTGAGATATGAAGGATTCAGTCACTCATAACTGAATGAAAGTGGGACAAATCCAAGAACAATGTGTGCAAATTATTCATAACCTCCGAAATTTCAATACAATTTCAATATCTTACTCCTTTCCCTTTCATCTCAGGTCCAACACACGATTTTTCACGGTTCGCTTTCGTGTGATCCAAAAGATCAACATATACAAGTGTTCTTGAAATTTTTTTATGTTCACTGTGTTCCTCACAGGAGATAATTTATCTATTCTGGTAGCAAAAGACTCCTTAGAAACCATCCAACATTACTTTGATGATTCAATGAAAAAAATTATGCTTTGGTTCTCCACAAACAAATTATATGTCAATTTTGATGAAACAAAATTTTTCAATATTTCACTTGACAAAAGAGTATTGAAAACATTTAAATTAAAATGGGAGAAGTTAACGTAAAAAAATGTGAAAACAAAGTTTTTAGGCTTTATTATGAATAATACATTAGATTGGGAAATCCATATCAGAGAAATAATGACAAAATTTGAGAACATTTTGAGACTGTGAGAGAAAGGATACAGTGATGCTGAAAAACTTTCATCGGATACATCTTTTTTAAAACGATTCCAAGAATTATTACACCATCATTCCACACATATTCAGCAGCCTGTAAAGTGGATTTATGTGTCAGATACAAGATTATGTATTCAAAATTAACATGGGGTGATGACATATTTAAAAATTAAAAGGTATTATTTTTTTGTTCAACTAGATTCGTGATGCTCAAACAGTTTGTGCAATATTTCAAGACAATTCGAAGTTGTGTAGTGAAGAGAATGAGAAGGTTATACAACATTCTGTTCATTGCATTGCTACTCATGGAAGGCACGTGCAATATTTGAAGTTCCTACAGACTATAGTGAAAGCAGAAAATAAGTTCATTAGAAAATGCCAAGACATGGTGATGCAAGCGGTAAAACCGAGCTTTTACGCGAGTTTCTTTCGAATAATCTCGATTTTTTTCAGTTGATAAATGCCGGTGAAGACGTTCTAGTTTTTTACAATGATAAAGCCTCTTTCAATCATTTCATAGAAATGATGAGGTCTGAACGGCATTGCATGGATGAAAGTAGCCCATTGAAGTATCACGTGGAGTTGGTCAAGCTTTTAGCATGTTGTACAATGGGAAAAAACGTTTACACGGAGATCAAGTGCCACAGTTTGTTACCTCTAGATGATATTGTGGCTATGGTTATTCATCCCGATTGCATACCAGAGGTTAAAGAAGCTTATGTCGGTTTTTTGAATCATTGTTACATTGACACCGAGGTTGAAATGAAGGAGATATATAATTCAGGTCATATGTGGACACTTTTCGAGAAATCGTTTTTGGTGGACATGGCTGATATAGCAACGGCGCCCAACGATAGGAAAAATCCTGATCGGGCACTAGAAAACTATGTCACTAACTGTGTAATGAATATAATTTCTACGTTTTTCAATAGTCCATTTTCTGATCAAAGTACCACAGTTCAGGTATGTATTACGGTTGAAATTTTACATTGTGATAGTGGTTCAGTTCATTTATTTTCCCTTTTTAACACTGCATGTGCTTCTCGGTCAATTCTTGCTAACTTTATTTGGGTAGATATTTGAAGTCAATCATTTAGTTTCGTTTTTAACCACAAAATTCTGCTTATTGGTCAAATCACTTTGAAATTACCTTGCTTTTATGGTGTCTTTTTTGGGTATCTTTCTTATTAGAAACATCTGCATGAAGCCAGGGTATATTGGAGCGACTCTACAATGGATGATTATGATCCTTTCTCGGGTAATGTTCAACTCAAACAATCGCCATTCTCTACTAACGTAAGTAATTCATCTGGTCTACAGAGCATCAATTAATTGTTGTCAAGCTTCTGGTACTAATCAACATACATTGTACATACTACCATAACAATTATGAAAATCGAAAGATGATACCGAAACTGAAAAATGGTATTATTTATTTCATATGTTCTATTCTTTTTTGAGGCATATTGAAATAGTGCCTCTATTGATCCGACAATTGCACACTACAATACGAACTGACAAAGAACAAAAACTGTGTGTAATGAATAATATTATGAGAAGGTAGAAACATTTATTTGTAAATAACTTGAAGCACATTGGATGGTTGCAGAACTTGAGGAAGAACCATATTCATAGATTATAATTGGCTATTTCGGAAATTTATTATAGCAGGTGGAAGGAAATTATGTTAGTTATTCAATTTGTGGCAAGAAAAATGGGAATTGATGAAAATCATGGATTTGGAGGTTTCATTATCACTATTAAAACGTTTGATAATGCCGAGATCCACTTACTGAGTATACAAGGGGTTATTGGGCACCTCAAATAAGTAGAAAAAAATTTATAATTATGTACAAATTATATGTTCAAAATATCTTTGTTTTAGGGTGTTGAAATTGTAAATAACATTGTATTTCTCATCAAATAATAGACAACACAAATCCAAGATATTCTAGTGAATTATTATCGAGTAGTAGGTATTTATTTATATCTGAAGACCATTGTGGTTTTGCTTGAAACTGATTCAACTTAAGAATTTAATGTAACACTCACGAGATTTCTCGATGATCATAATAATTCATGAGAAGACACCATTTTGAAATTTTCAGAACTTGCGTCTGTCATTGATCAGACTTGTGAAACCTTCATGACTCTATTCATGTGCCCGATGAATCCTTGCAGTGTGTCCCACATTCTATACAACACCTTGTTTATTTGTGAAACACTTTCGAAAATTATGAGATTCAAACTAAAACGCGCAATTTACAAATTCACTTGTATTTGTGGTATGATTGAACAAAAATAATGTAACATGCATGGTTATGTTTATTGAGTGTGCTTAATCATGCTTAATTGAAAATTCATAAATTATTGAAGCTAAAAAAACAGAAGCTTCATGAGAAAATAACATATTCAAAATGCCTATTAATTTGACCACCATTTTTTCTATCTGGTTCAACTTTTCCCCAAGAAAGTCCGTATCAAAATCAGAAGATCAAGGAACAAAGTTGTTACCTAGGAATTGGTGATAGTTGATTTGTTTGGGTGCATGTGCTTTTTTTTCTGCACCGCAATTTTTGAGCTCAAAAATTTTTTGGCAGCTGTGGCGTATACGGGGTGATTCAAATTATTGTATATTAATATCGAGAGGTGATGAAGACTCGCAAAGTAGAGGACTTTCCTTGATGAAGATCTAATCTCTAAAACTACTCGAAACGAACCTTGTCACTATCGTCTCCTATCGAGAGTCAGATATAAAATCTTCCAAAATATAATCGTGAAAACTGTATGTTGAATACGAATTCCATTACGAAAAATTTCCACTAATAGCGAATTCCATTGGCAGGAACTGATGGAGTGTTTCTCCATTGAGTGTATATTCACCTCTGTTTGACACATCCGAGTAAGAAGGAAACATATACATTGAGTAGTACACCAGTTCTTGCCAACGGATTTCGCTATAAGCAAACGTTTTTTGGAACAGCCTATACATGGTGGAATGACGGGGGCCTTACCTTCTGACGTGTGATCCCAAACACTTTCTTAAGCCATCAGAGTAATTTCTGCGGTCGTGGGAAGTAGTAAAGCAAAGAGAGATTCAAATCACATAGGGCGTTACGTGTTGGTGATTTCGAATCACTGATCTGGAATTCCCAACAGGTAAAGCCATATGTGAGGTGGAATTCTGCTTTTTGACAAAATGTTAACATGTAAACCCCTATGTGAGTTGGTATTGTATACATCTGTCTGTTATGAAATGCCGAGCGTACGAAATCATATAGGGCTTTACTTGTTGGGATTTCCAAATCAATCCCAATAGGTGAATCCTTCGACACCGTTAAGACTTTCTGGCAATTCCTGAAAAATAATATTCGCATTACGAAATCACATAGGACTTCACCTGTTGCGATTCCCAAATCAATTCCAATAGGTGAAACCGTACGTTCGCATTTCATAACAGACAGTTACCATATCTTCAATACGCATAATCCCAACTCACATACGGTTTCACCTATTGGGATCGATTTGGAAATCTCAACAAGTAAAGCCCTATATGATTTCGTACCCGCGGCATTTCATAACAGAGAGATGTATACAATACCAACTCACATAGGGGTTTACATGTTAACATTTTGTCCAAGTCACATATGGCTTTACCTGTTGGGAATTCCAGATCAGTGATCAACACGTAACGCCCTATGTGATTTGAATCTCTCTTTGCTTTACTACTATGGGAATCGAACCCACGAACCGGTCATCCAACGTGATTAGAATACTGACGCTTCTACCATGCGGCTACCTAGCATTTTCCTAGAAATGATTTGAACGCTATTGGATATTATTGAGAGAAAAATACGTTTCAATGATACCTGCTATAAAATCAACGAAAACAATAGATGAACATTTGTTAGTCTCATTTTATTTGACGTTACATGGTAATTTCATTTAAAAACGTGCGTTTTTTGAGTTTGGAATTAAATACGCTGAGGCGGTCTTTAAATGAGCAAAATAGGGTACCAATAAAAAAACTATTAGTGGAATAGGTTTGTCAACTTCATCATTATTTTTGTATTGAATATCTATGAAACGTATTTTCGAATCATTTGATCCGTTTGGAGTTGGTAGAGGTGGTATATATATATAATGTTGATATTTTTCTGATTTGTACTAAAGATGCGGGTTCACTTAGAATTGATAGATATTTATATTGATAAACTATTTTTAATCGAACTTTAGCAACGTGCGAAGTCTCCTTTTATTGTGAGTCTCTTTCACCTGTCAAAATCAATGCACAAAAATCTGGACCACCCTTTATAGTTATATATATTCTGTAATGTTTTTTGTGTTACTTCCCTTCAGTGTTTTTAAATGATTATATTTTGCAGACAAGGCAACCCATTTTTGTACAGCTATTGCAATCGGCATTCAGAGTATCTCAATGTCCTTGGCTAGTGGCATCACAACGCTTTAATGTTGAAAATTGTATTCGCACCCTATCCGAAGTTGGTTAGTTTTTTTGACGTCCAGTAAATGTAGGCATTTCTAAAATTTCGATCCTGTTTCAGCAAAAAACAGAGGGATAGCTATTCCCCTAGATTTAGAAAGCCAAGTGGCTGCTATGTTCAATAGAGCTACTATTTTAACAAGACAAACCAGTAAATGGTTGCAAGCTTCCAAAACACCGAAAATTGAAAGGTCTCAATCACAAGTAAGTTGAACAATCGAGTGAGTCCATAGTCCGTGAAAAGTTAATGAAAAATAAATGCTGATACAGAACAACTAAAGGGCTTCATGGACTTATATAAAACATTCAAGTTAATTTTCTGTTTCCTTATTTTCTCAGTTGATGAGATTGGACAGAAGCATTATTGAAGGACTACAAGATATTGTGTCTGTTTTGGAAGACCAATTGAAGCCTTTGGTACAATCTGAGCTATCACTTCTTGTTGATGTTCTTTATAGACCTGAACTCCTCTTTCCACCAGGGACAGAGCCACGTAAGAAATGTGAAAGTGGAGGTTTCATCCGAAGGTAAAAGAAATATATTTTTAGTAGTTCTATATATTTTGTTCATGTACTTTGCAATTTTGTTATCTTCAGTATTCATTGTTATTTGGCTTTTGTTATTTCAGGCTTATCAAACACACTGAGAAACTGCTTGAAGAAAAAGAGGAAAAGTTATGTGTGAAAGTATTGAGAACCTTACGAGAGATGATGGCAATAGACTGCGAATATGGGGAGAAGGTTAACTAATACTTTTGTTTTTATAAACTATACATTGACTTATGTTTCTTTTTAAATGCTGCATAGAATGATAAATCTGAACAGTCTCTATCTGATATGGTATAGTATACATGTGTAAATACTTTTGGTGTGGACTTTGTTTTCCCAAAAGTGTATCCCTGATGACCTTTGCAAAACGTTCTGTTTACCCTGAGTGTATATTTTGATTGTTTTCTAACATATTTGCTGTTGCTTGTTCAACTCCGAATAATTTCAATTGAATTTACGCAATTTCTATATTTTATAGGGTGATGTTTTGCGAAACAGTCTCCTAGCAAGATACTTTGGAAAAGCGTTCATCCATAATAATAATTCTGTAGAATTGGGCAGTATTTTGATCTCGCCTGCTACGCATGGCCCTGGAGGTAAGTACCTCTACCCACTCACTTTATTATCCCTGCAATTCTATTATTTACAGCTAAAATTCTGAGCAGAGCTGGGAGGACCCTACATGAAGTCCAAACACATCTCAATAGGGAAGGAGCTTCAGATTTGGTTGTAGAGTTGGTTATCAAATCTGGAAACTCTGCCTCAATATTCAGTGAGGCTGTTGAACTTGGTATAGCCCTTCTAGAGGGAGGAAATCCTATCATACAGAATAGTATGTTCACCAAATTAGTCGGGGGTGACATCAGTTTATCATTCTTCAGGGTAAGTGCTTCAAACACTGGAAAATTTCACCGTAGAAGAATATGATATTGATGGAAGTTCCAATATCGCAAATATCTCTACATTACAACAGATCTAGCGATCGACCTGAACCGAGTCCTTTGAGCCCAATTTTTTTCTGTGTGTAGGCTTTATTAATAACTTCATATGCTACCTTTTGATCACCTCCAAACTTCACCTATTCTTCATTTCGCATTTTGTGATGAATCATCATCGTTGATAGGTATTCCACGATAAGATGAAGGATTCTCAGCAAGAGATAAAATCCACTGTGACTGTAAATACGTCAGAAATGGCGGCAAAAGTGCACGAGGATAAACAGGATGGCAAGGAGTCTGAAAAACACTCGAAGAAGCACGGCAGCAAGACCAATGGTATCCTCATAAGCAACGAGCTCAGAGAGGAACTGAGCCGTGCAGCAGAAGCTACTGCTCAAGCCTATGCTCATATACGAGAAGATGGTACAGGTAAATGAAGATTGATTTGTCCTCCATAAAGATCACATTCATTATATGTAATTTTTTGGAAACAAGGTCTGAAAACCCAAAAAATCTTCAGATTCCATAATGGCCGTTATTTATTTTCTCTTGACAATGTACATATATCGGAGGCATTTCATTCCCTGAAATGCCTAGTCATTTCACGTAGGTATTGCCGGAAAACAGCGTACCTCTACATTCGTACACCTTTTGTCTAGAAGTTTCAGGCATTTCCTGTAATGACGGACGAGTCAGGGAAGGTTGTTCAGAAACAGCAATTCCTTATGCTGTAATATTCCTAAAAATATAGGAAGAAGGTTTATTTACGCCGAGTTAGGTTAGGTTTACGAAGAATGGTCTCGTATGCATAAGAATAAATTATGCAGAAAGGATATTTTCCTTCCTCAACCATCCGCCATGTTTGCCTGCATTACGTGAAGTCACTAGGCATTTCAGGGATTGGTGGATTTCACTGATTGACGCCGACATATACATATTGAAACAAATATTCAAATTTGCCGCAATAAGAATATTTAGAGTTCATAAAAGCACCTAGTTGAACATGACATAAAGACATAATAAAAAAGTGCCTGAACCTGATGACTTCTACAGGTACTGGAACTGCATCAGCTCTAGAAGATATCTTAGCAGAAAAATCAGAAAAACAGCGTGAACGAGATGAACAGAACGGTTTGTCCAATAAAATTCTGATCATGCAGCCTATTCTGAGGTTCCTACAGCTCCTATGCGAGAACCACAACGCTGCATTACAAAATCTCCTACGCAACCAAAACAACAAGAGTAATTTCAATCTAGTATCAGAATCTCTGATGTTCTTGGATTGCATTTGTGGCTCAACAACCGGAGGACTGGGACTCTTAGGACTGTACATCAACGAAAACAACGTATCCCTCATAAACCAAACATTGGAAACCTTGACCGAGTATTGCCAGGGACCTTGCCACGAAAACCAGAACTGCATAGCCACGCACGAGTCCAACGGCTTAGACATCATCACAGCCTTGATCCTGAACGACATCAACCCCCTAGGCAAGTCCAGGATGGATCTGGTCCTGGAACTGAAGAACAACGCGTCCAAGCTGCTCCTAGCCATCATGGAGAGCAGAGGGGACAGCGAAAACGCCGAACGCATACTATCCAACATGATTCCCAAGCAACTTGTCGATGTGGCTTGTAACGCGTTTCACCAAGAAACCGAGGACGATGACGTGGACGACACGAACGTGCCCGAGGACATGGTGTCTCCGCGTGACGTGGGACACAACATTTGGATTCTGTGCCACCAGCTGGCGCAGCACAACAAAGACTTGGCGTCGTTGCTCAAGCCGTCCGAGTCTGGGGATCCTAAGACTCAGAAGGCGGTGTCTCATTACGCGTCTCACACAGCGCAGATCGAGATCGTTAGGCAGGATAGAACGTTGGAGCAGATCGTGTTTCCCATACCGGAGATCTGCGAGTATCTGACTCAGGATACTAAGATCAGGGTTCTCAATACTGCTGAGAGGGATGATCAGGGTTCGAAGGTCGTCGATTTTTTTGATCGTACCGACCATATGTTCAACGAAATGAAGTGGCAGAAGAAACTTAGAGGTAGGTAAAGGATATAGCGTGTACAATGAAAAGAAATCCTTGTTTGTTTTTATCAATAATTAGGCGAAGTGGATCATCACAGTAAAAAGTCCAATAAAACGACAGCACAACGGCGAATAGAAGTGAGGAGAGGTCACAGGAAATTTTCGAATGTTGAAGCATCAAAGTCGATGCATTGTTTCAAATGCCAAATAAGAATATGAGAAAATATAATACACAATCATCTTTGGTTTGAGTAATGAGCAACCTGATTTCGATAGATTATTAGAAATTTGGTGTAAATGCTTTTCAAATCGATTTTAACTATTTTTCTACATTAACATTCAACTAGTCAAAATGATATCATGGAAAAACAAAGAAGGATATTTCACAAAATTATACTCAAATTGCAGATCACTTGAGTCTCAAAGAGAGTGGATGTTACTACTTAATTTTAATTCATAGAGATTCGGACGTCTCAGGAAGTTTGAAATGTGGTTTCACCCGAAAAATCCTGTTTAAGCGGCAATTAATTGAAACTTCAACACTCTGAATGCTGAATTAATTACATAAAACACTTCCATTTGTCGAATTGATAATGAAAAAATCAATATACAGTGTGTAAATAAAGTATCACACAAATTCATTATTTCTTGGACCAAAAATATTTGAAAAATACTCCTTTTTTTTTTTCGTATAACCGTACTAAAGTCTTGCGTTTCAGCTCAACCTGTATTGTTTTGGGTCAGTAACTATATGTCCTTATGGAGCAATATCCTATTCAACTGTGCCGTACTTATTAATTTAATTGTAGCTTGTTTCTATCCCTTCGACAATGTGGTACCAAGTAAGTATTCTAATTCTGATATATAATACTAAAAAACTTCAACTCATTTCAATTTAGGTGTTTACAATGGATTAGTTTGAATGATATGGTGTTTTTGCAGCTATAAGTTCCACAATATCTGTACTTATCTGGGTTGCCATGTTATCTTCATCAGCCATAGTCATAACACTGCCTAGGCAAACAGGCATTTGGACTCTGGTAGCCTCGACAATTCTCAGACTGATATACTCGCTGGGACCTGAACCGACCCTTTGGTTGCTGGGAACAGTAACAATTCTATTGAAAATCATACATCTAGTCAGTATAATGGGTAACCATGGTACGGTCACGAAAACATATCAGCAAATACTAACAGATGCCGAACTAGTTTACCACCTAGCCTACCTTGTTTTTTGCATGTTAGGACTTGTAATGCACCCGTTTTTCTACTCTGTTTTGGTAAGTGCAGTTTCTATTGAACATGTTCTCGAAGTCGATCGAGGCATTTATTTGGTCTGTCTCCAAATGGGAGATTGTCAAATCCTGTTGTAACACATTTTTTTTTGTTTTAGTTATTCGATGTGGTGTACCGGGAAGAAACTCTGCTGAACGTAATTCGTTCAGTTACAAGAAATGGCCGGTCTATTGTATTGACTGCTGTCCTAGCTTTGATTCTGGTTTACATGTTCTCGATTATTGGGTACATGTTCTTCAAAAACGACTTCATTGTTAGTGTTAACAAAAAAGGTATCAAATCCTCCGTATGCATTTTTCAGTGCTGAACATCAATGATCTCAACTTATAATTTTGTATTCTTATATTTATCTAGCAAAATGTCAACTAATTTGTCTGCAAACGAGAGCACGAAGGCGAAAAAAATTAAGGGACCTAGTTTTCTGATAGAGGTCATTTGTTGATTTGAATCTTCATTCAGTTAATTCAACTGATTGAAAGTTAGAGATACTACCTTTTTAGCTATTTGAGCTTCTCTAATGATCAGTCTCGTAGGCAATAAGTTCATTTGGAGACAACTTACTCAGTGCTTTCAAAAGTTCTTGCGGACCGAGATTTTTCCTTGTCCTCAAAACATCGGCCGTATTCCTATTCTGTAAAGAAGTTAATGAGATTAACTGACTTCAATTGAAGAAACTGATTGAAAACCTGATTCAACCTTCAATTTCATCAAAATTTTCTGTTTCAGATGAGTCCTGTGAAAGCATTTCAGAAATGACCGGTAGAACCTACAAGGAAGATGAAACCGGGAAATATTGTGAATTGGTAGATGATGGCGAAGAGAGAAAAGAAAGGGCCTGTGATTCTTTGATAATGTGCATCATCACAACTTTGAACCAAGGTCTGAGGAACGGAGGCGGTATTGGTGATATACTGAGGGCTCCCAGTAGTGAAGTAACTATTCTTCCCAGAAAAACATTTCAAATAGACCTGATGAACTTTGTTTTTCAGGAGTCTTTGTTTGTAGCCAGAGTCGTGTATGATCTGCTGTTCTTCTTCGTTGTTATCATTATTGTACTTAACCTCATTTTTGGTGTCATCATCGACACGTTCGCCGATTTGAGATCTGAGAAACAACAGAAGGAACTCATCCTGAAAAACACTTGTTTCATCTGTGGTAAGTACGAATTTTCGTTATAACATTCCGCCCTGTCCAGTCAATACCTGAAGACGTATATGTCATGTACCAACTACAGCGTAAACTACACACGGCGTACTGTAGATATTACTATTCGAATAATTTTAAAGAGTACAACAATTCTCCTGGGTCTTCGATATCGTCGAAATCAGTGGGCAAGCAAACAAAAAAAGGGCTCTCTATATATTTTGTATTTTTTTAAATGACATGGTGTTGACCTCGACTTGACTTGACCCATAATGAGCTATGGTAGAAATATGAGTTCTCTAAGTTCTCAGTTCTGGAGATACAGGGTATTGAATTTGAGAAATGAACGCTGTCTTTTCGCAATATTTCAAGAGCGGTTCATTTATTGCATTAAAATCCGGTATATGGTTTCATCTTCAATTCAATTTTTATAGTTCGTTATTTTCTGAATCCTATGGTTACATTTCTAAATCATCCTAAATTCCCCTAATGCTGTTGGTTTCATCTTCAAATATGTCGAGTCGGCAGAAATACGGAAAACAAATATTTATAATTTTCTGCTATTGAAAGTGGCAGAGGATTTCTATGTAAGCTTCTATTTAAGGATGAATAGTTGAGATTTATTCACGAAATTAAACGTTGAATTCAAAAAATTCAAAATTTTATGGATGTTTCGTTTCATGCTGTCTGATACATTAATGAATTTCTATTGTCATTTATGTATTTTGCACAGCGTATCAAATCTCTACCAATTAATATCAATTTGTCCAACAGGTTGTTGATGTGTATTGTCAGTATAAGTCATTCAGTCACTTCCGCGATTTATTTATTTTTTTGGCCTCATTTTCGTGTTCGATCACTATATGAACAACTGTTTGTTACATTTATCGTCAGTTTATGAGCTTTTTGTAAGCACTAATTATCAAAATCTGCAATTCATTTATATCACTATGCGAATAAACAAGCATCATCCGCAAATATGAAATATTCTGCTTTAGATTCCACTTTACTCAGTGATTGAACGTGTAGTAGATAGTGGGTCTCAGGACTGATACCTGAAGAACTCCAATATTCATTAGAATCACTTTTTCACTGTTGTTTTGCTTAAAGTTCAATCGGTCCATTTGTTCTTTTTAGGATTGAATAGATCAGCGTTCGATAATAAGATAGTGAGCTTCGAAGACCACACCAAATGCGAGCACAACATGTGGCACTATTTGTACTTCATCGTCCTCATAAAAGTGAAAGATCCCACCGAATTCACCGGACCTGAGAGTTACGTTTACGCCATGGTCAAAGGCTCGAATCTGGAGTGGTTCCCAAGGCTACGTGCCATTTCATTGGCGGCAGTGGAAGGGGAAGGGGAACAGATCGAGTTCAAGAGTTTCCAGTCGCAACTCCAGAGAACCGAGCTGCTGGTCACTACCCTCTCCCAGCAACTCATGGAGTTGAAAGACCAGATGGCGGAGCAGAGGAAACAGAAGCAGAGGATGGGGCTCTTGAGCTCTGCCTCTGCCTATTTGCAGACGTCAAACTTACCTCAGATCTAATAGTAGGGTTCGTAGATTGTGCTAGTCTTATGATTTTTCTTCAGTGCAACAGTTTACTGAGTACTTAGGAAAGCGCTGTTGTTGTTTAGAACTTGCAATGCTCAAGAATTCGAGGATTTAGAGAATATTATAGCTGACAATAAGGATTGGCCAAATTATTCTTCAGGAAATTTTATGACAGTTCACTATACCCACACAAGATTACAAGCCAGTATGCCATCTTCTTATGAAATCTTTCAATTTCGCGAAGTGTTAATGTTGTTCCAGATGCAGATTTTGAGTATTCATACACCTCCCGCGTCTTAAGATAATAAAGCTTCGTTATTTTTTGAAGGTTAACATCCTCTATTTGTTTTCCAAAACTTAGATTGGCTATCTGACAGTTTTCGAGTAAAATGATTGAATAATTATGTCATATTGGTGGTTGATTCTTTCTTTCTGACCAGATAAATGAATGTAGGTGATATATCTTATTTATGTTCTAACCTCTTTTTTCAGGTTATTCCTGCATATCTCTAACAATATCTTTCCCGGTTTTACCGAAAGTGCTTCGGAAATTGACTTTAAGCCTAAAGTTTGAATTCAACATATCTGTCCGAGGTGTGGAGAGTCTAAATTTTGGAAAATAAACAAGGGTTTTGGAATATAGATATCGATAGTGCTTTCGGTCGAAGAATCTGATGAAACAATACGAGTTCCAACAATTCTGAATTGATAGTTGTGTAATATGAAGATGCCAGTCATGCTAGTAATCTCGTGGTCATCCCGTAGATCTGTTGATGAAGTGTAGCGCTTAAGTGATATTTACCGTACTTTCGAGTCAAATTACTGGTTATATCAGTGTATGGTTTGACTCATAATGAATCTCAAAGAGGCACTTTCATTGATTGAACATACCATTTTTCTGATTCTGTTTCAACAATTGATATTTGTGTATTTTTTTATTTAGATCTTGGTTTACAAGAGAGAATTATTATATACCACCAAACATATTTCAGAAAAGAGAACATTTTATACATTTATTTCACACAAAGCTTGACATGAAGCTTAGTATACCTACTCTGTATAATGATTGAAAACATTGTATCAACAAGGTTGTATTCAGGAGATATGTTTGAAAAACAAAATTGTTTTATTAGTGTTTGTTGGATTTAAATATTCTGTACAAATTTTATCTTCAATTTGAATAAATCTATATATATTGTGTTGAATAACGATCGTCATTTCCATACATTTCCATCAAATATCCAACCCAGACTAGCTAAGTAGACTAAGTTCACTATTTCGAAATTTTCATTGACTAATTTTATAGACAGTAATTAAAACATGGAATTGTATTGGTTGATACATAATACTAGAAAAAACGGAAGAAATTTTTCTTGACAAGTTGGATGAGAAAATATAATCTCATCAAAGGTCTGTGTGAACATTCTCGAAATTCAGAGAAAAGTTGTGACCCTGTTTCATCTAACCGATGAGCTCCTCGTGTGTGATCCTCTTCTTGAGACATTTCTCAGACTATAAGTCCTCTCTCGATCAAGTGATCTCGTGTCGGTCTTCAAACATAGAGCTTGGACAAAACTCCTGCGAAAATTTCTTGACATAAATCCATAGATGATAGGGTTGATGCAACTATAAAAAAAAAACGATATTGAAATTACGCAAAATATTCTGAAGTGAATGTTGGGATGAATCCAGCATCAGATCACCCAGTATGTGTATGACCCCTGTCAAAATCAATATTCATCGAAGGAGTAAAAGCAGTGACGGCTTATCTGATGAACGCTATTATTTTTTCAAACTGTCTCCAATATTCATTGTTTATTATGCTACTGTTATATGCCACTATTATTCTGTTTTCATGCACTGAAACCTTTGGGTAAGTCATCCGAATATAATATAAACCAAAAATAACGAACTAATTTAGGATCTACGACATCTGGTCATCCCATCGTCAAAAAGGCCGCTTTAAGTTGAAACGCTCGCGTAGCACATTACACTATAATGCAGTCGGCTAGCCGATCGGTGGCTTCTTGCCTCTCGACGTATCGCCTACAGATTACCCGGTTCAAATTGAAATTATTCCTATATTTGTATGTTGAAAGCATAAATACATTCCGTATATGTATACGAAAATCAAATGAATACTGCTTGATGTTCTTGTCAATGGTTGCGTCGAAAATGACTGGTAATTTTTGAATTTACAATTTCTCAGTGATTAATAATTTCCTAATTCATCAACATTCATATTAAAATCAGTACTGATTTACCTTCAGTGCTTCTGAGCGACAATAAACTTGAATATTCAAGGACAGTTCACAATACACGGCGGTACGGCCGGCCGACCAGGAAGGAGTGGGTTGGATTGTTGTCTGTGGTGCTTTTCGCGTTTGGTGTGTCGTGTGTTGAAGTGGTTAAAAAAAAAGTTTATTCGGGCTTCAGATTTAGCAGAAAAAATGAAAATAGACATGGCGAAAGTAAGCCTAGGTAGTATGTAACAATGGTGATATCAATAGCCCTTTATCATCATTTCGTTAAAAACAAAAAATCAAGTTTACGAACTAGAGCAACATCTACCCTGGCCGACCTAGCTTCTGAGGGCACTAGCCGTCACTGTTAAAAAAGTTCTCTACAGGTTGGGAGCGCATTCACGTCCAAAATGTGGAATGAAATAAATTATACTCCGATAAGTTTTGGTGTTATCTTCATATCCGGTGATACATTACCTATTGAAATAAGCCATGAGAGAAAATGAGGAGGACAAGTATTTTAGTGTTCCAAACTTCATAAAATGTATGACTCCATATGCTGTTAGCACATTATCTATAAGCATAGGTGTCCAGCAGACAGCAAAAAGTACGACCACGGTAACCAGCATGCAAATAACTTGTTTCACCATCAATGTGTCATCTCGGGTATTGCTCCTGTTGTTTCTTTTACCTCCATTGTTGGATATTGTACCTTCAAGTAATCTTTCATTACCATTCACTGAAGTGTGAGTTCTTGATAGCCTTGAATAGAAAAAAAAATGATTGAATTTTTTCTTGAAATGAAATGAACTGTCTCCCTAACAGACAAAAAAATCGAAAAAATTCTCAGCAGGTCAATAGACATTGTGATCCTCACGGCAGTGATTATGATTTGTTATAGAGGAATTCAGTCTACCTTATACGATAACATATTTGACTCACGCTTCTTCACTTGTCATGACTAATCTCCTTTCCATGACTTTCCAAATTTCCCAGCAAATTAACGAATAGGAAAGTGACATAATGCAGAAGGGACCCACAAAAATCAGTATAAACATATAGACTTCGTGGAATTTGGTCAACTTTGTGTTTACATCCCATCCTCTGACACAATATCTGTATTCCCCATATCTGCCAACTGGGAGATGGATCTGAAATAATGGTTGAATTGAACCATTTCATTCTAACTCTGATGTTCTAATCCAAAATGTAAAAAAATATACAGAGTGATCTTTATAAGATGTCTTGATGAGGCAACAATGCGATATCACGAATAATGCATCGCTGTGATGTACAGTTAAGCAAACTTATATGCGGGAATTTTTGAAAAATTTGTTCTTCAGATTCATGTTCGGTGAAAAAGAATACATAAAATATACGTTTACTCAACAAAGTGAAGCTAAATTCGCAAATATTCGTTTTATTGCTATCAAATAAGTACTCTCACCGACACACACTACATAATTTTTTATACAAATACGAGTACAGATCTCATTCTGATAGAGATCACCAAGGATAGCGCCGCTGAAAAGATGAACCTTGAGTGGGACAAAATGACATCCCTCTGACTTCGCAGCGACGTCTATTTGACATAGAATGTCTTGATGAGGCAACAATGCGGTATCACGAATAATGCATCGCTGTGATGTACAGTTAAGCAAACTTATATGCGGGAATTTTTCAAAAATTTGTTCTTCAGATTCATGTTCGGTGAAAATGAATACATAAAATATACGTTTACTCAACAAAGTGAAGCTAAATTCGCAAATATTCGTTTTATTGCTATCAAATAAGTACTCTCACCGACACACACTACATAATTTTTTATACAAATACGAGTACAGATCTCATTCTGATAGAGATCACCAAGGATAGCGCCGCTGAAAAGATGAACCTTGAGTGGGACAAAATGACATCCCTCTGACATCGCAGCGACGTCTATGTGACATAGAATGCGATATCACAGGTCACAATTGTTACATCGTTGCGATATCGCTGTGATGTAACTGTGTTTGCTGGGAAGTGACACAATAATGAAAATAGTATTTAAAGTAAAGAAATTTGTGATATTCAGAAACAGTGTACATAGAAGTACACAAAAAACCGGCCAGTGCTGTAATTTCTGAATCATTCAAGATCAAATTTTGAAAATTATTTGTGGGTAGCAACTAAACCTATAATTGCTTATTTATTGACGAAATTTTTGTTCTTTCACTTCCGATTCAACTAGAAGCAACCCCAACTTGTGATTTTTAAATAGGAGACCCTGATGTATATTTTTCAATATTCAAATTTAGGGGATCAACAGTAGAAACTTTATTTAACAAAATGTCGATTTATATATAGAGTGTCCTATTTGAGAATTGAGAGTTGGGCGGCTTTTGCTTCTTCCGGTTGAACCGGAAGTGATATATAATAAATATGTTGTCAATATAGGCAATTTGGTATACTTACTATACCCACCAAATTTCAAAATCTGACCTCGACTGATTCAAGATAAGTCACAGCTCTGGCCGTTTTTTGTGCACTTCTTTGTATAGGTACCTATACCGGTTGACACAGAGGGTATCGAGCATCCCCTGTAACTTCTTCATTGCAACAGATTTTTCTGAAATTTCATAACTATAAGTATAACCATTTCGGATTTGATCACATTACAATCCAATATATGGTGGACTCCCGGTTTTTCAGGAAATGCCAGCAACTTTGATTTTTCAAATGAAACATACCCTGTATATTTTTACATATTCGAGTTTAACAGGTATAGAAACAAGTGCTATCTTGATGTCAAATGTAATTTTTGCTTCGAATCAAAATGTTTATTTATTTTACCTGGTGCATTGATGAGGTTTGGTCAAGGCTATCTACAATGAATAGCACATAATAACAGAGAAACATAATTTTTTCAAAAATGTCTTTGAAAAATGTTGCCGGCAATTTCAGAAAAACCGGAAGTCCGCCATATTGGATTGTAATGTGATCAAATCCGAAATGGTTGCTTATATAACTGTACCAAGTTTCAGAAAAATCTATTTACAAATGCAGAAGTTATTGGGGTGGCTCGATATCCTGTGTCACCCGGTATATATATATATACCTATACAGAGAGCTACATCAGTTTCCGCAGTGTTTTTCCTTACCTGTACTTTCAGGGTAGGGGTGGCCAGTAGTATAGACACAATCCATATCAATAAAATTATTTTTTTAGCTTGACTAATGGTACAAATATACTTTGCTTTCATGGGATGCACAATTGCATAATATCTGTAAAAAACACAAGATTTGAACATTGTTGCAGTGCTTATTATCATTGTGATAACCTCATTTCCCATTGGAATCGCATGTTGAGCTAGCTATTTTCTAATAAAAAAGTGTTTCATTCATGAATGAGAATATTTCGACAGCATCAGATGTTCAATAGTGGATAAGTTGCATATTATGTATTGATTGAGCAGGGTAGGATCGAGATAATTTTCTTGAGTTCTTGTACGTATTGGTTTTCATCTAATGCCCTATCTAAACGTAATTCTCCCAGCCTATAAGTGTTGCAGTTGGTCAATTTGTGAACTGTTTTTCAGGAATTATAACATCAGCCCCCAATTTTCACCAGTGATGTGTTCATATTTTGTCAAATGGGAACCTAACTTTCTTCTTCTTTCTTCATTTGGCCCTATTAGTATAGGTGTATCTGAATAAGACCGGGAAAATTCAAGGGGTGATTCTGTGATGAAAATAATGAATGGGGTGTATTTGGTATAAAATTTGTTGATTAATTTCTTCCCGGAAAAGTTACACCCCTCCGAAAATTAACAAAAAAAGGGGTTTTTCTTATTTATATTTTTTCTGTATATCAAGCTAAAGACCCGGAACTTGGTGAATATCATTTGTCAATAAAACTACACATTTTGAACTTTTTTGAACCCTGAAGTATGCTTAGAAGGGGTTGAAATATTCAACCCCTAAGGTATTTTTTTATTTTTTCTCACAACTTGTTTTTAGTGATTTTTTTTCTTTAAAAAAAACGTGGCTAAAAAACCCAATATATTTACTAACTTTTATATCTCTAGAAGTTTTTTCGAAAACTAAAGCATCTGCCATGTTTTTTTTAAAGAAAATGTTTTGCCCAAAAAAAGTTGCTGTCTTAGGGGTTGAAGATTTCATCCCCTTCAAAGCATACTTCAGGGTTTAAAACATTACAAAATGTGTATTGTTATTGACAAATAATATTTAGCAAGTTCCACGTCTTTAGCTTAATATACAGGGGAAATAAAAAAGAAAAACATGTTTTTTTTATTTTTAGAAGGGTGTAACGACTTTTCCGGGTTTTCCAAAAAAAAATTATACCAAACAGCCACCTTTATTTTATCACAGAATTGCCTTTTACATTCTTTCTGTGTTATTCAGATCATGAAACTACCCTTTTGCTTGTTTACTTATTGTTGGAGAGCTTGTAGTTGGTATTCGGGAGAAATCTCATGGAACTTAGAAACGAAATCACCCTGACTGATGTACCCTGAATCTACTTTTTCATTGTTCTTGAGAATAATCATTTCGAAAGATATTTAGGATGGCTTATTCTTCTGAAATTTGCCCATAAGGTCGTTTTATTTTTTTTAGAGGAAATGCAAGAATATACCTAGTTATACCGAGATTGATGATGCTTCCCGTTTTCAATTTCTTAACGAAAATGCCGGTCCTTTCCTGCTGATGGTTTCTATGATTATATCATAATTGTTTTGGACAATAACTGCAATGTTAGATCTATTTTTTATCATATCCATTCATAATTACATTCTCATGGAAACCGTGGCTATCGCTGTGGTTATCGTGTGATAAAATGTTTATTGCTCTCATTCATAATTGAGATTTGATATTATGTAATTACCAAAGTATTCCCAAATTTTCTCTCTTCTTTCACCCACAAACATACAAAAAATATATCTTTTGAAATAGATTAACAGGATGTCCCGAAATTACATAGAAAGATTCCAACCACAGATTCTAGGAACAAAAATAGTGAAAAAGTTCATAATATAAGCATGGGTTCAGAAATTCCCCCCTGGGGGGCTATAGCCATCCGAAGGGGAGCTCGAGATGATCGTTTTTTGTAAATATTTTCGAAGCCCTCTGTGACAAAATAACCAAATTTTGTACATACAGTGTCCTTAAATTTGCTGGAGCGAGAGGTACTTATACAGTATGATGCAATGTATGGAATAAATTCATTTCAAAACAAGGCGACTTCCGAAAAAAATCCAAAAACTAGACTTCAGAACTTTATTAATTGATGTATTTTTTTAAATAGATGACCCTTCGTTGTTCAATTCTCAGTAGCAGACCTCTGCAAGATTCAGTTAATCAAATGATAATCCATTTTAATTCCAATTTTCTTACGCAAAATTTTGACTGTTGAATAGACGATCAGTAGACCTTTCAAACGAGGTGTCACGTGACCCCTGTTTTCATTTGAAAAAATCGTTCATTACGTCATTACTCCAACACCGGTGACGAAACATCTCTCATATGGATATCATGAGATGAGGCTTCAAAAATGAAACCTCACGTGTTTTTGAAATTTTTTAAAATATCGCCCATTTCTGAAATAATGAATTTATTCCATACATTTGCATCATACTGTATACCAAAAATGCACTTCATGACCAAGTGGGGTCATCTTCAGTGATACACTGCTCGCTAACAGCTATGGAACCACCCCAATTTCCGGAAAAATGATATTAGGAGTCAAAATAGGTCGCAAATCACTTCAGATTCGGAATCAGGACGCCCAATTCACTAACTATTCATATTTTCCCTGGAAAAAGTTCAGTTCTGAAAAATTAAATTTTGTCGCACTTTTTACGGAAGCACCCTCGTACCTCACGTAATTGACTTTATCTTTGGACTTTCCCTTCCTCCTGCAAATTTCAGAACCCTACCTCAATAATTACGTGAGACACAGGGGGTGCTTCCGTGAGGAGTGAGACAAAATTGAATTTTTCTGAACTGAAAATTTTCTAGTAAAACTTTGAAAAGTTAGTGTATTGGGCGTCCTGATTGCGAATCCGAAGTGATTCTCAACCTATTTTGACTCCTTATATCATTTTCCGGAAATTGGGGTGGTTCCATGGCTGTTGGTGACCAGTGTATATCACTGAAGATGACCTCACTTGGTTATAGAGTGCAATTTTGGAATATCTCTCGCTCCAGAAAATTTCAGGATCCTTACCCAACGATTACGTAAGGTACAGGGGTGGTTCTATTAGAAGTGGGTCACACTGTATGTGCCTTACTTTTTATCCCCGATCTGAGGGACATGAGAAATATGGGGAGGTAGGGGCACTTTTCCCCCCAACTTCTTTGTTTGTGCTATTTTCTGCAGTTTGATCTAGAAATATAAAAATATCATCATTTTCACTCCCAAATGATACTCCGGTTCAGTTTCGATAGCACTCACCATTTTCGAAATAAATCAATTTCAAAAAGTCTGCTGCGTAATTGAAATGGTATTTTTTCTTAAAAGGGTACGTGCCATATCATTTTTCGATCCATTTTTTTCATTGCACCCCCCCATATTTCAAATGAAACATAGTGGTTGTTAAAAAAAGGGTATTTTCCATTAAAATTGAATTTTTGGAAAAATTCGGTACCTATACAGGGTGTTAACAAATAAGTGTCACAACGGAAAACTGTAGATTGCTCATGACAAAAGAAACATTTTTTCCCTTTCGAAATTTTTCTCCAGGCTTCCGTCATCAAGATACAGGGCGTCAAAAAAATACAAAAAAATATGTTTTTTTTGCTACTATCACAGGAACCGTCTGAGCTACGGAGTTGAGCTTTCGTACACACTTCATCATTAATAATGACTAGTTTTAGGGCTCTTGATCAATTTCCTTGGACATGTCAGTGGAGGAAAATTCAACGCCTCGTAAGGGTTTAACCCCCCAAACATTTATGCCACAAGAGAAATTGTAATTTTCAGAGTAGATTCTGAAGCGCCAATATCTTTCACACAAAAAACGTCCTCTTGTCTCAATGCTCTAAAGTGAACAGTTTCCGAGAAAAATGGCTCTTTATGAATAAGAACATACAAAAACCTGATGGTATCTCCAAAAATCGTCTAAAAATCCACTGGAAATAAATACCTCAGAACTGTCTAATAATATATGTTCAATCAAATGTCAGGTTCTTGATTATGCTGGTCTCGATGCTGGTTTTCAAAGAAGGGGGGCTGTGAGAAATATGTTTATTGAAAACTTTGGTACTGGGGTCGTGTTTGTCACCCCTGTTGTACTCTTTATATACTTATGATTTTCCTGTGTTTGAACGTACGAGTACTGCACTGTACGCCGATGACACGGCAGTATACGCACATTCGTACAGTTCAGACGTCGCCAGGACTCAGATCCAGATCCATCTGGACAGGAAAATCATACCGTATTTTGACAATGCAAAGATCCGTGTCAATCATGAGAAGACTGAGTTGATGAATTTCACTAAAAAATATACCAACAGTACTTTACACGGGCATTTGCTTGTCAAAGACGCAAGGGTGACGGTCAACACCTCAGTGAAATACCTGGGAGTAGTGCTGGACAAGCGTATGTGCTTCAGAGAGAACATCACGAAATTAATTGGTAAAGGCCATGCAGCCATAAGACAATTGTATCCATTGTTGGTCAGGAATTCAGGACTAACAATGGAAAACAAACTGCTCTTATACAAGCAAGTGATAAGACCTGTGATTACATACGCTTGTCCGGTGTACTGTAGCGCCTCCGCCACTCAATTGAAAAGGCTACAGGTGCTACAGAACAAGGTACTCCGAATCATTACTAACGGTAATAGATACACTCGAGTGGCTGACATGCATGCTCAATGTCATGATCTACCCTTGATAAAAGATTACATCATCAACGTTTCAAATAAATTTTATAAACATCACATCCAGAATAGCGAACTCACAAGAGATATAACGAGAATAAGGGCAGATCATGACATCCGTAGGAAACATGGGCTGATTTATGAGGCCAGCGATGTATTCAGGGAACCCCCTGAATAACTCCCCCACCCTCCTCTCATCTCTAATAGACTGACTCTAGACAACAAATAGCTGAGAAGCTGAATTGAACAAGAACAAGAACGGTAGCCGTTTGGCCGGGCCGTATAGTCTAAACGCTGTGTGGCCCGGCTGAACGACTATCGGAGCATTACCATCGAGCAGGACTCAGAGATAGCACGCCTATCGGCTAACAAAACTAGTGTATTTGCCGATACGAAATCATTCTATTAGATCCCAATCATTAGATCCGAATCACTCTCCCACACCTATCCCACCCCTTATCCCTCATAGTGTCTTTCACAGAGAAATTTCAGAAGTTGGTTTTTTATTTTTATTTTCCAACACAAAAAATGCTAAATTAGAGAGAAAAAGGTAGCAATCGACGATCAATCTTTTTTGCCCTGGGCAACTCACTGACATGAGCTGGATTAAAGGTTTACTCCTAGGAGTCAGCTCCCTCATGACTGCCATCAGGGTTGTTAGACAAAAATCATCGGCAAGGCCTGCATCGGCTGCCTCTGAGGGCTCCCTTGGAGGGTAATTCTGTGGCGTATCTAAGTGTTTTACATTGTATGTTTTACATTTTTATCATGTCCAATGTCCCCTTTAGAAGATTTTTGTTTATACACCTTGTATTGTAAAAATGTTTTTATTGAATAAATGGAATTGAAACGGTACTGGATATTTTCAACAACAAAAAAATCTCTAAAACGGTGAGACTTTTATAATGTGAATTTTGTCATATGCAGGTGGGTTATCCTTTTATCTACATCCACCCTAGGTTTGACGTGGTCTTTACGGGACACCCTGTATGTAGGTACGTCTAGTGACACTTTGTATTGAAAATGGTTTGGAGAAGAGAAATATAATTATATTGAAGAAATATAAAATTTTTACTTATCTTCGGACGTTTCGGTTACGAATCTGCTCCCGTTTTCAACATAAAAAATGGAAAATATTATTCTCAATGAGAAGTGTCTTTTCATGTTGACAACGGGAGCAAATTCGCTCCCGAAATGTCCAAAGATGAGTGAAAACTTTATATTTTTTCTATGTAATATTTCTCTTCTCCCAACCATTTTCAATACAAAGTGCACTCACAAGCGAATGAATTTTTCTTTTAGGCTCTCTGATAGGACATTTTTTAAACGCAGTGAGATTCTGGGGCCAAACATCTGATTTGTCCTCACTACACGTATATTGAAATAATACATACCTACTGATATTTTTATTTTATAGAAACGAGGAGAGAAAATCCCTATAAATCCGAGTCAATGATTTTCGATTATCTGCTCATCACTTTTACAAAAATAATAGTATAATTTTTCAATATCTTTATGCGGTTTTCTATATCATCACCCTGCAGGGTGTCTCAGAGTTGTAGTGACAAAAGCCTAAGTCCTTTCAACAAAATATGAAAAAAACTTCAAATGAACATGGGCCGAAAATGGTTCGTTTTCGAGATATAGGCTCACAAAATTTGAAGATCGTATACATTTCAGAGACCGTATTAAATTTTGTCTTTTTTGTTTCCATAAATAATAATGTGCAATACATTTTTGGATAATATGGTATTGTCCGTTTTTATAGAAAACGAAGCAATATACGAAAAACAAGCAAGGGACAGAAATATTGTATTTTTATTGGGTTCATCTGAATATTTGGGAAGAACCCGAAAAAAAACACAGGGTGACTTTTTTCCTACAAAAAAGTCGACTTGCACGATGGGTACGCCCCTGGAAATTCTAAATCAAATCTAATTGCTCCAGTAAATGTCTAATCATTGTGTGAATAAACCATAAAAATTCCATCCAAATTGCCTCAAACATTTTCAAGATATTCAATAAACGTTTTTTTTTACTTGGAAACTCTGTATCTCGGAAACGATAAGCATTTCCGGGCCCATGTTTACATGACAATTTTTTGATAGTTCGCTATTTCACTTTTATTATGTTAATATGTTTCTTAATTACCTTTCTATACTTATTGCTGTAAGCGTCAATACTGAGCAAATCGCCGAAACGTACTGCATGTAGTGAATACCTTTACAAACAACTGCGCCCATTTGCCAGGTGTAGGAAAATAATTTAGCTATCTGAAAAATACAAATAATTATTGTCAGTGATGGGGTAGCCCCCATTTCACCGATAACGATCGATTGGGCAGCAATATATATATATATATATATGTATATATAAAAATACAATAACTTTAGGAACAGTTCCAAAGGAAATCTTTCTAGGTGAGGTTGCAGTCAGAATTTTGGCCTTAATGAGAGGACTCTTTGTTACATAGCCGAGCTTTCGGAAATGTTGTATGTATATATATATCTATATGAAAACCCGTGTATATTGGGGGTAGCAGCAGTGTAAAAGGAATACTCTTTGAAGTTTATCCAAGCTTTCGGAAATGTTTATTTCCATCATCAGGAACAATCTTTGGTGAGGTTGGTTACAACGTTGTTCGATATATAAAATTGTATAAGAAACGGTGACATATTATGATAAAATTGATAGGAGACTAACATTTTTACATCTAAATTGAACTGTTACTTATGTAAATTTCAAGTTTTAAAATTTTTTGTTTAAAAAAAAATGATTTCCGCAAGTCACATTGCTCACATTCTTCCAATTATCGAACAACGTTGTTACCAACCTCACGAAAGATTGTTCCTGATGATGGAAATAAACATTTCCGAAAGCTTGGATAAACTTTAAAGAGTATTCCTTTTACACTGCTGCTACCCCCAATATACAACTGGCATCATTTCTACTGGTCAGCAACGACTTCCCTTCCATATATAAGTATATATAGTTTCAGGGATAAGTTTAGTTATTTATCAGAGACCGAGTACGACTCTGATGAGCTCTGGGAAACAGCTATTCGGTATTTACTATCAATAATTGAACATTACTCATATATCGGTTCTCCCGTAAGTTAAGTGATCTTGATGAACTGAAAACGACATCTTTGAATCGAACAAAAACTGCATATTTTTATATTTTTTCCATGATGTAGTTTTTTTTTTCTGAATAAACAGGGATTGATATAGGTTAAACGTCATGCATTTTTGACATTCAGTACCTACCAGGGGCTGACAAAAGACGTTCTCGCAGGACAAAGTCTTATTTTCGACATATACGGAACTATTATTAAAAAAATGAAGCAACTTTTGAAAATTGGTAATTCATGCCCTTTCGAATAGTATAACTACCGCAATAAAATACTGGTGTAATTGAATTGAAATATTTATTATTGTGAAATTAAGCATAGTTGAATACGTAGAAAATGGTCACCAAACATCTCACATTTTTAAACAAAAATTATATATAAATGTCCATAACGTGTTTAGGTAATTTTCAACGTATTGAAAAACGGAAATACATTTTACAGGTTGTGTATGAATAAGTACAAAAAAATTAGGTGATTCCTTGTTATATTTCAGAAAAGAAAGTTCACATATAAACATATGCGTGTCTTAACTTGAGATACGGCAGCATGTAGCAGTTGTAGTAATTATTGTTCTCTTCATGACCATCCTGTATAAGCTGACAAAGCCTCGAAATTTCAAAATTATATTTATTGAGGTTATTGAGTAGGTAACCACAATGGGTGTCTTGATCTTGCATTGAAATTTGGAGTCAAATGACATTTTCATTGTCTACTCAAAAACTGAAGCGAGATAGAAGTAACAGACATGATGACGAAGTTGTTTTTTCAATTGTTCAATCCAATGAGAATATGAACCTCAGTGGTGTGTAATGATATTCACTTTAAATATTGATAAATTACCCACCTCGAGCCACTGGAACTATTATTTAGCTTCTAATCACACCAAAAGATGCTTCTTCTAACGAAACCGCCATGTTTCATTAAGATTAAGACATGTCGAGTAATGTATGAAAAAATTTTTGCATGAAATATGTGAGACGGAAACACTCCCTTAATTTTTTGGCACTTATTCATAAGCAACAACAACAAGACATTGTACTAAGATAAATGTGGCTTAATATGTTTAAATCACCTCTCCTCTGTTAGCTCCTGAAAGGTTTGTATGAACCTGCAGGACACTTTGTATAGAAGTGGAAAATAAAAACCTATTTATTTGGCCCAAATGTTGTTTGTTTGGATGAAACACTAAATCAAACATGTTATGGTATGGTCAAATGCATCAAAAATCGTGTACTTAAAAATTGACAGAATTTACGTAAAAGTTTAGTCCCAGTATAAACAAATCTATTTCGTTTAGCAAATAAACTAACATTGCGGCTACCGTGCCTATGAATAGAATGTGGCCAATGTCAGTGTTAAGTCTGAAATTTTTCCACTTCAATAATAGCTGAATAAAAAGAGCAACTCAGATAGGTGCCTATAATTGTAATTTTGTTCAGGCGTGTTTGTATCATATATCGGAAATTACAAGAATATTTCATCGACTGAAAATGTTCAGAATCAACTAGTTTGAAAAAAATTTTGATATTTCATTGTCTATAGTACAAAGTCTCTCAATCGTGGAAATTTTGTGATGCATGAAAATCTGGTAAAAAAAACATTCACCTACAATATGGAATCCTAAATAACATCGAGTTTTTTATAATATTTTTCTCCATTGTTTTATTTTACAACAACAAAAGCCATGCATTGTATGTGAAGATGAAATCTCATATCTCCTATTGCCAGAGATCAATTGAAAAATGAAATTCAATATTTTAATTGCCCATTATCTGCATTTGACGCTATGTCTGCAGTTATAGAGTGCTATTGAATACGAAAATCATGATAGGATGATTATAGATTGAGTGCTCTCTAAATTTAAACATTCGATTAATTCTTGTTTTGATAGATACAAATTTTATGTCGATGTTTTCGTGTTCCTTATATTCATTCCATTCAAAAACTATATACTGAATGGTTTTGCTCTAGTGCACATGCATAATAACATTCTATGAATTCACTTCAAATCAATCAGATATGTTGCCAAACATTTTTCTTTTTCGACAGTTTTTCTAGCACTGTTTCCACAAATGATATCCATCAAACACTTCATTTCACGTAATTAGTGTCACATAACCTGAAGTACTCAGTTACCTTAGAAATAGGAATAATTATAGTTCTACCAACGTACGGGAGACATTTTTCTAAACCGAACAATATATAAGTTACTGAGATGCTTCAGCATCGATATTTATGTGCCTTTATGAATTATTAATACTTGTTAAAGATTCGGAAAAAAATTTGAGCATTCTAGTACTTACCGTATTTTGAAAAAATGGTGCAGGTTCTAAACGACAAATGACAATTTTGGTGCAGGCGTATTGTAAATTCATCATACACCAAACTGATGTGCAAACGAAAATAAATTTACCCTTGAAATAGTCGTCGATTGACATACTTCAGCTTGCTGCTTTAATTTCGCTCAAGACATTGTTCCAAAACTTCTCGCCGACGGCTCGATAGTTTTGATAAACAAAGTCACTCGCAAAATTACTAGATGACAAGCTGTCGTCACAATTGGCGAATTTTTCCAGCACAATATAGTATCACTTGTAATATTATTCATATGATAACATTTCGAGTTCTTCTCTGCAAGAAAGAGAATAATATCAAGGAAAAGGGGCTGAATCAGAAATCCCTGAACCATTTTCGAATAAACACTTTATTCCAACAAACAGTGTTTCACTTTTGTTTATGTTCTGGTTCCCACGAAAAGGGATATCCTGTAATGTTCATAGAACATCGTGAGAACCAAGGGAAATAATGTAGGAATTCTTGTTCTTTCTTAGATATCTGGAGGTTATATGCCTCGGGGAACACCTCCCTTGGCAATGTGTTCCAGAGCCTCGCTGTCCATTGGATAAAAGAGTCTTTGGAAAGAGATGTTCTGCAGGTCTCCAAAGTGACCACGAAGGGGTGCGAAGCCTCAACTCGACGGCTTAATCTTGCGGGGACTGCCGAGAAAGGAACAATTGTTGATATTTCAGAAGAGCATCGTCCATGAAAATTTCTATAAAATGAACCCAGATCACCAACTTTTCTACGGTGTTCCAGATAAGTGAGTGTGTTCGTTAGCGAGGCATCACCCACGAGACGAATTGCCCTTTTTTGGATAGAATCCAACAGTTTCAGGGTATGTTTGGGTGCTGCACTCCAAATATGGGAACAGTATTCCAGGACAGGTCGAATCTGTGCCTTATAGATTATAAATGAGCTGACTGGAAGTGAAATAGCTCCTGGCCCAAATCAGAAAACCAAGTTTTTGAGATGCACTTTCAGCAATTGATCTTACGTGATTTTCCCAAGAAAGGTTATTGCTGATAGTAATACCCAGCATCGAAATGGGTGTCTTCAAAGGTATGGTTACTCCTGACAAGCTTATGTTGGGCACAGTGAAATCGGCTTTTCTAGAGAAAAGGCATGCTTGTGTTTTGTTTGCATTGAAATCTACCAAGTTATTGGATCCCCATTCGAGAATTGTTCCCAAGTCCATATTTATGTTGTCAACATTTCTTCCTCGTTCGTTTCTGATTTGCCTGGCTGGTCTTGGAGCCCTGGAAGAGAAGGCGGTATGGAGGGTACTATCATCCGCGAAGCTGTGTACTGGACATGAAGTTGCTTCCAACAAAGCGTTGATATGGAGTAGAAATAGCGTTGGTGCTAGAATTGATCCTTGCGGAACACCAGCATTTATGATAAGAGAGTCAGATGAAACTCCGTCGACCACTACATGGAGAGACCTGTTTGAGAGAAAACTTAGCTAGCAGAGAACATAGCTGGGAAGGCAAGCCATAAGATGGAAGCTTGGCGAGGAGTCCGTGGTGCCAGACTCGATCGAATGCCTTGGAGATATCAAGTGCCACGGCTAAGGTTTCACCATATTTTTCAAAATATTGCTGCCATATATGTGAGATATAAGCGAGCAGGTCATCAGTTGATCTCTGATGACGAAAGTCATATTGCCTATCCTTGATAATACCTGAATGTTCCAGGTATTTCATGAGCTCGATGTTGATAGCTTTCTCCATGATATTTGAAATGATAGATAGCAGTGCGATCGGTCTATAGTTGCTAGGTAGGGTCTTTTGCCTTTTTTAGGAACTGGTTGTACTCTTGCAATTTTCGAGTTGATGAATATGAAAGGAATTTCAATCGAATTCAAATGATATTGGTGATTTGGTCTTCGTCCAACAATTTGATTTAATTCATACTTATTATGGTCAATGGGCAAGACAATATCTTGATACTATGGTTTTTTCATCTTTTGGAGCGCACGAAAGGGAATCGAAATCCAAACTGCACAGAGAATAAAGAGATATTTTTGTTAAAAAAATAAATCGACTTCAGAACGAAATTTGAAAAGGAAAAAACAAGCAACTAAATCATATCTAAGGGATGAAGGCTGAAGGCTGAAGACCGAATGTTAAATTTCTGTTGATAAACATACCTAAACCGTTTTGATCTCACCTCGTATTTTACGTTGTTTAATTTCTGAATATATACTGACAAATCGAGTGTCGATTGAGCCTTTAGAAATACTATTTCAATTGACCGATACAAGTGGAACACAGTTTATAAAATATAGGAACCGATTGACCTTCCTTTAATTTGTTTTCATAACATTCAGGGAATAATAGATGTTCACTATAAGTATATTGATATTAACATTCTGAACAATATTAATAGTGTTTAGACTGTATAAACTTATTTTATTGAGTACTCGGAAGTTTAGCAGTAAAGCTGCTTTGTACTTTGACCTCATAGCTATATACTAATAAAAATTTTTTTCAAACAATATGAGAACATCAAACACGGAATACCTACTTATGTGAATATAGAAGCTTTTCAAGTCAATCAATTGATTTCACGACTCAACTTTGTCCTATTTGATTTCAGGAGCCAATATTGCAAATTCATGCCATACTCTTCCTCTAATTATTGAGTCGTCAGGATTAAGTTGACTCGTGCATGAATTCACCATCAACCAATCTAAAATCCAAAAACCCGAAAAAATAACGTTCCTGAGTAGGTACATTATTTATTATATTCTGTTAGATACAGAGGCAAGGGCACTTGTGTTTTTGTTTGCTCATCATATTTAACATCTATTTAACTGTGGTGAATTCAAAGCATATGTGCTTCAATATTTACATATTATATGAATGATAATGAACATTGGCGTTAGTTAATGTGATGATAAGAAATTAAGATAAACAACCTTCCATAGTAACAGATTACTTTTCACTATTCGACATCTAATATTATTAGAGAGATTAATCATTTCGTAGTCGTCTGCTACTATAGATCCCTTGGGAATGACTATAACTAGCTATCTGTTCCTGAATTATTATTCAGCTGAATTTGAAGAATACTCAATAATAAAATACCTCAACACCATTATGAAAACAATGTCATGATGCGATGATACTACTTATATAATATATAGTACAATTTTTCTTGATAACAGTTCACAAAAATGAGATTTCCTCCTCACTTTTCCAATAGGCTCATGTATTTGACGTTTATTCAACGTTGAATGGGTGAAAAATAAGGTACATGAAGATTTTTCAACGTTCTCAATTTGGTCATGACAATAACAATGACTAAGGTTACAAAAGAGTAGTATGCGCCCACAGAGTATGCCATAAAAAATTATTGACAGTATATTTGAATCTGAACGAAAATCAATTTGACACTACTGTCATATTGAATTTGTTCATTGTGATATCGCATTTTATTCGAAGTTTTGACTTTCGATTGAGTGAGTTTGGAAAATGAGGAAGTGTATTGGAGTTTAGAAAGGAAATTGTTATTTGTTTTATAGTAGTACTTAGGTAGCACAGATTTTATACGTATATCTCTACCAAAGAAGCAAGCTGAAGCCGATTTATTTTACCTCCGACGGAAGGTAAAATTCTGTTTACTCCTGTGGGAGTAAATTGACATGTTTGTGTCCTTAAATGCGGGAGCAAACGCTTACTTTCGATGCAGTGAGTAGTTAAAAAATGTTACTCTCACCTTTACAGGAATGCAGACGGTGATCAGAATCAAATCTGACGATGCCAGACTGGCGAGGAAGACATTCGTAACGCTTTTCATCCTTCTGTACTTGAAAGTGATGAATATCATCAAAATATTACCAACGAGGCCCAAAATAAATGTGATACTGTATACAATTAGAGTCGGCAGAAGTTCATTCCATTGAAAGAAGGAATGTGGATCATATGTGTTCTCAGTGCTGTTTCCACTGTAATCATACTCATCATACTCCTCCATTTCTTGATTGGCAGAATGTCTTCGTTACCTAAATTAATACAAATTGGGTAGGTGATCTATAGTAAATGTTATTGGTTTGTCTGCTCTCGTAATTGATGCAGTGAATGCAACGTTATTGAAACTTGATTGATTTTTCGTTAGGAAAATTGCATTGAGAACTATGAGAACTAATTAGGTACCAATGATCAAGTTGGAATCAGATATGTACTAAAGTATAAAACAGGGCAGTACAAAGTCAACCTGCCTAGAATTTTTCATCAATATATCTATACTTCAGCCAAATTTTGAACACGGTATACACTCAAGAAGGTTTTCTCTAAATGTCATTTTATCACGGTCCACAATCAGTGGCGTAGCCAGGAATTTGGTTCGAAGGGGGACTGAACAATCAAAATAAGTGAGGCGCGTATCAGCTTTCAGTTTTGGGAGGGCTAATATAGGGTTGCTATCCAAAAAAATACATCGACGAGATTCTCACAACAATAAATAATTATTGTACTATAATAGTTACTATTGATGGATGTTTCAATGGCTACGCCACTGTCCACAATCAATCAGTGGCGGAGGTATGGGTGCACTAAATTCAACAAAAGAGGTATAGTGTGACCCTGTTGAAATAAATCTAAGATGATCTCATTTTGAAATAATAAGTAGACTTATTAAATGATATTATATTTCAACAGGGTGACATGCACTATACCTCTTTTGTTGAGTTTAGGACACCCATACCTCCGCCACTGATTGATTGTGGACAGTTCGACAGTGTCTTTCAGATTATTCAGGATTATTCAGCTGTATATGTCTCATCATCTAAACTCGATAAATTTGATTTGATTCATGGGTGCAGTTGAGGCACATATCACTTGAAAACCATAACCATTTTGAAATCTCTTAGTCACCAACCATAGAACATTTTGCCATTATCAGAGCGTATACAGGGTGTCCGGAAAGGTCATGTCGTAAATGATTGGACTGATAGAGTGAAAGTTTAAATAATAAAAAAAGAAATGTATGTATAATTTTCAAACGCTTGCCATGGTATCGATATTCGGGCAGGTAAATAAACTAAGACTAATGCACCTTTCCATATACGTAAACGATTTCTCGACAGTGAGTGATGTTTTATACTATTATACTGGATGAGACGAATTTTTACCGTATATAATGAAGGCATTTTTGACACAGGTGACATATTTCACATTTTGCTTCGACCGTTTGATTCGTTCATCTTTTATATACGGAATCGATATCCTGTACCTTTCTAGAGGAAATCGCATTTTATAACATACACTAAAAATAATAGACGGGAGTAAATACCAAACGTTTAGTAAAATAGGCGCCAGTCACTACATTCATCAAATAATACCACAACAAAATTGTATCATACTATACTATAAGTATTATACTATTTTGTGGTTACTAAACGTTTGGTTTTCACTACCGACTATTTCTCTTAGTGTACATTCCAACCGTTCCAGGAGTGATAAAGGCTTCATTTGACATCAGTGAAGAAAAAACAGATTAAAAATAGTTTTCAATATGTGCATCTAAAACTTCAACGCATTCTCCAAAATTGTCTAAACATCTACGTTGTACTAGACATGTGATGTTGATCATTGCTTATGGCAGATGTAAGAATTCGATTCAAAAGCTCATCCCTAATATTCACAGGTGTTTTATAGACTGACCATTTGAGATGGCCCCAAGGAAATAAATCAAGTAGGTTAAGATCATGTGACCGAGGTAGCCATGGAAAAGGACCATGGGGAAATGTGATGTTCAAATGATCTCTTACAGCAGCATCGTGCATCAGCCACATATTACCTCGAATATTCAAATGAACCTCTTAAAACAACGCATATGGATGTCCTTGCAAAAAAATTGAATATTTTTTGAATGCGATTTCCTCAAAAAAAAGTACAAGATATCGATTCGAATAAAGTATACCATTTTTGCGGATAAAAGATGGAAGATCTTCGAACGGTGGATGCAAAATGTGGAAGTTGTCACCTGTGCCTTCATTAAACGAAAAAAAAATCGTTTCATACTGTATAAAACATATTCACGGAAGAGCCGTTTTAGTATGAAAAGGAGCATTAGTATGAGTTTATTCACCTGCCCGAATATTATTGATACCATGGTAACCGTTTGAAAATTATGGTGAAATTCATTTTTTTAATTTTAACTTTCAAGATCGATAACTCCGCTACGAAGTGCGATAGATTTTTTTTTATATAAAGTATACTAACATTAATTTGTTTCACTTTATCAGTCCTATCATTAACGAAATGACCTGTATGGAGTGATAATAATATTAATATTATGAATAATCTATGAATATCTCCACCGTATCTCAGGAATAGATGCTTATTTGAATTCTTACTTGAAATTGACTCTGGATCATCACTATGGGATGTACCAACGTTGTTGGGTTATATCCTGTAGAGTGATACACTTTCTATAATTCCAGATTTTGGGAAATTTCGTTCTTTCAGCATTGGCAGAATTAATAAATTCGAGTCAAATGATTTGTTGCATTGCACGCTTCCCTTCCGGCAAATAGAACAGAACACAGGGTGTAGAGCACTCAGATTAAAAAATCTTGCCAAGTTATAATCTCAGAAAACTCTGGAAATTATGGCTGGTCTAAATCAAAATACTATGGTTTGATAATAATGCTTGATTTTATAACTTGAACGAAAGGACTATTTCGTTTTGGGAGATCCTTGATTTTTGATAGTACATACCCATCCTGAATTTTGTTCTGTTGAATTTTCAAAGATAAAAAAAACGTTTTTCCCTTATTATATTCGTATATTCACATCAACATTAGCTTAATCTTCCTGATGAATGCCCCTTCATATAGATACTTTTCACAAGAATATTATGTGTGCGCTCCTTCGAAGAAAATCCTGGATCCGCCACTGAAATACATCGTTATGTTTTAGAAGCTTCAATCTATATATTTTGTCAGCTGAACGATGAATTGATGTTCATCATCCAGGTCGTGGAAAAATTCTGAGCTGACGAAACCCAAATCACGAATTTGCGTTATTAGGGGTCTGTAAAAGCCTTGCAAATTCCTATCGTTCAAATTAAACCCCTTGATTGGGTATGATAGTTTTGAAAAGGAATATTTCTCAGATATATTGCGAACATAAAAAAATTGATATGTTTAGAATTCGCATTCTGTATCTGATGAAAATATGATTTCTCTGTCGGTACTTTCCTGGCTATATGCCACGTACAATGAATTACATCGAACATAAATCTTCTGAAGTTGGGATCGAACTTGCATTCTCTTTCAGAATTCATATTTTTTTCAGATATAGAGAATATCAATTCTCAATGTATTTCTTTGTATGTAAATATCCATTTTTTCATGTTCATAATGTATCGGTAGATATTCCTTTTCAAATCTAATTTATATCCCTAAAAGCTTTCCATCCACTTTAATCTCCTTTAAAATTGAATTCCCTATCCGGTTAACCGATGCTTTCCATCAACGAAATATGATACGAATCCCGTTCGAATTTTTGAATCAACTAGTTGATTACTCGACAGAACAATGAAGGACAAACGGTTATTGAAAATAGAAAACTCACCAAATTTGAAATTAGATGGACACGGAAAGACTTCACACACAGACTGTCACTTAGCAAGGATATCATGTCAGTTCGGGATTCATGGGGATAACTGTATGCCAGGCGTCCAGACGCGTCGGTATATATCAAGAGTGCCAATTGAAAATACTGTGGAGCCTCCTGGATATTGGTTGCAATGTTGAAAGTTCGACAGCTGAAGCTTTCACGCCGTTTTAGATAATGCTACGGCACTTGTGGGTGGAATGCGTTTGAAAAATTACGATCGAATAATTCGAAATGTAACCAGATAGAATTTATCTAACTAACACCTGTTGATTCGGTCTGGAATTCTTTCAATTCATGAGGGATACAAAACTTTTTTAAATTTAGAGACAAAATAGTTTAGTTAAAATGGGCATTGCAAATGGAGAATCCAGTATATTATAATATTTTCGAAATATGGAGTATGGATTATTCATACTCTATAAGCGAATTAGATGAGCACCTGAATCCATTTCCAATAAATATTTTTTGAATAAAAAAAAATCGAGTGTAGGTACAATACACTCACAGGCAAAAAAACCGGCCAGCAAAGAATTTAGTCGTATTGATCGCCTGTCAGCGTCTGCATCCATTTCCAATAAATATTTTTTGAATCAAAAAAAAAATCTTGTGTAGGTAAAATTCAAAATAAAAAAAATAAAAGAAATACAAATACAAAAAAAACGACAAGCAAAGAATTTAGTGAAATTGATCGCCTGTAAATTTTTAGTTTCTTGTTAATTCGATTCTGATGGAATTCCTACCAGATGGTAGATTTCAAAATGTTATCTCGAACATTAATTCTTCAAAAGAGCTGATGGTTTGATGAATATATAGGGAAAATCAAGAGTTATCTTTCTCCCCTAACTCCTTTCATGTTTTGGATTGAAGTGTGATCTCTTCTTAACAAAATGGTTCCTGATTCATATCAATATCTAAACCTAAAGTCTTCGCCTGGCCAATTCGAGAGCCACGACTCACTCCTCAAGAGAAATTTGAGGTAATTCCTCAAGACTGGAATGTTGTAATTCTGACACCCGTTGATTCGGTCTGGAATACGTTCAATTCATGTTAGATACAAGTTTTTTTCAAATTTAGAGACAATCTAGTTCGGGGCATTTCAAATGGAAAATCCGGTATATTATAATATTTTCGAATTATGGAGCATAATTCATTCTCAATAAGCGAATTAGATCTGCACCTGAATCCATTTTCAATAAATATTTTTTGAATTAGAAGAAATCGATTGTTGGTAAAATACACTCACTGGCAAAAAAAAACCGGCCAGCAAAGATTTTAGCCAGGTTGATCGCCTGTATCTTCATAAATTCTCACACCCGTTGATTCGGTCTGGAATACTTTCAATTCATGTTAGATACTAGTTTTTTTCAAATTTAGAGACAATCTAGTTCGGGGCATTTCAAATGGAAAATCCGGTATATTATAATATTTTCGAATCATGGAGTATAATTCATTCTCAATAAGAAATTGATTGTTGGTAAAATACACTCACTGGCAAAAAAAAACCGGCCAGCAAAGATTTTAGCCAGGTTGATCGCCTGTATCTTTTTAAATTCTGACACCCGTTGATTCGGTCTGGAATACTTTCAATTCATGTTAGATACTAGTTTTTTTCAAATTTAGAGACAATCTAGTTCGGGGCATTTTGAAATGGAAAATCCGGTATATTATAATATTTTCGAATTATGGAGTATAATTCATTCTCAATAAGCGAATTAGATCTGCACCTGAATCCATTTTCAATAAATATTTTTTGAATTAGAAGAAATCGATTGTTGGTAAAATACACTCACTGGCAAAAAAAAACAGCCAGCAAAGATTTTAGCCAGGTTGATCGCCTGTATCTTTTTAAATTCTGACACCCGTTGATTCGGTCTGGAATACTTTCAATTCATGTTAGATACTAGTTTTTTTCAAATTCAGAGACAATCTAGTTCGGGGCAATTCAAATGGAAAATCCGGTATATCATAATATTTTCGAATTATGGAGTATAATTCATTCTCAATAAGCGATTTAGATCTGCACCTGAATCCATTTTCAATAAATATTTTTTGAATTAGAAGAAATCGGTCGTTGGTAAAATACACTCACTGGCAAAAAAAAACCGGTCAGCAAAGATTTTAGCCAAGTTGATCGCCTGTATCTTTTTAAATTCTTTTTTCGACCATCTGAGGCGATCCATCTTACAGTGGAGTGAAGGCAATAGAACAGGACGAAATTCTTACAGTCTACTCCACCAAAACTATACACTTTATTGTAATCAAATTACGGGACATGTTTCGAAGCTTCAAAGCTTCATCATCTTCTGGGGAAATAAATTATGTTCACATCTTACAAAAACCATAAAAATTTTTTTTGTAATATGTGAACATAATTTAGACTGTTAGAATTTCGTTCTGTCCTATTCTTGTACGATTCTGATGAAATTTCGACCGAAAGGTAGATTCATATTTCAGAATGTTATCTCGAACATTAATTGTTGAAAAAAGCTGATGGCTTGATCAGTATACAGGGAAAATCGAAAGTTACTCTTTCATCCATAACTTCTTCCATGTTTTGGATTGAAGTATGATCCCTTCTACACACAATGGTTTTTGAATCACGTCAATACCTTCTCTTTTCAAAAAGATACGAGTATTTTGGGAAAGTATCGATTTTTTAAATTATTATTGCCAATTCAGAACAGTTCTCCAATCTTCTGCTTCACCATGTTTTGGATTGAAGTGTGACCCCTTTTCGTACCTTCTTAACACAATAGATGCGTTCCCTTTGTTCCATTCTGGTAGCGGTGGTGGGAACAGAATAACGTTTACAAATAAAACGAGAAATGAGGTTATATTTGTGTATTAAGGATTCAAATAATTTCAAAATCACAATACTAGAGTCAAGAATCTAGTTAATGAATCAACGATCAGTGACTGTGGTGATAGGAGAATCTTCTATGATATCCAGAGAATTCATTTTAATTGGAAATGAACATATGAAACCAGCCTCACTTGAAAGAAACATGAACTAGTGAACTTCACGATGAAAATCTCTTCTAAATGTCTTTTACTTTCAGAAAGTGTTTCCTCAATCTAATTTGATTTTTTGACAACGACCCACTCCTCAAGAAGAATTTGAGATGATTCCTCGAGACTGGATTGTTGTAATTCAAGTTCGAGGAGGACATACTCATTATTGATTTCATCTAGGAGTTCTGCTTTTCTGTTGTTTTCAGAAATTAAGGTTTCTCTCTCCTGGTGAGTGCTAAATAACGGGGAAGGAATAAATTATTTCAATTTTCAGTTCAGTTCATGTCCATACTTTCTCAAAACACAAATATATAATCTCAGAAAAAAGTTCAATTTCTTCATATTATCATGTTTTAATCGACCTAAGGACTTATGATTTTTCCCAACTATCTAAAAAATTTAGGAAATTTCTACATGGAGTGAATTCAAATCTATTCCTCCTCTTATTTTGTCACCATCCGAAACCCCTATCGATAAAATAAAACAATTCCACATCTTAGTTACGATTCTTCGAGTAATATTTGATTTCAAACTCATATTTTCATTAATCTTCGGAAACTATTAATTCCTGATTCATAGGTGATTATTTGTTTCAGATGAGTTTCAATTAGGAATAATTCTCATTTAATATTTTTTCATAAGTTAGTCATTTACATTTTCTACTTGCAACATGATTATAATTCATTGTAGCATCTATTGATGACTCGTAATACATAATATATAATTTCAACTGATAAAATGATATTAAACTCATTAATATCGGAATTGCACACCATCAGCATCAGCACTTTTGCAAAGTTATCAGTCTTTTGAAGAATATAAAACGGAAGGGAACCCTGCATTTGGCACATTTCGATCGATCTCGTTCACCTCAACAATATGAGGTCGCAAATCGTCTTCTGCCTTCTTGGTAAGTACATTACTATTATTATCATTATTATTTTTATTATTATCATCATTATTATCATTATTATTATTATGAATTTATGTTAATTCCAGTCACGGCTCTGTGGCTTCCGACGCCACGCAGAGCCGTGCTGGATGAAATCCAGTGACTACTCCCTACAGCATGTGGGGTGAATAATCACTGGAACAAAGAATCGTGTATTATTATCATCATTACTATTATCATTATATTTATTAATAATATGGATATTTTCGATTATATTATTATCACCGTTCCATGTATACTTTCTAATTATTTCAAAAATTCATTTTTTTCCCAATGTTTCGTCAAACTGTATTTTCTTGCAAATCTATCATGTTCTTCAAATAAAGTTATATTTCCAAGTTGACTCAGTGAAATGTTCTGCCGAAAGAGATTATCAATCATAAACCATGCGTATTTGAACTCGATATTATTGTCACTACTATATCGATATTCTGTCAGAATCAAATGTGTTACCTTCCAATGTAGGGATTGAATTTCAATGTTTTTTTTTTTGTAATTACAGTGGGGCTTGTATACGCAACAAACCCAGGATGGAAGGACACCACCGAGTACGTTTACAAAGTACTAGGAAGATCCCTGGCAAGCATTGACGAGTCATCCAACCAACATTCTGGAATCTTCTTGAGGGCTAACCTGAGGGTGCAACCAAGACCTGATGGAAAATTACAAGCCGTGATCACAGAACCCCAATACTGCCAGATCCACTCACAGCTTCCTGAAGGATGGAAATCCCAGATTTCAGAGTCTGAATTGACCTGGAAGACTTTGGGACTCTCCTCGAAGCCTTTCCAGATCGAGATGAAAGATGGAGTTATTGTTGATCTCGTGGTCAGCAAGGATGTTCAGAACTGGGAAGCCAACTTCATCAAGAGTATTGTGAGCCAGTTCCAAATGAACACCAAGGCCAAAAACCCAGTGAAAACCGAAGTCGGATTCAACAGCCTTCCAACAGCTGATGGTAACTCTGCAGTATTCGCAACTATGGAAGACACTGTCACTGGCAACACCAGGACCCTCTACGAAATCAGGCCACTGGCTCCCCACGTTCTTCAAGACAAATATTCCACCCTTCGTTTTGCTCAGAGCCTGAGAGAAAATGAACAAGTCATCGAGGTTGTGAAGCACAAGAACTACAACGAAAGTGTAGAACTTCCCTCTTACTTCTACGGATTCCGTGAAATGGGCGAGCAATTCAACGAAGAAATGGTTAGCAACAAAATGGGAAACTTCTTCGTAAGGGACAGTACCAGTTGGGCGATTCTCACAGGTGATTTGAACCGTTACACCATCCAGCATTCTTTGACTGTCAACAAAATCTTCATCAAGCCAACCCTCAGCGAGAAGCAGATGGGATCTGTTGTCAGCGTGATGAATGTTACTCTTGAAGAAGTCAGATCACAGGACCAGAGAATCCAAGAAGTTCTCGAGCCTGTGCACCTCGGCAACTTGGTTTACACGTACGAAAAAGTCAATTCCCCCTCCAACAAAGTTTACGCAAAGAAGCATTATGAGGCACAACAACAATGGGAAATTGATTCCTCTGAAGAATACCAAAGGACGACAAACATGGGAAGGGCACGCCGTTCCGCCGAAGATATTGAGCGTGACTTAGAGTTCTCCTCCCATTCCGAGGAAAGCTACAAAGAAGCTCAACCCCAAATGCACGAGGCACCCGCAAGTCCTCTTCTGCCTTTCACCACAGGATTCGACGGCATGTCCATTAAACACACAGTGAACATTGTCGAAGAAGTACAGAAATTGGCTAGACAAATTGGTGATGACTTGGCAGACAAGAAGAAGAGTAACCACGAAGAAGCTTTGAGCCGATTCACCACCCTGGCTTCCCTCATCCGTCTGATGGATGCTGAAGAACTACAGAAAGCCGCCAGTGATCTATACAGTAACGCTGAAGAAGGTCCCAAACGTGCAACCTGGACCGCTTTCCGTGACTCAGTAGCTGAATCAGGAACTGGACCAGCTTTCCTCACCATCTTGAAGTGGATCGAATCTAGTAAAATCCGTGACGAAGAAGCCAGCCAAGTTGTCTCTACCATGAGCAATGCCGTCCGTCAACCTACCATCCATTACATGAGACATTTCTTCGAGCTTATCAAGAAACCCGAAGTTCAAAGAGAATGGCCTCTGAATGATACCGCTCTATTGGGATACACCGAGCTCATCAGAAGAGTTTACTCCGATAAACTAAGCTCTAGAACACAATACCCCGTGAAGAGCTTTGTTAACTTCAGGACTAAGGAAGGAATCAAATTCGTAAGAGAAGAAGTTATCCCTTATCTCACTGAAAAATTGAACGAAGCCATCTCCGAAACCAATACCAACAAAATCCACGCCTACATCCGTGCTCTTGGCAACATCGCTGATCCCAAAATATTGTCAGCTTTCGAGCCCTACCTGGAAGGACACAAACAGGCATCTCAATTCCAGAGGTTGTTGATGATCTTATCCCTTGACAAACTTGCTGAATGCTATCCTAAGGAAGCGCGTTCTGTTCTCTACAAGGTTTACCAGAACTCTGGTGAATCTCAAGAAGTTAGAGTAGCTGCTGTATACCAACTCATGCGTACCTCACCACCAACTGAGATGCTTCAAGTGATGGCTTCATACACCAACACAGATGCCAATGATCACGTGAACGCAGCTGTTAAATCCTCGATTGAATATGCTTGCAAGTTGGATTGGCCATACCAGTCACTGTGAGTACAATTATTATGGATTAGAGATTGGGAAATCTGGATAACTTATATATATATATTTTCTTCTAGCCGTGACGCTGCCCAAGCTGCCAAGCCTCTGTTGACCAGGAAAGTATTCGGTATCCATGAAGGAGCCAACTACCTTCGCAGCTACGTTAACGAAGAATTGGAAATATCGTTCAAACAAACTGCTCAGCACATTGGTAGTGAAGATGGAAGTTACTTGAAAGGGTTCAGATACTCCCTGCGCTCAGGATTGAGTGGATTGAAACGTAGATTGGTCAATGTTCAAGCCTACATTTCTAGTGTCGATGAACTTATACATGTCTTTGCTAAACAAACCGAACGATACCAGGAGAAGGAACAACAGCAAAAGATGCATGCTGACGAACAACAACAACACCCATGGTCTAGTCAATACATTGCTCATTTACTCAACATGAAGGCTACCGAACGTGAACAACTCGAAGGGTACTTGAACTTGGAATTTGGAGCACCTTACAAGATGTTCTCTTTCGACAACATGACAATTGAGCAGTTACCAGAAGGTATTCAATCAGTCAGCTATCGGAGCACGAGCGCGTTATTTACTTTTCATTTTCTTTTTAGTTATCCGTAAAATTGAGGAAGAACTTCAACAAGGCAAGAGGATCAACTTCTTCAAATTGGTCAATGACAAAGAAATGGCTCTTTCATTCCCAACTGAAATTGGATTACCATTCCTATACACCTACGATAGTCCCATGCTCGTCAAGATCCAAGGAAAGCTCAGTGCTCAATCATCTCCAAGCATATCCCAAAAAGGAAAGATCTACAAACCAGACAATGTTCAGATTCAAGGAGACGTTGAAATCACCGTCAGTTCAAAGACCCAGGGCCGTATTTCATTCACTGCTCCATTCGAACACCAACAGTATATCGCTGGTTTCGACAAACAATTCGAAGTACACTTCCCCCTACATGCCAAGGCCGAAATCGACCTCAAGAACGCTGAAATGAAGATGGAGTTCCAACCTGAGAAGGTCCAGAGAGATACCCTCGTATTACATTACTCAACCAAACCATACACTTCCAGAGCTGACCTGAAGAATTTCGAGCCACTGAGTCGCCAAGCCAACACAAAATATATCAAATCCGAAACCTTGAACAGATTCGAGAAGGTTTACGGACAGAAAAAATTAGGAATGGCCTTCCGTGTCAAAGCTGAACATGAAAGAAGGTTCATCGATCGTGAGCTTCTGCAAAAATTCCTGGGACAAGAAGGTATCTACGGAGGAATGAAGAGCTTATGGGCTGATGCTGAGATCCAATACGGACACTTCGATGTACATTTCATGCCACAAAAATCATTCGCCCGCAACATTGTTTTACGCATTGGTGCCCAACAGAAATACACCCCTCAACCCGAACAAGAATCTTCTGGCAAATGGAGGTTCGATGAACGTTCCACCTCAGCTGAACGTCAACAAAGCCTTATAAACAAGGTTTCTGAGGGTATAAAGAACGTCAAGGCCCAATCCGTCGATGCTTCACTCGAATTCCTAGGAGAGAAGAACGTGAAATACTTCCTCACTGGAGCCTATGGAAAGAGCAACGTTGATCCCAAATCTCGTGTGATGATTTTCTGGAAGAGAACATCTGACGATCAAGAAATGAAACCCTACGAAGGCAAACTCATTTCCAAGAGCTATATCCCAAACACCAATGGCCTTGATCTAGAATACTCCCTGCACGAAGAACCAATGGCAGAAACAGAGATGGAAATTGGCTTTGGACCATCTGATGATTCCCTTCACATGATCGAACTCAAATTCAAACACTACAGGAGCGAAGAACGCAAGCAATACTTGAGGAATCTGCCCTTGTACCAAGAATGCCAACAGCAAATGCGCAGAGGAAACAAGCAGTTACCTGCATGCCTCAACATGACTCTCCAAGCTAACCTTCTGGATCGAGTTAGCATGAAAGTCAAATACGAGAACTTCAGGTCTCAATGGATCGATGCTATGAGATCCGCAGAATATGGTTTCATCTGGAACTACTTCCCAAGTATTGAAATCTTCGAACCACAGTCATCTGTGGAACAGAATGAATTCTTAATCCAAGGACACTTCCACCCAGATCTGAAATTCGTCAATGTTTCTTTCGAAACCACCAAAATAGGATCCAAGATCAGGGATATTCCTGTATCAGAACTAGCTAAGCAAATGTTTGTTATCCATCCAGTATTCCACGCTACTGACCGCGTCATGAGTGAAGTTTTTGGCGTGCAAACCTACAGACGTAAGTTCCGAATTAACCTTCAGAGTTAACTCCAATTTCAACTTCCTTGTTTTTTCCAGCTGCTTGCGTTGTTGATCAAACTGAAGTGAACACCTTCAGCAACTGGTCCTACCCTATCGAAATCTCCAGGCACTGGACTCTTTTGCTTCAATACATCCCCAAAGAAGCCCGTCACCAAGAGAGAACCGTCGAAGAACAACTCAGATCCCAGCTTGTCAACCAAGCTGTACTCATCAGACAGAACCAAGAATCATCCCGTCACAGAGATGTCAAGATCACCCTGAGCGCTCCCCAGACCGAATTCAAGGTAGTCGACATCGAAATGACCCCTAATCAAAACCAAGGATCTTCTGAACCCAAAGCTAGAGTCACCGTCAATGGCAAACAAGTGAGGATCAGCGACAAGGCCAGCCACGACGTCGCGAAAGGTTACATCCAGATCTACGCCCTTCCCAACGGAGAAGTCAAGGTTGAAATCACCAACGGCTTCTACGTCATCTACGATGGAGAACGCGTCAGAGTAAACATGGTCAACAGCCAATACCGAGGAGCCGTCCGTGGTATCTGCGGACAGTACAACGACCAGAAGAGCGAGGAATTCCTTACCTCAGAGGACTGCTACGCCCGTGACTCCAGGAAGTTCGTCAAGAGTTTGGAACTGGAAGGCCAGGAAGGCCAGCAGTTCAGGAGAGAGTTTGCCGGAAGGAACCAACATTGCGTTGAGAGGCGAGTCCCGTTGTTCGTCGACGTCATCAGCGACGCTGATGCCCATCGTCAAGTATCCTCAGACAGACATCAGCAAGGCAAGTGCACCCACTTCAAGACCAGGTACGTCCAGGAGAACGGAAACATCTGCTTCACCCTTCGTGCCCTTCCCGTGTGTAGCAGCAGCTGCCATCCAAGAGGATACGTGACACAGAACGTGCCGATGCATTGCATCCAGAAGAGCAACGTTGCCCAGCTGTGGAAGGACCAGATTGACAGGGGAGCGAGCCCGGACTTCAGCGGAAAGAAGGAACACAAGAGCATCACCATGACCGTTCCCCAGAGCTGTTCCCAATGAGACAATCGACGATTGCGACCTGTATTCGTATTAGTTTTAAATGCAATTCGAAAAATGTAAAAAAATATGTGATGAAATAAAGTCTTAACTGAATATATTGATCTTACATTTCACATAGTCCTGGAAATAACTAATAACCCACACCACAATACTATATCTAGTCTACACATTGTATATTTTGAAACTGGAAAGTTAAGTCCTTGGTGAGCCCATGTTAATTCAAGGATACTTCATGTAGGTGCATGATATTTACAAAATACCTTGATTTTCACTTAGTGGTATTAGTTCCTGAAATCCTAGTATGAAAATGGCAAAACTCAATATCAATTAATAAAAAACACTTGGTAACTCACTTTTTTTTTGACAACTTGTCACTGATACTTCTCCAAACCTATATTTCACTTCTTGAAAAAAAATTCACTAACTATTGATTGAATTCCTCTTTTATGTTCTTCAAGTTTCAAACGCAGTAACATTTTGGGGAAAAAATCTGATTTGCCCTTACTGATGTGTGTTCAATAGATATTATTCAATGTTCGTCGTGGCATATAGCCAGAAAAGTAGTTTTTTTCTGTTGTATAAACCGACAAGAATTGATATTTTCATCATATGGAGAATGCGAAGTTCCAATGTATTTCTTTATATACAGTATGATGCGAATGTATGGAATAAATTCATTATTTCAGAAATGGGCGACATTTGAAAAAATTCCAAAAACACTTGAGTTTCAATTTCTGAAGCCTCATCTAATGATATTCATATGAGAGATGTTACGTCACCGGTGTTGGAGTAAAGACGTAATGGACGATTTTTTCAAATACAAATAGGGGTCATGTGACACCTTGATTGAAAGGTCTACCGATCGTATTCAACAGTCAAAATGTTGCATAAGAAGATTGAAATTAAAATGGATTATCATGTGATTAATTGAATCTTGCAGAGGTCTGCTACTGAGAATTGAACATCGAAGGGTCGTCTTGTTAAAAAATACGTCGAAAAAAAAGTTTTAAACTCTAGTTTTTTTTTTTTTTTTTCGAAATTCGTCTTGTTTTGAAATGAATTTATTCCATACATTTGCATCATACTGTATATATCCATTTTTTTATGATCATAATCTTATCTGAGAACATTCTTTTTCAATTTTTAAAAAAATTGAAAAATAATTTAGCATTCAACCTGTTGAAAATGTACGGCCCACAAAGGACATTAGGTAATAAATAATTAAGCCACATGTGAATTATGGTAAATTATCACCTAATATCTGGTGAATGTGGCCTTATGAGCCCACAATACATAATAAATTCTATATGCTCATTTATCTCGAAAACGGTTAATTCCTCGGAAAATGAAATGCAAGAAAAGCCTCCTAATTGAACGATCTATCCTATTTGGGAACTGGCAGAGGCGAACTACAAAAAAGTTTGGGGGGATAATGAAGCCTCTACCTCCAAAAACGTATCACCCTGTTGATTTTAAAAATCATGATTCTTTAGGAGGTATCAACTACACCAAATTTCAAATTGATATCTTCAAAAGTGACCTTCTCCACCCTCAGCCTATGTCCCAATAGTTATGACCCAGCTGGTATATACAAGGTGTCCCAGTACAACTAACCATGAAGTCTACAGGGGCAACTAGACATCAAAATAGAAAATATACCGTTGGGCCGTGAGAGGGCGATGAAGAATAATTTTATTTACAGATTTTCCTGAATTTTTGAAAATCATACCAATTTAATCAATATACAGGAAGATAGATATTTCACATTCTCTTCGATGAAAATTGATGTAACTTTTTTAAAGTAGACCACTGACCATATTTCGATATTTCAATAAACGACAAATTTAATCATCTTACTTTTTCCTAACAACCGATTTTTTCTAATTCTTCTTAGTTTTCGAGATACCTAGAAGAATTAATGTTGGTGCTTCCCCATACTTGTTTATAATGTAATTATTACCTATCATATTTCGAAAATTTCTACCTCATTTGTGTTGACCACAATGTACATGTTCACAATTTCGCTACCTCATCATCATATGATCTAAGAGCTGGTCGATTCCAAATTTTAATCTTTCTTTCTCGCAAAAAACTTTTCTCGGAAAAAAAATCTATTTGAACAACCTTATCATGTGCTGAAGTAGGTAGTTCATGAACATGATTATTGTGGTCAATAACTCATCTCAAATGAAGTAGAAACATAATTATTCATGTTAGATATCTCGAAAACGAAGAAGGATTACAAAAAACTGAAGTCAGAAGAAAGTTAGATAATTCATTTTGTCATTCAATGAAATATCAGAATGAGGTGAGTGACTGCGGAGTACTCCAAAAATGTTATATCAATTTTCATCAAAGAGAATGCGAAATACTTATCTCCTTGTATATTCCAGGCAAATCCACTTCAATCGGCCTAACTTGGTCTCTGGTTATGGTACGTTGTTTTGAGACACATTGTATACATACAGGGTGTTTCATAATTATTGAATGTCAATATTCGAAGAGGCGATTCTTGGGCCCATTCTAAGAAGAAAGTTTCATATGAACGTATAACCTCCTAACTTTGAGATACAGGGTGGTAAAGTTACAACTACTTTCCTGGCTATATATGCCACGCAGAACAGTAGATTACATCCTTGATTATATACACTCTAGTACCTACATGTACCAACCTATATGATAAAGGCCTTCACATCCATTTACGTAGTTACTAATTAATAATCTAGATATGAAATTGGCATCTCTACATTTTGAGATTTGAAACATTGACTCGCTTGGGAGAAATTACAATTTCTCATATATAACTTTCTATTCGAATACGTATCAAGATATTTCTTAATGTTCTTGTGGTATTTCGAATATTTCTCCCTTTGTATTTCCATCGACAACCATAGAATCCACTTGGTTTTTAGGCGAATTCCAACATGAAATGGTGGTGCACAGAGAACTTCTTTATAAATTATCTCTGTCAAAGTTGCTTTATCGCTTCATATTGTATTACAAAATTTGTTGGTTGTGGATGGAATAGAACAAAATTATTTCAATCCGGCCCTGTATGCGACAATTATTATTCACAAATATCGGAAAGAATTTTCCGATTACAGATTTCTGCACAGGATGATATTCGAGAAAGTATTGCGCGATTGCAAAATGAAATTAGTTCATCCACCTGCCACAAGATAACCGCCACTTCCTTAACGAAAATTTTGGCTTCATCGCTCCCATATGCATGGTTCCTCTTACTAGTGTGAATACTCAATGATTACATCCTTCCGAAAGTTATGCAATAATTCGTATAGACGAAAAAAATCGCAAGTGTTTCCTTCCTGTTTTATTCGTCTATACGAATTATTGCATGAATTCCGGGAGGATGTAATACAATATTCTGCGTTGCATATAGCCAGAAAAGTAGTTGTTTTCTCTCGTTATCTACCATTTTTGTGGTAATGACTTCGAGTTTCTCTCTATTTGTGACCATTGCATTCCCCTAGCTTTTCCCTAGTTGATTATTTACGATATTCACAATTGCTACCCCTCTCACTTTCTTCACCCTCAACACATATATAAGTAGTTATAATTCTCATGACCACCAGAAGGACTCCAATGAGATGCTTGCATAGGGCACTGTCGACATTTAATCCGCCTCTGTCCTTCCTGCTCTGGAGTCATAAAAGTTATTCTTTCCCAGGTGTCATTGAGATAAAATTCAATTCATTTTAGTGATTCTAAGTCCCGCGAAAAAATTGTGTCATGCCCCTGAGATCCTCATCGATGAAGTTGAAAATTTCTTCCATTCAGAACCAACCTTCTTTTAGAATTATTACTTTTTGGTCAAAATTCTGATCGGGCAAATTTGGCGAATACTCCTCCGCCGAAATTGTCAATAAGAGCACTCGCCATTTTTTATTCTGTTATGACAGGGCCCAACATGTTTTTTTCACAAATTTCTGAAGAGTACATCTACAAGATGTTTTTACTTTATTTATACAGGCATTATATTATCGGATAATGTTGAAAATAATTTGATGCCCTAATGCCATTTTTTCTACCTGAACCCGTATTTTTTTAAATACTGTCAATTAGTACACGTGTTTAATTATGTATTGCTCTATCTATAAAAATGAACTATATAAACGTTGTTAGTCTGAGTCTCGGATCTTGCATCTTGTTACAATTTCTGGAGTAATGTGAATGAACATTGCTAGGGTAACTGATTTTTTGTAAGTTTCTTCGAATATAAATGAGACTTCGATAAATGTATATTGATGACCGAGTCATAATATTGAATCGAAAGAACTCATGTTCCTCCTACTGGGCGAATCCGATGAAGGAAGGCACAAATCCAAGTATTCAGGAATGCTGCGTTGATGATGCTATCCGAATAATCCTCGCACCACAACTCCTTTATCAGCTTCGCGAACTCATTGAATAATTCCCCTCTCATGCTTGTGGTTGTGGTGGTGTTTATAACTAACATGTAGGCAAAATTCCTGATAAACTCCGACAACCACCTGGTGTTTGATGGGCATTGAATGACACTGCGTTCATAAAACATGTGTTGCCAATGTTCTTCACTCCTTTGAGACCCAGCATTTTCGCTTGAATTGACAAAGTCCTGGCAATGGGTTTGTGAATAGAAATCTGGCCGCAGCTGTTGTCGAGCCGAACTGAAGAGTCCCGGGTGGTCGAATATCTGGAACTACGTTTGTGAAAATCGGAAACCGGGATGATGGGCACATAGTTGGACACAGTTAGGTTGAGGTTTGGCGAAGACGTTTCATCAAATGATTCAAAAGAAGAAGATGAGATTGATACATCATTATCTAGAATTCATTCATCTCTGACTTTTGAGCAGGGTTGTTGATTCTTTCGGTTGCTGGTTATAGGAATTGTACCCAAAACTGAAGCAGCATTTTCTCTATGGATTACTATACTGATTCATTGAATCAAAGAAGTATAAGCTTGATAATCATCGATAGATTTCATCATTCTCTTTCCAATCTCCTCCAGAAGATCTATAGTGCGTTGGGGTCCAAATACTCCGCAGGTTTCAATTGCAACTGGATAAAAATAGTAAAAATTGGACGAATTGGAATATTTGTCTCAGATATATCATAGTCTTGTATTGGGGCAAATTGTTCTCATGGATTTGAAAAACGTAATAGGTATTTATATAGGATTCTTCAAATATCATTATGGTGAATCTCTGGTAGTAGTCCATGCTCAAATTGGAGGTGATGAGATAATTAAGAGAACAAACTCAAATTCTGGCTCCAAGTAAATTTTAATAAAATAATATGTGCTACATGTTTCGACTCCTCCATTCATCGGTTGCATTAGCAACCCTTTTGTTTAATATTGTTATTCTAATTCAAAAAACACAATTTTAAATACCCGACTTAGTCAATCTAGACACATTTTCTTGTTTTTTATAAACTTTGATGTATGGTCCATTGAGTCAACTTCAATGTTTCGAGTATTTGATAGATGACATTTGTCACTTGTTTGTCAAAAATAATTTTTATCTACCATTTTTATCTTTCGAATCAAGTAGTCTGACGGTTTGTTTACTTCATACTCGCGCCATTTGCTTTACACTATGTTTATTTGATACAAAAAAAAGCATCTTAAGAAAAATGTTCATCTGGGGGTTCAAAAATGTTTTTTAAAATTTTTTATGGCCTGAAACCCTTACGAACCATGTTATCAATTTTATAGTTTCCTTTCTCCTCCTACCTAGCAAGGTGTGTCACCCATTTTCCAATAGTGATGGAACTTCTTTTATTTATGAGTTTTTTGTATTTTAGCCTGATGATGACTCCTAGGAGTCGAAACATGTAGCACATACTATTTTATTAAAATTTATTATCCATTTGAGCACATATTTTTGTATCTGAGTATCCAACCTGTCTCCAGAACTCCACTTCATTTTTCATGAAAGTGGATCAAAATAGTATATTGTTTAACGATCACGGAATGATAGTGATTTCCCACGAGAATGAAGTTTGCAGCATGAAATTAGCATTCCGTGCGAGTTATACACTACAATTTTTCTACGGCTGTAACAAATAACAGCGATTTCTTGGTCTTGTATTCATCTGATTTCCACTCAAGTGATGCTCATCTATCAGACATTCCCTGGGCGATGAGATTTTCCTGAAATAATAACACAATGAAGTCATTGTGATATCATAGGGAAATAAAATTGATGACAAACAAAGTACCTCATTGATTATTCAAAATTTTTTTTTTGGGATTTTCTGTCCTCGTTTCTATAAAATAAAAATATGAATATTATTTCAATATACGTGTAGTAAGGACAAATCAGATGATTTGCCCCAAAATGTCACTGCGTTTAAAGAATTTTCCTGGTAAGAGACAGTATTTACCTCATTGATGTATCTAACACAGTAAAACAAGAGTAATTTTGTGTTATAGCCATAGAAAATCAAAATCCCAGTTATTATTTCTAAAATCATAAAAAAATGATCCAATTGAAAAACCTCACTTCGCCGTGAGAAAGGAGGTGATCCTTTTTAAAAATTCGTAGGGTGCATTGGCTAAACTTTAAGCAATTAATGCATGGCCGATAAAAAAAAGATTGATCATCCGACCAAACCGAATATTTCACAAGCATTTTTTTTTCCATTGCTGATTAAATAATCACTTGCAGTCTTGCACTGATTTTCTGAATTGTCGAATGATCATTTTTTTATCATCTCTTAAAGTCCAATAATTATACATCGAGCATGATACGATGCTTTTCTGCTGATACAAATAAACTGGTATCTAAGGCACCAATTTTTGACTAACAACATCACTTACATAATCTATACTGACAAATGGAAAATTAACGATATACAGGGTGATAGAGTATCAATTCTGAAAACCATACAGCAGCGTATTCTATTATGAGAAAATGAAAAAAGTTCAAATGGTGATATACAATGTGTCCCGAAATCACATATTTCAACTGCAGATTCTAGGAACAAAAATAATAAAAAAAGTTTATATTAACATGGGTCCATAAATTGCCCCGTGATGAATGTTTTTTGTATATATTTTCGAAACCCTTTTCGTGATAAAACAACCAAATTCTGTACAGGGTGGCCAACTAAGACTCCAGAGTTCGATTTCTCTGTTGTCTTTAGAGATAAAAAAAAAAGTTTCGCATTCAAACTAAAGTGATAACCGAGCTTCACATTTCAAAATTTCTTTGAAATACACAGGGTGTTCCGTAAGGTCACAGCACATCAAAGCTATGTTTTTTTATTGGAACACCCTATATTTTATTTCATTTTCGAATTCTCCGTGAAGAGCTGATTTCAACGTCTCATCATACTTGGGATCTAGCAGTAATATTTACTGAGATAAAGGGTGTGAAAAATCAAGATTTTCCAAGTTTTGTGTCGAAACTATTCATTATTCGTCAAAACGGTTTACATGTCCCTATCTCAACTTTCCATTCACTATCAATTGGTGTCCAATTGAAATTGATACAAGGTGGCCAAAAAATCTAAATTGATAATTTGTTTTAATTAAATGTCAATTGAACACCAATTGATAGTGAGTGAAAAGTTGGGATAGGGACATGTAAACCGTTTTGACGAATAATGAACAGTTTCGACAGAAAAAAATCCTGAACTTGGAAAATCTCGATTTTGCACACCCTATATGTCAGTAACTTTCGCTGCTCGACCCTAAGTATGATGGGTCGTTGAAATCAGATCTTCAGGGAGAATTCAAAAATGAAATATAATATAGGGTGATCCAATAAAAAAAACATAGCTTTGATGTGCTGTGACCTTACGGAACACCCTGTGTATTTCAAAGAAATTTGGAAATGTGAAGTTCGGTTATCACTTTAATTTGAATGCAAAACTTTTTTTTGTATCTCTCAAGACAACAGAGGTATCGAACTCTGGAGTCTTAGTTGGCCACCTTGTACATGTATTTCTAACTTTCATGCTCATTTCGGAAATGTTAAGAATATTTCGAAATGTTGATCAGGAACGTATGGGCACTTTATACTTCAACTTTTTCGTTAATGCAATGTTCGGCAATTAGAACAGGAAATATGGAGGCTTCAACATTGTCACTGGAAAATTGGACTTCTGTTCAGTTTTGGTATTAACATTCAAGGTTTTCGAAATATATAAATCGATCTTAATACTTCTAAATCATGACTACATGAAAACTGTGAAAAATAAAAATAGTGCTTTTTCCTTTTGGGTAGGAATCTACCATAATTATTGCATAATTAATTTTTCTAATAAGCTGCTCCACATTTGAAGTGAGAAAAGCGAATATTTTATTTGTTTTCGAACCGTAATAAATTTGGATGGGATCAACCGATTTTTGATTCTTTTTGGGATTCGGATTGCTCAGTCAATCGGGTGTAAATTAATTTCCTCACTTTTTCCACCTTTTCGGAATCATGAAGAAGAAGAAGAAGAAGTAAGAAACTGATGAAAAATAACAAAATGTATCGGTTTTACGTTGATCTTCTGGAAGTTAAAAGCTCTTTTATTGACGATATAGTTGCCATATGAAATCAAAGTGTTTAATTTAAAAAGTATCCAACATTACTTTTTCACTACTAATTATTATACAGGGTGTTCCTTAATGATATGCTAATATTCAAAGGTCCGATTCTTCGACCTTTTTCAAGAATAAAACTTCATATGAACGTATGTCGTAACCGTCCTTACTTTTCAGATACAGGGTGTCAATGTTGAAAATATGCGAAGATTATTTTTTTGTCCACCCTGTATAGCTTTTCGTGATGGCGATATTCAGGTTGCTCTGGGACTAAATCGGCATACAAATTTCAAAATGTTATTTCTTTTTATCGCTTGGAGCGCACGAAAGGGAATCCCTATAATGTTTAAAGAACATCGTGCGTTCCTAGGGAGGATAGGGACAGGAGGTAGGTAATGGATGTCCTGAATGGAGTACTTAGACATCAAAATTTGAAGTCTGGTCTCGTTTTTCCGTTTTTTCTCGCAAACGAAGTGTTCTATTGAGTATCAAAAAGAGGATCTTTTTTGTTCAAAATCAAATAGCCTCTTATAGCATTGTATGAAATTTGAAATTTTTCTGTCGCTGCTCACTTCCAAGTGAAATACAAACAATAATATTCCCGTAACAGTGCCACTGGTACAGAAAATGAAAATTTTTGTACATCAATAAATGCACCTTGATGCATAAAAGACGTGTATCAAATTTCATCAAGATTTATACAATATTGTCTTAGTTATTATCAGAAGAAAACTGAATATTTTTCAAAACTTCATCACCCTGTATCTCAAAAGTTAAGACTTTTAGGACATACGTTCATATAAAGTTTTCTTCTCAAAATGAGTCAAAGAATCATTCCATCAGATATTAGCATATCTTCAAGAAACACCCTGCATAAAACTTCTCGCAAAAGCCTGAAGATTTTGTTTCGATTATTATATTCGTACTACTTCATTTTCTATTTTGTTCTCTCATTTTAATGCTCTTTGAATAGGTGCTCAAAGTTGAGAAGGTACTCAAGTACAGGGATATCTCATTTATTAAATCAGTCAAAACCATGAGTCATTATCTTTTGTGGCCATCATCTTCAAATCAATCGGTTGAAATCAGTCAGAATGTACCCTATTTCATGAGAACAAAAGGGTATCGAAGGGTTCTTCATAATGTTCTCAGGTACCTAACTAGGAAATATGAATGGAATAATTTCTATACATGAATGGAATCGATAGCTGATATTGCCACAGAATTTGCGATATAGTACGTAACTGCTGAATAGTCATTTCGGCTAAAGATTATCTCAAGAGAAGTATAAAAGCAGGCGGAATTGTTGTATTCCTCACACTTTCTGACTGATCTACTAATCGAGTCAAGATGTGGTCACAAATTGTCCTCTGCATGCTTGGTAAGCTTCTTCTTCATTATTATTATTGTTATCTTTATTATTATTTTTCACTCTTGGTTTCTCTTTATATGTTTGAAATTTTTTATACCTATAATTATATGTTTGTACAGTATGTCGCTCTTTTAGCAGAACAATTTGTTAAGTATCGAGTTTCAATATATTTTTCCACTTTTAGTTGCTAAATATACGAGAAATACTCACACAAATGTGTTCAGAACCCTATGCACCAAATTCTATATCTATTCTTTATATTCCATAAAGTATATATCTCGATTGAAGATAATCTTTACGTAGTACCTTTGTCAATTTGTTATACAGTGAATTTCGAAAGATTTACTTATTTTTTATGACATAGGATTTTATGAATTTTTTTCAATTTCAGTTGGCTTTGCCTATGCATCAAACATATCGGCATGGAAAGACAATACCGAGTATGTCTACCAGGTACGGGGTCGCACTATGGCCAGTCTTCATGACGTATCCAACCAGTATTCCGGTATTCTGACAAGGGCATTCCTCAGAATCCAACTAAGACCAGATGGTAAACTCCAAGCTCTCATTACCGAGCCCGAGTACAGCCACATCCACTCTCAGCTGCACGATGGATGGAAGACCTACATCCCTGATGCTGAGCTCACCTGGAAGCCCTTGGAAATGTCTTCCAAACCCATCCAGTTGGAGATGAAACAAGGCATTATCACTGACATTATCGTGAACAAGGACATACAAAACTGGGAAGCCAACATGATCAAGAGTATCATCAGCCAGTTCCAGCTAAACTTAGGCGGTAATGGCGCATACTCTAAATCCCAGGAACAGCCAGCTGTTTTCAAAGTGTTGGAAGATACCGTAACTGGAAACACCGAAACACTCTATGAAATCAGAGAAGTACCCGAATACCTAATCCAAAACGACGAACCCTGGCAACAACGCTTATTCAGATTGAAGGGTGAAGGTGAGATTATCGAAGTCTTGAAACATAAGAACTACGCTAACAACGTTGAACTCCCATCATACTTCTTTGGATTCGGAGAAATGAGGGAATGGAACGCCGCTACCAACCAAATGGGAGAATTCTTCCTCAGGGACTCTACCAGCCGTGCTCTGATCACTGGAGACAGGCAACGTTTCACCATCCATAACTCATACACCGTCAACAAGATCATGATCAACCCAACCTTGACCGATCAGCAGAAGGGATCCGTTGTCAGCATGATGAATGTTACATTGGAAGAAGTTAAATCGCAAAGCCAAATCATCGAAGATGTCTTGGAACCTGTACGCCTTGGTAACCTCGTCTATACTTATGAAAAACCATTCTCGCCCATGAGTCAAGTCAGCGAGAAGAGACCTTCCAAATACGAGGACCGTGAAATCGACAGTAAATACCAACGGGAATCCTGGAACAGACTCCGTCGTTCCTTCGACTCTTCCGAAGAAAACGCGTCACCTGAGTCTGAAGAAAACTACAAACAAGACCAACCACAGATGAGTCAAGCACCTGCGAGTCCATTCCTGCCTTACACCACAGGATACAAGGGTAAATGTCTGAAACACACCATGAACCTTGTCAAGAGCGTTAGCGACTTAGCCAGAGAAATTGGAAATGAATTGCAAAACCCCCGCGATATTCTACGACAGCAGACTCTCAGCAAGTTCACCAGCATGGCATCTCTCATCCGCGTCATGAGTGAGGAAGATCTCCTGAAACTCGCCAACGAATTATACACCACTGCTAAGGAAGGAGAGAAACACGCTGCATGGGTTGTCTTGCGCGATGGATTCGCCGAAGCAGGAACTGGGCCCGCTTTCCTCGTCATCGAGAAATTAATCCAGGCTAGAAAAATCAAGGGGCTCGAAGCCTCCCAAATCATCTCCTCAATGACTGACTCAGTCCGTCAACCAACCTTCCAATACATTAAATCTTACTTCGAACTCATCAAGAAAGAGGAAGTTCGCTCGCAATGGCCATTGAATGATACCGCTCTTTTGAGTTTCACAGAGCTTGTCAGCAGAGTTTACTTCGATGAAGAATACTACAAGAACCAATTCCCCATCAAAGCATTCACTCAATTCTACTCTGAGGAAGGCAAAAAATTCATCAGAGAATCTGTTATCCCTTACCTTGGCAAAGAACTCCAAGAAGCCATTTCCAAAGCTGAAACCCACAAAATCCACGCCTACATCCGTGCTCTTGGCAACATCGGTGACGCTAGCATAATGACAGTCTTCGAACCATACCTTGAAGGCCAAAAGAAAGCTTCCCAGTACCAACGCCTATTGATGGTAATTTCTATGGACAGACTAGTGAAAACTAACCCAGAAGTAGTCCGTGAAGTATGTTTCAAAATCTACCAGAACACCGCAGAAACTGAAGAAGTGAGAATCGCTGCAGTTTACCGTTTGATGGCAAGCCAACCATCCACTGACATGTTGCAGCTTATGGCCTCTTACACTCACGTTGATAAACAAGAGCACGTTAATGCTGTAGTCAAATCAGCAATTGAGCGTTTTGCTGAATTGGAAGGAGATGAACTCTACAAATTGTAAGTCATTTGAAAACATTCAAATTCCTATTCATACTTATGATATCAATATAATTTTCAGTCGTCTGTCTGCTGAAGCTGCGAGGCCTCTTCTGACTAAAAAAACCTACGGTTTCCAATATGGCGGAAAATACCTACGTGAACACATGATCCACGAACTCAACCAACATTACTCCCAAATGTTGAACATCTATGGAAGCAAAGATAGCTATTTCCCTAAAGGATTCGAATACATTCTGAACTCGAAACTTGATGGTTTCTGGAAACCCTTGATGCATGTGCAAGCCTATGTATCCAGTTTAGATGAAATGATCCGTGTAGGTAAAGAACAGACCAACAGCTTCAAAGACAAAGCACAACGACAGGAACAGAACGCCGAAGAGCAGAGGCAGAACCCTTGGTCCAGTCGCAACGTTGCTCAGTTACTCAACATGAAATCAGAGATCAGTGAGCAACTTGAAGGAAGTATTTACAACATGCTGCCAGGATCACCACTCAAGATGTTATCATTCGACAACAAGACCATCGAAAGATTCCCAGAAGGTGAATATAACTGAGTTTAACAAGTGTGACAAATAATAAGATTCTATTTTGTTTTTCAGTCATCCGTCAGTTCCAAGATGAATTCAAGAACGGTAAGAAGATCGACTTCCACAAAATCTTGAACAACAACGAGATGGCACTGGCTTTCCCTACTGAAATGGGTTTGCCATTTGTTTACACCTACGATATGCCAATGCTCTTCCAAGTTCAAGGTGAACTCAAAATTGTTGCTTCCCCTGATGTATCTAGAAATGGTCAGATTTATAAACCAGACAGCATTAGGATTCAATCAGATATGGGCATTACTGTGACCGCGAAGATGCAAGGACGTCTAGGATTCACTACTCCATTCGACCACCAACAGTACATTGCTGGTTTCGACAAGCAATTCCAAATCCATGTCCCGGTACACGGTAACATAGATATTGATATCAAGAACGGTAAAGTCAATTTCGAATTCGAAGCTGTTGAGAAACATGAAGGAGCTCATGTCTTCCACTACAGTACTTGGCCATACACATCCAGGGTTGACATTCTCAATTTGAAACCCCTGCACCTCCAACCTAACACCCATGTAATCAGGCAACAGAAATTGCGCCATTTCGATGAAATCATTGGCCAAAAACAATGGGGAATGGCCTTCCATGTACAAATCGAGCACGAGAGGCAAACGTTAGAGACCCCTCTTCTCAAAAATCTCTTCAACAGACATGGATTCTTTGCTGGACTCATGGGCTCGTGGAACGATGCCACCATTCAGTACAGCAAATTCAGTGTTTCTTACCTCCCCAAGGAATCGTCCACCAGGAAAATTGTTATGCGATTTGGATACCAGAACAAATACAACGCACATCCCGATGAGGTACAAAGATCTGTGGACTGGACACAGTTACGTGAATCTTCTGATGCAGAGACCCTTCGGGAAAAAATCATGAGTAAGGTTGCTGAAGGTATAACAAACGTCAAAGTTGAAGCCGTTGATGCCTCAGCCGAATTACAAGGAGACAAAACCATCAAATTCCTTTTTGGTGCTGGATACGGAAAGAGCGTGGTGGATCCTAAATCTCGAACATTGGTTTACTGGAGAATGACCTCAGATGACCAGGAATTCAGACCCTATGAAATGACATTCGAATCCAAGGGTTACATTCCCAATACTAACGCTCTGGACTTGGAATTTGCTTTGAAACACGAACCTAGGGCTGATGTCAAACTGGTACTTGCCTATGGACCAATGGAAGGACAGAAAACAAGAATTCAAACTGATTTTGAATACTCCAGGAGCGAAGACCGCAAACAGTACTTGAAACAGCTGCCATTATACCAACAGTGCAAACACGAAATGCGCGAGGGCAACAAACAATCGCCTGCCTGCACTAACATGACATTAGCTGCCAATCTCTTAGACCATACCACCGTCAAAGTTCAATACGAAAACGTGAAACCATTCTTGGTTGAAGCTTTCAGAACCGCTTACGATGCCCTTCGTGTCCAGTACCTTCCTGCCCTCGAAATTTCCAGAGCAGATACTCCACTAGAAGCCAACCAGTTATTTGTACGAGCTCGTTTCCACCCCGACTTCAAATTCGTTAACGTGACAGTAGAATCCAAAGACGAAAAAACCGAGTTCAGAGATATTGCTGCCAATGACTGGGCCAGACAAGTATTTGTTGTCCACCCCGTCTTCCATCTCCCAAGCCGTATGATGGGTCAAGCTTTTGGACTCCAAACTTACAGACGTAAGTAGAATTATACCTACTCACTTCCATGTTGATTGTAGATTTTCATTCTAGTCTAGTATATCACATAATCCATCTGCCAGATATATTAATTACTCATACCTTCTTGCATATCAATGATCTAAATTTTTGCAGCAATGTGTGTGGTTGACCAAACTCAAGCCAACACCTTCAACAATCGCTCATACCCAGTGGAACTCTCCAAAGAATGGACTGTGATGTTACAATACATCCCTGAAGTAGCACGCCGCAATCAGAACCAAGGGGAAGCCACTGAACAGATCAAACGTCAACTTGACAACTTCATCGTTCTTGTTCGTCAAAGCACCGAATCCAGCGAGAAGAAGGATGTGAAGATCGTCATCAGCACTCCAGAAACCGAGTCCAAGACCCTCGAGATCACCATGACCCCCAGCTCCCACAGTTCTCCCAAACCAAAAGCCACAGTAACCGTCAACAAACAACAAGTGGAGATCAGCGAAGATAAGAGCTACGACTCCTACAATGGTTTCGTCCAGATCTACGCCTTACCCAATGGAGAAGTCAAATGCGAAGTTCAAGGTACCTTCTACATCATCTACGATGGATCTCGTGCAAGACTCACAGTCCTCGATGGCAAGTTCAGAGACGACGTCAGAGGACTCTGCGGCAGGTTCAACGACGAGAAGATCGAAGATATGACTGCTCCAGAGAACTGTATCGCCCGTGACTGGAGGAAGTTCGCTAAGAGCTTCGAAGTCCAAAGTCAAGAAGGAAAACAAGTCAGAGAGGAGTTCTCAGAGAACAAGGGGTGTGCTAAGAAGCAATACCCTCTGTACTTCGACGTCGTGTCCGAGGATTTCATCAAGAGAGGAGAACAGCCAACTGGTACATGCAGCATCACCCAGACCAGATACGTCCAACAGAATGGTGAGATCTGCTTCACTACTCGTGCCTTGTTGAGCTGTAGGAGCCAGTGCCAAGTGCGTGGTTGGGTGACCAAGAACGTGCCAGTCCACTGTATTCCCAAGAGCAACGTTGCCCAGTTGTGGAAGAACCAGATCGACATGGGAGCAAGCCCTGACTTCAGCCACAAGAAGGAACACAAGAGGATCGATATGCAGGTTCCCCAGAGCTGTTCCGAATGAAGAGGACCTTTGACCACATGAACTCGATTGTATTTATTTTAGATTTAGAAGCATTCCAAAAATTGTAAAAAAAAATAATTTGAATAAATTATCATCCTCCAATATACTCAGTTCTTGTTCATATAATCACCCCCTCTCCTAATAAGATCAATTATATGAAGCTAATGAAGCTCAGTGCGCGGTAATATAGAATAAACTGCTCAACACATGGAATAGGACAACGAAATATATCTATAGGTCTTCAATTATTTCGAATATTACTGTTAGATGAATCTTGACCAAGTATTCTGACAAATAGTTTCAACGGTCATTAGCTGTTTCAAATCCACATCAAGATTCTTAAATATGTTTTCATGATTTTCAAATCACGTATATACTTTATAATTTGTATATATTTTTTTAATTATCCATTCCAAAAATGATAAGATAGATGAAACAGACTACATCATGAAAATGTAAGTAAAATGTCGAAAATGTTGCGAAAAAGATGAATTGCAGAAACTTTATCACTAGTCAATTTGATTTGGGACCATCTATTTAAACCTAGGTTTTCAACGAATATGCTCATTGAATCAATATGTGGCCAGCAGTAGTGATATTGTGCTTTACAAGTGAGTTTAGCTGAACTTTATATTTCCTTTGTATATATTCATCGAGTTAATGTTGCTTGCATATAATTTCTATAAAACTGTGAAATCATATCATCAATGTCAGCATACGGAAACTCAATTCTATCGCTCAGTATATTGTCATTCATGATTCCCTTTATCTACACAAGAGGGTTGAATCCTTTTTTCATGTATCGATATTGTTTTCAGTGAGCCTGGTGGCCAATGGCAAAAATATTCCTGACTGGAAAGAACAAACTGAATATGTATACAACATTCGTGGCCAAACCCTAACTAGTCTTCATGAAACATCCAACCAATATTCAGGAATATCACTGAGAGCCATTCTCAGAATCCAGCCAAATGCAAATGGAAACTTACACGCTAAAATTTCCGATCTGAAATACAATCAAATCCATACAGAGTTGGACGATGGCTGGAACACACATATTCCAGATGAATATTGCACCTGGATTCCATTGGAAATGGTGTCACAATCTTTCCAGGTTGAATTGAAACACGGTGCCATAAGTGGCATCATTTTCAACAAACATACTCCAAACTGGGAAGTCAATATTATAAAAGGTATCATGAGCCAATTTCAATATAAACTCAACAGAGAAGATTCAATCCAGAAGGCTGATGATGAATACAATCTCATGAATTTCAAAGTAATGGAGGAGACTATTACTGGCAAAGTTGAAACACATTATGAAGTTAAACAGATTCCCAAGAAATATGTTTCAACGTTCGATATAGATTCAGATGAAGATCTGATTGAAGTGGTGAAACATAAAGACTATACGAACAACGTGAATCTCCCGTCATACTTCTTTGGATTCGGAGGAATGGAGAAATTGGAACCAGCAACAAATCAAATGAAGGAGTTCTTCCTCAGGGACTCTACTACTTATGCTACTCTCACTGGAAACGTGAATAATTTTACACTCAAAAGCTCTCTGACAGTCAATAAAGTATTCGTTAATCCTACCTTGTCTGATAAACAGAAAGGGTTAGTAGTGAGTATTGTGAATGTCACTTTAGAGGAAGTGAAACGCCTGGAAGAAGTGATAGAAAAGGTGGATGACCCTCTGCCTTTGGTCGACCTTGTATACTCATATGAATATATCGAGGAACACTCATCAATGAAGGAGGCTCCAAAGAGTCCAATGTTACCTTTCACCATGGGATATAGAAGTAAATCAGGTAAAGTTACCACTGATATCATCAGGTCCGTACAAATGATAACCCGAGACATTGTCAAAAATATGGACCATCCTACGGAAATACTTCATCAGAGCACCGTGAGTAAATTTGTAACTTTAACATCACTCATTCGCATTATGAATGAAGCTGAAATCAAGGTGGTTGGAGATGAATTTTACAGTGCTGAAGGGAGGGATGAGACGTGGATAGTTTTCAGAGATGCAGTAGCTGGAGCAGGAACAGGACCATCTCTTTTGATAATACAAAATTGGATATTGTCAAGGAGAATAAGAGGAATTGAGGCAAGCCATATCTTGTCAACTATGACCAAATCTGTCCGAAAACCTTCAGTTGATTACATGAGGTCATACTTTCAACTGATCAAGGAAGATTTGGTGCAGAGAGAATGGCCTCTTAACGACACTGCAATATTGAGCTACTCAGATCTCATAAGAGAAGTATACTTCCACAATACGTTTTATAGGGCTCAGTATCCCATTAAGAGCTTTCCCGGTATGCAAAGTGATGAAGGAATAGTGTTCGCCAGAGGAACAGTTATTCCTTATCTAACGAAAAAACTAGATATGGCAATTCGACAAGGCAAATTGCACAGCGTTCATGCTTATATTAGAGCAATAGGAAACACAGGAGCACCAGATATAATACCTATTTTCAAGCCATATCTAGAGGGCACAAAACAAATATCCCAATACCAACGCCTCCTGATGGTTGCTTCCTTGGACAAGCTCGTCAAAACCAATGCTACACTAGCAAGCGATTGTCTCTTCAAAATTTATCAAAATATAGGAGACTCCCAGGAAATTAGAATAACAGCTGTGTATCAACTTATGCGCACTAAACCCACTACAGAGATCCTACAAATCATGGCTTCGTACACTAATATAGATACCCATGAATACGTGAATGCGGCTGTCAAGTCATCTATCGAAAGTGCAGCTAAGCTTGAAGGACTGGAATTCAGAAATTTGTAAGTCAAACTAGGAATACATACCTATATATTTTACCAATGAAAATATTCTATACACCTCACATTTATATCATCATTGGTCATAACTTTTTCTCTATACCATATATGAAAATGATCTATGATCAGAACTACATCCATGCCTTCAGTATTTTGAAATTAAAAATAATCTTGGTTTTCTAGGCGAAATGCTGCAAAAGCTGCCAAGCCTCTGCTCACTCAGCGAGAATACGCACGAGAATTTGGTGGTAACTATCTCCGAACCTATTTCATCGAAGAACTAAAACTGAGATATAAAGAAACAGTACAAGTATTGAACAGTGAAGTTTATCCGAAGGGATTCAAGTATGCCCTACGATCTAGCCTTGGTGGTTTGAGAAATCAGTTGGTCAACATACAAGCATTGGTTTCTAGCATTGATGACCTGATTCAGGCAGGCAAAGAACTTACAGAACACCATTATTATGAGAAGCAAGTGCAACATGCTGCCGCTCAAGGAAATAGTACCTTGTACAATCTGGAACGATTCCTGAACATTCATCGGGATCCCCATGAACAACTTGAAGGCAGTTTGCACTTCCTGGATATGGGGGATTCTCCGCTAAAAATGTTCTCTCTTGATATTCGAACATTCGAGAATATTCCCAGAGGTATGAAAACTGAGACGATGTTTTTGTGTTTTTTATTCCAGAAATTGATTATGGAATATATTATGTTATACTTTTGATTTGATTTCAGTTATCGAAATGTTGGAGACAATCTTGGAGAGTGGACTAAATACAAATTACACGAAGTTTATCAATAGAAGAGATTTAGCTGTATCTTTCCCAATGGAAATGGGCTTGCCTTTCCTCTTCACTTATGATACTCCAATGCTGGTACAAACTAAGGGCACATTGCGAGCTGTATCTGATCCGAAGATTTCTGAACGTGGTAGAATACGCAAGCCGAAAAACATTAAGATCTCAGCAGATGCATTTGTAACAATAACTTCCAAAATCCAGGGCCGTCTTACGTTCATGACTCCCTTCGATCATCAGCAATATATCGCTGGATTCGATAAACATTGGCAAGTTCATATACCAATACGTGGTGGCATTGAGTTTGATGCAGAAAATTTCGAAGTCAGAGCAGAAGTGAAACCAGAAGAACATCATGACAAGGCACATCTTTTCCACTACAGCACTTGGCCTTACACTTCGAGAATAAACATTATTGACTTCCATTCTGTTTCCTCTTATCCAACCACACACTTTGTTAAACCGGAAAATGTGCGTAGATTGGACACAACGCTTGGTAAGGAAGAATTGGGTCTGGCCTTACGAATCCAAGTCGACAACTGGAGATTTCCAGATGCTTCATTCGAAAATGACATACCGTCTCGATTGCTGAATTTCTGGAGTGATCCCACTATCAAGTACAGTCACATAAATGTTACCTACATTCCTGAAGAATCCATAACTAAAAAACTAGTGTTGCAAGCAGATCAACTGTATAAATTCAAAGATGGTCAAGAAACTGGTGAACCAGTGAGGTGGTATGATTTGATACAAGACGGTACAGTCCAGCGAGTCTTCTTTCGTGAAATCGTGTTCGCCCCTCTGCTTATCAAAAAACTCTTCTTTGGTCCATTCAGTGCATTCCTAGCTATATTAGAGACAGTAGAAGCGTATTTTCCAGGAAAAAATCATGAACGTGAGTAGTTCATTCACTAACAGTGTTGAGTTATGAGTTGATATTTAGACAAATTTTTTCATAAGAAATATTCGTTTTCAGATGTATGTATCATACAACCACCTAAGGTGACCACCTTCAATGAAAGGAGTTATCCACTTGAGCTTTCTGAATATTGGACAGTGATGTTTCTGTATAGCACCCAAATGGAACATTACGCCATATTGGTGCGTAAAAATTTTGAATTCAAGGATCAAATTGATCTGAGACTCGTCGTTAGCTCATTTGACACAACTTACAAGGAGTTGGACATCATCTTGCAAGAATCTGGTTCCACATTTACAGTATATGTTGATGGAGTTCGAATGAATATTACCAGAAGCCAGTATCAGTGTGGAAATGGTAACATTCAAATATATGCAATCTCCAACGGCATTGTTAAAGTGCAGATACGTGATACATTCTCCCTATTGTACAATGGTCGTATCATCATGCAACTTATTGAGTCCGCGAAATTTGATGGCAAAATCCGTGGTCTTTGTGGTACTTCCAATGGTAGACCTTCAGAAGATTTTCTCACAGCAGAGAACTGTATTGCTAGGATGTTCGTTCGGAGTTACGAAATGGGAAGGAAAGACAGGAACAGGTTTGGTTATCAAAGTGATACTGGTGCAAATCAGTGTACAAAAATACATAATTCACCGTACCATTCGAAGAATTTTGATACTTGTTCCTTTTCGCAGACTAGGTATCATGTTGAAAATGAAGAAACTTGTTTCAGCATCTCAGCTTTGACTTCTTGCAGTAGTCAATGTAAAGCTGACAGATCTACTAGAGTCGTTGTTCCAGTGCATTGTATTCATGAAAGCAGTATCGTTCAGCTATGGAAGACACAAATTGATAGAGGTGTCAGTCCAGACTTTAGTCACAAGAAAGTTACCAAGGAAATGGAGTTCGAAATTCCTCTCAGCTGTGTAAATTAGAATAATTTTCAATTCACGAAATGTTATTGATTGAATGAGAAAATAAATATTACTTGTATCTGATCTTTGTTCAGCATCATCATTATCATGGTATACACAATCTTGATTTTGGTTCATTTATTCTTATTCGTCTTGTATTAGAATGAACATAATATATTCAAGGCTCAATGTCAGTCCGAAATTTAGATCTAAGTATTATCTCAATCTCAAAATTTCAAATTGAAATAATAAATACGGGTTGTTTGTTGAAGTATATGAAGAATACATTACTTTTTATTGTATACATAAAAAATGGATGAAGATATATCATTAAATAAATTAAAGATTATCTTATACACATAAAAATAAATTAAAACCATACACACAAAACACAACTATGAAATTAATATCACACTCTCTAATGAAGGAACACATCATGGATTATTTCTTCAAATTTCTCTAATCCACAAAAAGGGTTGGAATTGTCGAAACCTACATCGATTTTCTTATTCACAGTGTTATTCATTATTCAATTCCTATTTCTCTGAGCTAAACTTCCACAGTTTTCATCTCTGAAACACTGCGGAAACTGAATACATAGCATTAACAAAGTTTAAGGTCTTCAGCACAGGTCACTGATGATGAAACATTATTTCCTATACCCTTTTTACGGCCACTTTACATGCATATATACTGAATTTTTAAATCGAATACATCCACACGTTGAGAATTTATAATTAAGAAACACTTTCAAAAAACTGAAAGTTTTAAACAGACACAAAGTATCAACTTTTTATACCCGAAATTCCCTGAGGCATCATCAATTTTGGAAGCACAAGACATTAATCAAGCATTGACTCAACATAGGTACTCACAGTGTGTTCCAACTAAGATTGCCACCCTAATTACTCATTTCATACAAGTAGGTTTAAATATAAATATAAATTTTTTGAGCTATGAATTTCATTTTGGTACATAATTTCGAAAAATGTCAAGATTATTTCAGATTCGTTTTTTAGCGCACAGTATATCCGTGATTGTGAATTTTGTAGAAAAATACATACAAATACATAATGATATACAGTTCGTTTATTACCTTGTAGAAATAAGTAAATAAATGAATATATAAATATACCCAAAAATATGTATAGTTCGGCCATCTTGAATATTAAAAAAATGGCTATTCATCATTTGCCTTTCAGATCTATACCAAAGATGACAACTTAGTTGTCGAAATGAATTGGAATCTTGGATATATTTTTATATTCGCCTCTATCTAAGTATAGTCTCATTCCATATACATTTCCTGAGAACCACCCATTTACTGAAATACTGAAGGGGGCTCACCTTAGCTGGGACATTGTGTCCAATTTTCAATATTTTCCACGAATCATATTTCGTTCAAATGTCCTGTCAACCAGATATTGCTGAATATTCAAATGTCAAAAACATGTTCACGCATTGATTCATAGCTAGGAAATTTTAGATAGATAGTACTAGAATGAGAATACTGTCAAAACTTGTCACTCTTCCACTTTTGATACTGAACTACATGCACCCGCACGTATCCACTATCATATTCGTCAACAGCTTCGTGGTCACAGTCTTATTCGTATCCCTAAACACCAGCTGAAGGGGTTGAAACCGATTCGCTGCACAGCAAGGTGTGAACTCGGGGGGTATTTCTCTACGTCTGCCTTTGCCATACATAACTTTCTGTAAATAACAAACAAATCAAATGTCATATAGATGAAGATATGTCACATCAAACATTCAGAGAGGAACTCAAAGTCATTACCACAATAATTGATGAAATGATAGATAACGAGAGAAAAGCAACTACTTTCCTGGCTATATGCCACGTAGAACATTTGCTTACATCTTCCCGAAATCCAAGCAATAATTTGTTTGGACGAATAAAATCGCGAGTGTTTCCTTCCTAAACGCCGAGTTGCGCCTGAGTGGTTCAGGAACACGTGACTACCTACAGGGCTGTCCCAGATAACTTCTTAACCGTTATCTGGTGTGAACCTGACTCAACGAAGGAAACACTTGCGATTTTAATTATCTACACGAATTATTGCATTGATTCCGGGAGGATATAATGTTCTGAAAAGCATTACTTCATGTAGTGTTCACTTATATGCAGCTTTACTATAGTTTTTCACCTCAAACAGCTGAAAATGCTTGTATACTAATAAACATAGGAATCTTCAATCATTTGTAAATTTATGCACCGATCATTGTCTCAATATAGATGCCAATAAATGCCAGTTAGTTCATGAGGCCAAGAGCCTCGGGGTTTTACTATATGATAAACTGCGATACGAGAAACATATAAACAAATCAATTCAGCGTGCATATTTATCATTGAAAATGATATATTATGCTAACCGGCACTTTCTTTCAATCAAATTCAGATCTATCCTTTGTGACACCCTGGCTCTATCCCTCTTCAATTACGTGGATTCCTTGTATGGTCCATGCTTAACTAGTCAATGTATTAAAAAAATACAGAAAGTATAAAACTCATGTTTGAGACTTATATACGGAATTCGAAAATATGCTGAATGAATTTCCCATATAAGCTTCGTGAAATTGGCTAGCTGAGCATGAAGAATAGAAGGATCGATCATGCTGCTAATTTATTCCACGAAATATTATCAACCAAGACTCCACCATATCTATTCAGAAAAGTAACGCACCGCAGTGATGTTCACAACTTGAATATCAGGTTCATAGCTACTTCAACACCACCCAAATATAGAACGGTACAATTCAAGAGATCATTTAGCTAGCAGATTTGTGAAATCCATAACTCACTTCCCAATGATATAAGACATGTAAAATCACAGAAATTCAGAAAAAAACTCAGGGATAATTTGTTTGACAACCAGTAATGAGGTGGCCGTGCCTCTTCTTCATTCTAACACTTTTTCAACACTATTCCTATACCATCGCCATTATGTATGTACTGTTTCTTTCTATTTTATTGATTATATTATTTATTATTATAAAAATGCACGGTAGAGATTTTGGGAGGTTAAGTGGAAGAGCCATCCAAATTGAACTTCGCCTTTTGTTTTCTTATTTCTAGGTACTATGTTAATTCACTTATAGTATTGTGACTGTTGAAAACAATGAGGTAATTCATTATTATTATTATTATTATTATATAGAGTACGTTCATCTGGAAAGCTCTGGAAAGAGCAAGCGGTTACTCCCAACAGATCATCGAAATGGAGTAGGTATAAAATGTTGGTACCCAAATTGATAGCTATGATATCAGACGATACTCCGTCCACCCCCACGCATGAACCGATCTGCCGTGTGATGATAGTTTTTGGAGAAGACCTTGGTATCATACACGTTCCAGATATTTGATGAGTTCAATGTTGATGTAGAGAATATTATGAGATCATTATAGGCTCAGAATATGTAATGCTTTGGCTTCAATCAATCACACTTTGCCTGGTACGCTTATCTTACCTGTAGTATACTGTTATGTTCGCTAGCACTCAGAGTCATTGCTGCAGCCGTAGTACAAGATCCCCTGCAGAAGTAGGCATTATATCCTTCTGGTTGTATGATCCAGTCATCCCAGCCTATGTCGGCGAAGGAAATATACAGGCTCTCTCTGCAGCACTCATTGATGCCCTCACCGCAATTTGAAGACCTCTTTTGCCGTCTGTGAGTGTAGGAACGCCTCTGCTGCGAGTGAGTGTAAATGACCAGGAAGGGCTTCGAATCACTCTTGAAGGATATCGGGGACTGCATTTTGTCCATTCCGCATGTCTTACACGCCACGTTTATGGCATGGAGGGGCGAGTTCTGGTAGCCCAGCCAGGTTTTCACTACGTAGGAAACGTCCACTCTCAGCCAGCCCTCTGTAAAAGATTCAGATATTAAGTATAGTAGTTAACTGAAGTTCGGCATTTTTATAAATTGACCGAATATAAGGTAAAAGGATTTAATCTTCTGATGTTTTGTCTATACCAAGGATATTTGAGATCATAAACTCGACAATAACAACTATGGATCTTATGGAATATAAATATTATTGAGAAATAGTTCAATCTCACAAAACTCTCCATGAAACAAAATATGTTCCACAATCAACAATAATTTTTTGAAGAACATGAAAGTACAGCATGCATGGCAACTGCGTCCATCAACTTTATTGGCTGAATTATTTCCTGAAGTGATTAGATAATTATGTGGATTCGTGCTTTCTTTATACAAGAGTTATGGAGGCAGATTATGAATGAATGAATTTATTACGTTCCAAAAAACATAAAAATGTCATCTAGGAACACCTCTGTAGTTACAAGTCATTATAGTTTTATACAAATCACATAATATCGGACATAATAATCAGATCATTGATTCAAACCTGTATCAATTTAGTGAATACACTTTTGCTGGTTCGCGATATCCCAATGATGAGATTCAGCCGCCCTACTGTATATTATAAAGGTCGTACCTTGATGCCTTGATGAGGTGTTCAGAGACTTACAAAGCGTATCAGACTGGATTGCTGGATCAGATTTAGTAAATTCATTAGGAAATCCAAAAAGTATAGTAGAAATTTGAGAAATCAGGGATACACGAAATTTTAGCAAGGTTGATGTCAAAAGATTGTAGACCAAGTTTCATAATTCTCCAATATTGTCATTACAACAGGGAGAATAAACTATCAGAAAGATGAACAATCTAATTAGTTGTAGTAGATATGTATTACAAGATTCTGTCATGATTCGATATTATGGCATGACAGAGAATACCAGGAAAATTCACGCAAAGATAGTGATCGCCTTTTGGTGGATGAACAAGTATTCAAACACCGAGGACAAGAATCAAGCTCGCACAATGTGCTTACGAATGTATGATTCTATCAGAATCTACCGTATTCGAGAACTGACCTGTCAAGCTAGTTTCTTGTATAGCAATTGGTGTGGTCTTTTGAAAACTTCTTCTGGCGTCCCAATGGGTTACTTCTGAAATGACAAACGTTTGGTTGTGTTCGTCCAACATGTCCGATTCTTTGTGAAACCATAATTCCGCTGTGCTGACTTCAGAACTGTGGATGTCGTTTGGCATTTGGAATGGCAAACAGGCAGATGGAAAACGAATAGTCCTAGAGCAACGAGCTTCATCTGAAAAGGGATACAATCAACTACTGTGTCTACATCTTATATTTGTATCACAAGGTAAACCAGACAGCACAGATATTCTATGAATATCAAATTTGACATATTGTCAGAATATTCGATAAGAATATACGAAATCGTTTCAAAATATACTATTGAGGTTATTCTTGCTTCAATATTTTTAATGTTTCCCCATCCCATCAATTATTCGCTAGCCTCTATACTCCTCCTATAATATACCAGAAATATTCTCACGATATTTGAAACAGCTCATTCCAAATGTTCATATGAAGTCCCTAGAATATTTTCATCATATTGTGTGAATCTTCTGAGAAAATTCTCTGAAAGAAGTCAAGTCAGTGCTATTGGATGGATGATTCATAGCCATTTCATGGTGATTTGTTATGTTCGGCTATTTTCGATTCACCTCGTAGAAGTTTGTATGCAAATGAAGTTGTTTTCAAATCATTTCAATAATTATTTATATGCTGAACCCGTGAGAGTGATTTGTTATCATGTATGGAGTATCCAGTAATTATAAATTTGCCGAGAAGAAATATTTTTCATATACCACAAACAAAAACAGTAGTTTAAGCATTCACTACTCATTTGAAGTTCACGAAATGGAATTGAAAACATATCGTCATTTACCTTCATTTTGCGACAATAGCAGGTTTCGACTGGACCAGTCTAATCTGTAGGAAGGTAGGAAGGTAGGAAGGTAGGAAGGTAGGAAGGTAGGAAGGTAGGAAGGTAGGAAGGTAGGAAGGTAGGAAGGTAGGAAGGTAGGAAGGTAGGAAGGTAGGAAGGTAGGAAGGTAGGAAGGTAGGAAGGTAGGAAGGTAGGAAGGTAGGAAGGTAGGAAGGTAGGAAGGTAGGAAGGTAGGAAGGTAGGAAGGTAGGAAGGTAGGAAGGTAGGAAGGTAGGAAGGTAGGAAGGTAGGAAGGTAGGAAGGTAGGAAGGTAGGAAGGTAGGAAGGTAGGAAGGTAGGAAGGTAGGAAGGTAGGAAGGTAGTCCTCGCAAACAAAGCGTTCATGTTTATATTTAGTGTGATGATTATGCATCTCAATCTTCCTCTGGTGAACATGGTGATACTGTTCATCCTGTGAATATTTTATAGGCGTAGTTTCACTATAGAGATGTTTAATGTTCATTTCTGAGCGATCGATAAATTTTCCAAGAAACGATAATGCTTAAATTGAACCTTGTACCCTCCATTAAGGAGATTCATCAGTATGACACCTACAATTTCATTGAGGTTCACAAATTTTGGGGTGATGTATCACCTTCGCTGGACTAGTGTCAGTTTATTCAGTCCATCAAGCAGTTGAAAAAATATCGAATGATGATTCATAATGATCAGCGATGAGATAAAAACTGCCTCTAAGTAGGACGAGGATATTATTTCTCTTCCAGCTAATACTAATATACCTACAAAAACATATGGCACAGACGGTATACCTATAGTGTCAAAATCTTTGGGAATATGATGAAGACTCAAAATCCTTGTCTATTCAAAATATATTGTGTAAAACGTAGTATAAGTTGTTTCTTTATATCCTTAATGAGTCACTGTCTGCCAGAAGAATCGCCTACCTGCGTAAGGGAATACGATGGCTTGTGTAGTCTTCCCATAGAAGTCATCAGAATAGCTGCTTTCTAAGCCCATGTCCTGGGGAGGTAACAGTTGTTCGTATTCTTTGACTGGCTTCGGTAAATCTCCCCCAGCTATGGTCGGCTTCTCTTTCAGTCTCAGCTTCTTCAAAATCTGGTTCTTGATGTACTCTATCCTGAGTTTCGTCAGTTCGTCTTCAGTTACAGAATAATCCTGCATATCGATAGCGTTGTCTTGCACTTCATTTTCCTCTGTATTCGAGAAGAACTTGACGAATATCGAAGGCACTTTTGCATGGCTAACGACCGATAAGAAGAATAATAAAAACAAAAGAGAAATGCACTTCATAGCTGCCCGCGAAATTCCTGCTCATTTACACTTTCACACTTCACTTGTTTACAAATTGCCACAGATTGATCCTGGAACCCACAGATTCAAAAACATTATAGACTTTATAAGCCCCACTCTCTACTAAGCATTTCCATAACGAATGATCTGGCTGAACCTTGAACTCCGCTGGAACTGGAGTATTAAAATTTGATAATAAGGTATCAATTAATATGTACAGTGCCTTTCATTGAGAAGCATATATAGAATAGGGAAGAGGTCTCAGCTCTGGTCCAAATTACATTGATAGTTCACGGAATACTGATACGGAATTATTGTATCCTAAGGTATTTTTTTTGGTTACAGGTATCCCGAATGAAGTGTCAAATGTCCCGGAGGTAGGAATTATTGTATCCTATGGTAATTATTGTGGTCACATTCACACAAAATACATCAATTCAAATGAAAGGATACGATGATTCTATACTAATCTACACGATTAAGTTTTTATGGCAACTTTTTCAATTCAATATGTATGTTTGAAGAAATAATATTCTTCTTTTAATTTTTTTATACCGAAACGTAGAATATAAAGTCAGAAGCAATCACGAATATAATTTTGAAGATTCTGATGCATCAGAGGAGAATTATTATAGAGGCCTAATTCGGTTGGGAAGTACTATACCGGGTCTTCCAGATCTTTTCATACAGCCAATATCTCAGTTATGCTGCTTGAAAAAAAAAATATGACTCTGAAGCCGTTGTGTTAGAATCAACTTCAGTAAAATCACTCCTGAAATGACATCCCCAGCTTCAATTAATCAAATTGTACCCTATATATTTTTTTTGTTGATTTGTGAAGCGCAATCAATTTTAACTTCAACGATTTTGACAAACGTTATACTACCACAATTACATAATCCAAAGGTGTCCAGACATTTCTGAGAATGTTTCAAGATTATGCCCGTGGAAGATTTCGAATATTCTCAGGATGTTCTCACAAGGTGCACTGAACGTCCTGAGTATATTTTATGAACATGCAAATAGGACGAAAATTCACGTTCCAAGAAAATTCTCATAATATTCTTCAGAACATTCTCAGAATGATCTAGGAATATTCTCAGTATACAGGGTGTGTCAAGGCGCATGGAAAATAATCCAGGGATCGATATAGGAGGAGAATATACAAAGCCGGCAGCAGTGACAGTGAATTGAATATTTCAAAACTATAGAATGTAAATTGTTTAAAATTAAAATACTTATCCATTGCATAACATAAAAATCTACTACTATTAAGGCATTCTTTTGGCAAATCAGGTTTGTTCTTCTTGTTTTAGTTGTATTTTGCTCTCTTGCTATTACCTTTAAAGTACGACTGATTTATTGTATGTGCCATTATTTTCCTTCGAGCGACCCTGTTATTGGCATTAAATTGTTTGTTGGGTCGCCAAATTGTTAAATAAATAAATAAATGAATAAACCTCTCCAAATTCCGGGGATTATCTCGTCTCGTTTCTTTGAATAAAAATACTAGTACTATTTCAATCTGCCCCATAGTGTCACTGCGATAAAATGTCATTATCAGAATCCTAAAAGAGCACTTCAATTGATAGTCAGTGACACTGTTTAAAAAATATTTGAGGAAGAGGAAAATAGTTAGTTATATTGAGAAAATATCGAATCACTGAAAATCGATTGACAAAAACGAAGAGACTGTTTGAACAGCGGGAGCAGATTATTTCCCAAAAAGTCCGAATCTGATTGAAAATTCGATGAATTTCCACTATAGGTCACTGACTATCGATTGGAGTTCTCTTCTAGGTTTGTTATAATGAAATTTCAAACCAGCAGTGACATTTTGGGGCAAATCCACCAATTTGTCCTTACTGCAAATAGTAGAATACGATAAATTATAATAATACTAACATTTGTATTTACAGAAACAAGAATAGGAAATCGCAACAATTTAGAGAAATGAATATTCCACATATTCCATATTATCAAATTACATCGTAAATTGAAATCAGCAAATTTATTCTGAAGGTATTCCACTTGCTTAAGCTGAGTTAATGTCGTGTTAACAAAATAGAAATTTTGTGTAAATCTTATTATTCGTGAAGTTTGTCACATTCACCATGAATTTCCATTAAGTGAATATAAATATAAAGAAAAATCTATGATCAATGTATAAAAATTTGGATATAATGCACGGTAATTTTTCGCGGTAATTAGACACCCGACTCCACACCAGAACATGCGTAAGCACTTTTCGATGAAATGCACTGTACAAATAAAATTACTATTTCCTAAGCATAGATTCTTCCGATTGTTTGGCGCTTGCCTCACAGTGGGATGGAATACAAATGGACATTACTATCAACTGTGCTATCAATCTATGCTATCAATCATAGTATTAGTGGTTGATAACGAATTGGATATAGAGATGATTTGAACCGAAACTAGTTTCATGGCTATTTCATCTAACATTATAGGAAGAAAGTATTATCATAATCCAAACGATTGAAAAATTACCGCATGATTAGTAGAAGTAGCTCATTTGCTATACTAGATGTCAAAAGATCAATATATCAACAAATTTAAGAAACCTAGAATATACAGTGTGGAAACTTTAACTAGAATGAATTCGTTTGCGAGAAATTCCCGGCATACCTACATCAACGATTTAATTTATTCACCTACCTTTTGCAAGCAATATCGAGAATATATCCCTCCAGGTGTAGCTAAAACCATCCTCAACAGAAGTTTTTCAAATGTTACCTCATGGCTTATGACTCCTCATTGGAAAATTGGTGGAAAGAGGAATCTGTTATCAGTAATCTCCAAAGTGTTGGAGAAAGCCATCAACATTGAGCTTATCAAATATCTGGAGAGCTCAGGAATCATCAATGATAGACAATACGGCTTTCGCCACCGAAGATCTACTGGAGATCTACTTGCCTACGTCACCCATTTATGGCAAGCTTCATTAGAAAAACACGGGGAATCTCTAGCTGTCACGTTGGACATATCGAAAGCATTTGACCGGGTTTGGCACGAAGGACTCCTCCACAAACTACCATCATACGGCTTACCACCTCAGCTATGCCATCTCTTATCGAGTTTTCTTTCAGGCAGATCGCTTCATGTGGTGGTGGACGGTGTATTGTCTGATACCATTGGCATCAATTCCGGCGTTCCACAAGGATCAATTTTGGCACCAACATTATTCCTTCTTCATATCAATGATCTATTGGGAGTAACAACTTGCCCCATCCACAGCTTTGCAGATGATAGTACCCTCCATACTGCGTTCTCTTCCAGAATTCCCATTTCTTCCCAGGAAACTAAGAACTCACGGCGCAGGCAGGTCAATGCTGTCAATGATGATCTTGCTGAAATCACAGCCTGGGGAACCAACAACCTAGTTGAATTCAACGCCACCAAAACTCAAGCCTGTATTTTCTCTAGAATGGCGGAACTCAGTATGCCCGGCATTGTAATGTCTGGCACCACCATCTCCACCAAGCCTACCATATCTATGCTCGGTATTTACATCAGCAACACTCTTTCATGGGATAATCATGTCAGATCCATCGCAAAAGCTGCTTCACAAAAACTCGGATTCTTGTTCCGTGCGAAAAGCTACTTTACACCTCAACAGCTTCTCATGATCTACAAAACGCAGATACGGCCTGTTCTAGAATACTGTTCCCACATATGGGGTTCAGCACCAAAACATACGCTGATGCTCTTAGATTTCATCCAGAGAAGAGCCATCCGCCTGGTGGGTGACGCCACACTCACTCACTCTTTGACATCATTGGAACACCGTAGAAAGGTCGGCGACCTTTCACTTTTCTATCGATACTTCCACGGGAAATGTGCTTCGGAAATCTCTGCTATCATCCCTTCACTAGCAATACCAGTCTGACGAACTAGACAAGCCCAGTCAGCACATCCTTTCGTTGTCAACCTCGAAAGATGTCGAACAGCACTTTATCAAAACTCCTTCATCCATAGAACGGCTAGGCTCTGGAATTCATTGCCTGAGGAAGTATTCCCAACAACATATATCCCCCAGAAGTTCAAAAATTCCAATACCTACCTCCTATCCCTATCCTCCCTAGGAACGCACGATGTTCTTTGAACATTATAGGAATTCCCTTTCGTGCGCTCCAAGCGATAAAAAAAAATCTAGCGTACTAGTCAAATTTTAGTTTTTCATACTTTTAAAGGTTATATTATATAATATTGGAATGCAATTTGAACATTATTTTTTTTCTCAACGCATCTATCGCTCAAAATGTGTGTTGAACTATTGATGGCAATTTTTCGCCTCAACTGCTATCTGCTATTGTATTCGAGTATTTTTATATAGTCGCAAAAAGAAATTGAGTTCTTTTGTCGTATTCACAGCTCGAATCGAAGTGTTATTGCAAACTAGAGGAAATGCCATGTATCACTGTCACTGAAAGTCCAAGTAATTTGATGAAAATACGTTGAGAATATATTGACCTTCGAAATTATATTGTGACACATAACGTACTGCAAACTGAAATATGATCAGTTCGCTGGATTCCTCTTTCAATCAGCTTTCCAATGAGGGGTTGCAAGCCATATGGTTTCATTTGCAAAAAACATGTTGGGGTTGATTCCACCTACCCCTGAATATCGCTCTCTAAATGTAAGTAAATACATTCAAACGTTGAAGTGTCTCGTGAATTTTCAGAAAAATCATCCACCTCCCCAGTAGTGAATTTATACCAGTTAAAGTCTCCAATGATATTTTGATAAACGTTTCAAGTTAATTTATTTCACCATGTATGGGTGGGTATAATGTTTGTAAGATAATAACTGGACCGCACCAAAGAGATTTCCTGTTTCATGTTCATTATAAATACTTATGGGGATAATAGGGAGAGGAGGGAGTTCTTGGAAATACTTCGCTCGGTAGAGAGTTGTTTGACATATATCTGTGGTTTTCAGTTGATAACTTCACAAAACGGCCACTCGTGTGTGTC